CAAGCTTTAAAATGTGTCATTCCCCTATTTTTTTAATTACCTTGGTGATTTATAAAAAAATAAAATGTAAAACCAATATACTGGGGCAATCTTGCCACACAAGGGGGTAAAATCACCACACCACCGGGGCAATTTCGTCACCTGAAAAATGTAGGGAGTTTAACGTCTGTAAATATGCTACACTGATCAAGCGTACCATTTTTGTTGACGTCCTATATTTGTTGCTGCTGCTAGTAGTCTGTTCGTTAGCCAGCTCGTCAAATATAAAAATATGTATTTAAAATAGGTGCGAATTTACCCTTAGCGTAGGGTGGCGAAATTTCCCCAGACAGTACTTTTTAAGAAATAATTATTTTTCTTCCGAAATTAGGCGCGAAGTTAAAAATCACTGACGCAGAAATGCACATTATAGTACTGTGTATTATATAAAAATCGTGTATCTTATTCCTTTTGAATTGTGGCAGATGGATTATGGATTCCGAGATATTGCAGGTGACGAAATTGCCCCTGTGACGAAATTCCCTTACTCTCCCCTACAAATAGGATTTTCCCCGAAAAATTAAAAACAAATTTTAAGAAAATTTATGGTGTTTAATAATAAAAGCTCTTAATTAATTATATTTTATAATTAACAGGGGGATTCCCTAAACTGTTGAATTGTTGAAAATTCAACAAAAAATTTCAGCAATTAAGGGAACGATCCAAAATGGTTCCTGTTGAATTTTCAAACAGCCGTTATTTGTTGAAAAATTTCACGGAACTTAAAGCATGTAAAATTTGATTTATTATTGCTAGTTACTGCCTAAAAGTGTTCCCAAGGTAAAAAGAACCACAAATATGCTTTCTAAGTTGATTTTAAAATAAATAATTCGTACTGGTGATACTAAAATTTTACAGAGCTGCCACGGCTTTAAAAAAAAGGTGACAACTCTGGCTTTTCAGCAATACATCAAAATTTTCAACAGCCCCGAGGCTGTTGAATTGCTGAAATTTCTGAAAGTTGACTTTGTATGGAACAGCTGATTAACAGCTGACCAAAATTCAACAATTCAGCTATTCAACGGTTTAGGGAATCCCCCTAACAATTAAGCTTTCCTTGTGCGGTTTGTCTTTTTCACCCAAACAGCGCCTGGCCACACTACCACGAAGCAGAATAAGAAGCGACGTGGCGAAAGAGACGAAAAGCAGAGTCAATCGTTGAAGAAAATTGAACCGGTCCGGTCCTAAGTTTTTGTTGTAGTAGTAGGCGGTCGACGGCCTAGTTGAACTTGAATTATTCACCGATATCGTTTCGAATAATACCCAAAATAATGATGTGGCGACTGGCTGGAGTGCTCCTCCTGGGCTTCATAGCCATTTCTCTGGGAGCCGAGCAGGACGTTCTGGACCTGGGAGACGACGACTTTGCCACCACCCTGAAGCAACATGAAACTACGCTGGTCATGTTCTACGCCCCCTGGTGAGTGAGTGGGCGTGGCCGTGGGGGTTACACTTCTCCACATCCGGACTGCCATTCCATATGGGTTGCGTGTACGATTCGTGGCTAATCAGCTTGTTGCGTCTGCAACTTAATTCAATTCCCGATTCCGCGATTTCCCGGCATTCGTATGTAATCGCAAAGTACACGTCAGCGTTTGCTTTGCCGGCAAAAAAAGAAGAAACGAGAAGCGAGTCGAGAGAAGGAAAGGCACCAAGATGACATGCCAGTATTGGTGCTGTCGGCCATTTTAAAGAGCGGGGTGCCAAACTGGAACAAAGTACATACAATTACTGCTCCATTGGTCCGTGTCTCATTTACCAACGGATAATGAAAGTGAGGAGATAATCCTCCCTATATCCTGGTCTTTATTTTTGTTCCATTATTATAGCTTGTGAACCAACTCAGTTTGGGTGAGGATGCTCCCCTATTTTCTTATAGATTCTGTAGAGAAATTTTTTATAGGCTGAAATTATATTATTCCTTTAAAGTGCTACTCATACAAAAACTCCGACTTAACCTACGTGATTTTTAAATCCTAATACTTTTTTCCCTCAGCTTTACCCCTTTAATGTTCACAATGTACACTGTAAATATGTATATTAACCTTTTATTTACTCGCTTTTAGCAAATATGTTTTTCTATTATCACGGGAAAACTATAAACTCACACTTGAGCAATGAACTCGCTAAGTAAATTATTTGTTTTTTTTTTGCCGGCCGGTATGCTCGTGTTCCCCAAAGACATGGGAATATAATCCTCACACCATTAACCTTATCAGCACCAAAACATCAGCACCACAGAGACTAATTAAAAATTGTTCTCTTATTATTTGATTTCAATAATTAAATTTTTAATCGTTGTTTTTTAAAAGTAATTGCCTAAAAATTTAATGGTGATTGAATATATTTTTAATTGTTGTTTTTATTTACAAGTAATTGCCATAAAATTAAATATGAGTATTTAAATTTTTTAAATTTTTAATCGTTGTTATTTAAAATTGGATTGAGATATGATAAATGAATCTTAATATGTTTTTAGAATTTTCTTTTATTATTTTAGCAAAAAAAACTATATAATAACTATAAACTATATAATGTGGTTTACTTCTATTAGAACTCCCAAGGGCTTTTAAAATATTGTTTAAAATAAAAACCAGGGCGTTTCTTCCTCTGTAGGCTTAATGGGCACTTGTACTTAATGTTAGAAAGGTTGATAAGGCGGCTGATAAGTCCCGCACCCTAACTTTAATTACAAGCTATTTTTTCGGAACTTGTCTTTCCATTGTCTTGATAACAAATGATGAATTATACACAGTTTCTTCCAAAGTTTTCAAGTGACGTGTCCTAATAGAGTGTTTCTTCTTGTTAAAGGTGCGGCCACTGCAAGCGCTTGAAGCCCGAGTACGCCAAGGCGGCCGAGCTCGTGAAGGACGACGATCCGCCAATCAAACTGGCCAAGGTTGACTGCACGGAAGCTGGCAAGGAGACCTGCAGCAAGTACTCCGTCAGCGGCTACCCCACGCTGAAGATCTTCCGCCAGGACGAAGTGTCGCAGGACTACAATGGACCGCGCGAGGCCAGCGGCATCGCCAAGTACATGCGCGCCCAGGTGGGACCCGCCTCCAAGGTCGTGCGCTCCCTTGCCGAGCTGACCAAGTTCCTGGACACCAAGGACACCACTGTGTTCGGCTACTTTAGCGACGTCGACTCTAAATTGGCCAAGGTTTTCCTGAAGTTCGCCGACAAGAACCGCGAGAAGTACCGCTTCGGTCACTCCAGCGAGCAGGAAGTCCTCGACAAGCAGGGCGAAACGTAAGTGGGAGGATGTATTCAAGAATGAGTTCGTTTTCGTATTTTTTCAAGGCTGCCTATTGGTTTTATATATTTTACAAGTGTTAATAAATAGTTTTAAGTGCGAGTTTGTTAACTACCAATTGAAGATCAAGTGGGATAATTTTTAAAAATAACGGGGAATTCATAATAGTTTTTATCAAATTCTTTTTTAAGATATTTTGTAATTTTTTTGTATAAATTTAATTTAAATTTGTAAGTAATGGAAATGGAAAAATAACGGAAAATTCATAATCCTTTTTATCAAATCCTATTTTGAGATATTTTGAAATTTTTTTTTTTTAATTTTATAATATTACTTTACTTTAAATTCATAATCGTTTATATCAAATTCATTTCTGAGATATTTTGAAATTTTTGTTATAAATTTAATGATATTATTTTAATAAGGTTTTTATTTAAATTTGTAGGTAATGAAAATGTTTCAAATTTTATTCTTAACCCTTTGCAGCGATAAGATTGTGCTGATTCGCGCCCCTCATTTGAGCAACAAGTTCGAGGCTTCCACCATCAAGTTCGAGGGCAGCTCCGATTCCGATCTGACCACCTTCGTCAAGGAGAACTTGTAAGTAGACTCTTCACTCTTCACCCAGAAAACCATTTAATTTCCCTTACTCTATTCTTCAGCCACGGACTTGTGGGTCACCGCACTCAGGATTCGGTCAAGGACTTCCAGAACCCCCTGATCACTGCCTACTTCAGCGTGGACTACCAGAAGAACCCCAAGGGAACCAACTACTGGCGCAACCGTGTGCTCAAGGTGGCCAAGGAGTTTGTGGGCCAGATCAACTTTGCGATCGCCTCCAAGGATGACTTCCAGCACGAGTTAAACGAGTACGGCTACGATTTCGTTGGCGACAAGCCCGTGGTCCTGGCCCGCGATGAAAAGAATCTCAAGTACGCCCTGAAGGACGAGTTCTCCGTGGAGAACCTGCAGGACTTTGTCGAGAAGCTGCTGGCCAACGAGCTGGAGCCGTACATCAAGAGTGAGGCAGTTCCCGAGTCGAACGACGCGCCCGTCAAGGTGGCCGTGGCCAAGAACTTTGACGAGCTGGTGATCAACAACGGCAAGGACACGCTTATCGAGTTCTACGCCCCATGGTGCGGTCACTGCAAGAAGCTGACCCCCATCTACGAGGAGCTGGCCGAGAAGCTGCAGGACGAGGAGGTGGCCATCGTCAAGATGGACGCCACCGCCAACGATGTGCCGCCGGAGTTCAACGTGCGCGGCTTCCCCACACTCTTCTGGTTGCCCAAGGACGCCAAGAACAAGCCGGTGAGCTACAACGGAGGTCGCGAGGTCGATGACTTCCTCAAGTACATCGCCAAGGAGGCGACCACAGAACTGAAGGGCTACGACCGCAGCGGCAAGCCCAAGAAGACCGAGCTCTAAGCTGCACGCCGGGTTCAACTGGCCGCCAACTAGCATTTCCATATTTTTGTAAAATCGAATGCATTCTCTACAATACTTGAGCGAAAATTGTATTAAATTATTTGATAGTGATGAAGCGCGTACGAACACAACTTGATGATTATGTCGCAATAAACTTAAATCTTCATTTAATTAGTTAAGCACTTTGTTTTGATTTATTGTTTTCTATTTCCTAAGGATTGAGATTTATTGTTTGTCAAGGATTGAGCAGAACCTGTCCGCCTTAAATATAAATTTGTTAGGTTCTTGAAATGTCGCTAAGCTGCTCTGGTGTCTTCCATGTGATCGTCCAGCATCGTCCGGAACCAGTCCGCCAGGAATGTGTATTGATTGCGTCCTTGGAAGGCCTGGTAGGCTACCTTGCCGCGCGTGGGGTCGAATTTGAATAGGTAAACTGTGCTGGGACAGTCGATCGGTGCCATGATTTGGGATATACTATTGAGCAAGCGCACCATAAAGTTGGCGCACACGCCGGTCGACCAATCCTTTTCCTGCGGAAGAAAATCGCGGATTTATAAAATATTAATTATACTCTACACATTTTGGAATATTTTATCATATAAGTCTGCTAAGATATGTCCTATGAGAACTATAGAAATAATTCTCAAAGGACTGAGACCGCTTACATTATTAACTGTTCGTATCTCAACCACATCTTAAATTTAATTATATTTTAAAATTGTAAACGAATAGTTAAATGTCAAATAACGGCAAAAGATCCTACAATCTACATTTATGGGCATTTCCAGGGCGACGGACGAGACATTTTTTCAACTTAAACGTTAAAGATAACAGTGACGCAGTATACATTTTTTTACTTTTTATATTTTTGTTCGATAGCTTAGGCGCTCACGTATTTATGTTGAAAAAATGAAGATTATCTATCTAGCCAGTTCTTAGAAATAAAATAAAATAAGTAAAATACGGAGGCGCATATATCTGTGTAAAAAATTAATTTGAAAGTAAATGTAATTGATTATAAAAATTATTGGGATTGGGATCTATATCCCAATGGGATCTATATCCCAATTCTATTTTTAAACCAAAAAAGAACATTTTCCTCCAGCTTTTAGTTTTTGGGGTTTGGTTGACTTTTTCCTGGAAATGCCCATAATTAATTAATTAAAATCCACTTTCCTGACGTTTGGATCGCAATTCTCCATTAGATTTAACTCTTCCGACCAAAACTAAGTTTTAAAATAATTTAAATTGGATTATACTAACGCAATCTTTCCACAAATCCCGAACAGAAGTCTTTTGGATGTTCAGCACAAAGGCGTTCTCATCGCGATGGGCTATATAAAGGCTTTCGATGCCCAAAAGGAAGCACTTGACCCACCATTTGAGGGCCTCCGTGCGATTGTGGGTTGCCCAATCGGCTCGGTTCATGTGCACCAGGCGCAACTGCAGCTCCGCCCAGTTGTGGGCAGGACCATTGCTGGGAATCGGTAAGTATTGGGGTTAGTTATGCGATTTGGAAACCCATGGTGGAGACTTACAATCCATTGGGGTTCAGCTCAGCCAGAACTGGTGAATCGAACAGAACTCGATTGCCATTTAGGTCGAATGAGAAGACGCCATGAAAGCAGCCCGTTTCTTCGGGGGATTGCTGGTTCCTGGGCTCCACGACGCCGTTTTCTAAAAGAATTAATATATTTATAAATATTATTTAATATTAATGGAGTTCCACCCACCGAATACACAGTATTTGTGCAGCTTTCTTAGCCAGGATTCTTGCATGACCTTCCTGAAATTGTCCCCATCGAAGGCGTCGGGTTGTTCGCTGTCTAGGCGGCAGATGTACATGGTGTTCCTGTAGCGGGAGACGCCCAGTGACCATCCCGACTTGTTCTCGTAGGGAGCACACATCATCAGCTCGAGAACTTCGCTGGTGCACACTATGTGGGCATTCAGCTCCACGCGCATGTTGCTGTTCACCTTGAGGAAGGAGAACCGCGTGGACTCGATGAACTGGAGCATGTTGTCCAGAAGGACTTGGTGGTTTTTCCTCTGCACCTGTGGCTCATTGGACCGCAGGGAGATGGGGAATCGGTTGCTTGACGGCATTACAATAAATCGCATTCCCTGCGCATTCCGCTCAAAATGACCGGTTGGCGAGAGAATAAATCCGCCATGCGAAACGGGCTTGCTAATCGTTGGGAATACGTGCACATCCTGCTCCGTCCAGGAGTGGACGTCTATGTTTAATATTAGAAAGTTCGAATTCATCTTTGGCTAGTTTTTGGGACGCCTTTCCACGAAAAAACAAAACTTGAATTTTGGTTCGCGCTTGTAAAAAGAACCGTTGTTTCAGGGATATGGCAACGCCATTAGCGGATAAAAAAACTTACTTTCATTAGTAGCTCAAATTAAAAATTAGTAATATTTATAAATGTTTTCATATTTTAATAGCGTTGGTATAATTTGTGTACGTGAAAAAGATAAATACTCAACTTGCTTGTCTACATTAACGAGTGCTCACTGTGGCTCCCAAAAACACAAAACAAGCAACAAAAACCAAGAAAAACACCGATTAGCGTTGCCAGATATTCGTGGCGTGCCGGCAAAAAAGGTAAACAAACCGCCAGACCCTGCCAGACCGCTCGAATTAGAAGGCCTCCGCACAACAGGCTGGCAACCTGCTGATTGTGTCTGCACGTGTTTTGAATTCGCGTGTTTTGCTCTTCATTCCGGGACGTTTTGCTGCAATTTAACAGGATCAAGGCTGAAATATTACTGAAAAATCACTGAGAATAAGGTTGACTAGTTCCCCGAGCGATGGAGGTCAATGCCAGCAAGCTGCGCCTGGGCGCCCAGCGATTGCTGCAGCTGACTGCAAGTGAGTCCGAGGACAACGTGTTTGCCCAAAGTTTGCAGAAGTTTATCAAGAAGCAGGTGAGTTAACTTGTTTTTTATTCTAAGCTATCCCAATCAATCTCTGTTGCACTTTAGAAATACGTTCCCCAGGATGTGGAGCGCCTGTTCCGGACGCTCAGCGAGCAACTGCCTCTGCCCGCCTACACGGTGCCCGTGGCCGTGAGTTTCGAGGAGCAGCTCCTCCTGCTGCTCTCCATGTCGCTCCGCTGGGACTCCGCTGGTCAGACGTTTCGCCAGTATCAGCTGGAGTGTGCGGCGCTGGCCAAGCTCATGGATTTCTCCCTGGATGCACAGAGGTTTGCCTTCTTCAGGGTTTTCCTCTGAAAACAAACTCTAAATCGTTCCCCCTTTCAGATTTGCCAAGAGCTACTTTCACGACAAGCCAGCTCCCTTTGAGAAAATCCAGAGCAACGGCAGTCTGCCCAGTAAAAAATTAAAGAATGGCAGTCCCACCGGCAATCTGGAGGAACTGGAGCTCATCACATGCTGCTATCAGTTGCTGAAAAGTGATACACCCTACTTTCGCGAGCTGTGGGACTGGTCCAGCTTCATAGCCACCTATACGCACAAATCATCCAACCCGAAGACGCAACTTTACTGCAACCACATCATGGCCATGCTCACAAACATGAGCGACACTCAGCTGAACGCCCTGAACGAGCAGATATCCACCAAAACACGTCTGGAGTTCGATCACGAGAAGGAGCAGGCATGGACCAGAGCTAGGAGCACCCTAGGCAGCTATACACCGGAGGCTAGCGATCAACTGCTGAGCATGCAACTGCAGGAAATCAATCGGGATGTGACCAACATCGAGGGCGTTCTGCTGCCCACCTTCAACAAGGAGAACCTGGAGTTCTATGCCAGCACCGATGGCTGTTACGATCGCATTGTGAAGGTGGACTCAACGGTGGTCAATCTGCGAAGCATTGCCCTTGGAGTTGCAGCTGCCAAGCCCATTTGCCTTTCCGGACCCGTGGGCTGTGGCAAAACCACGCTTATTGAGTATCTGGCCCGCAAAACTGGACGCATTTGCCCCAAGCCGAATGAGATTGAAAGCCGCGAGAAAACTCTGAAGAAAGCTGAGGAGGAGGAGCAACTGCTGACACCCAAAAAGAAGCCAAAGACGACAGGAGGAAAGCGAAAGCTGGAGGAGTTGCCGCTGGAGGAACTTATAGACTTGGGTGAGACGACTCAAAGGAATGGATTTTTACGTATTCAGCTGGGAGATCAGACCGATAGCAAAATGCTACTCGGTCAATATCGTTGCACTGATGTGCCCGGGGAATTTGTTTGGCTGCCTGGCGTTCTGACGCAGGTGAGTTGATAATACAGCCCTGCATGAATGGATTCAATGCATTATTTTGAATTTTTTTGTTTTATATGAATGAATTATTTTGAATGTTGAGTTTAAGAATGAATTTGAATTTTGAGTTTAATAGAATTGAATGAATGAATGAACGGCAATTTCTTTTGAAGAAGAAAGGTCCATCATTTTGTGACTAAATCTGCATGAATTTTATTTTGTAAGCAGTTAACATTGACTTGTTAAAAATTTTCCACTTTTTGTTCTCAAAAGAAAGCATAAAAAAATCTGGCAAATTAAAAAAATCAATAAAAATGCATTCATTCATTCAATTCGAAATAAATTAGAAAAATATTCAATTTATTTCATATAGTAAACAAATCAGAAATTTTTGACATACTATGATAAAACAAAAATTGAATGATTCACGCAGGGCTCTAGTTGATAAATCCAATATATATTCCTTACTTAAACACACAATTCTTTTTAATAGGCCGTCATGCATGGCTACTGGCTGTTGCTGGAGGATTTAGATGCCGCCACCCAAGACACCTATACAATTCTGAGTAGCCTTCTAGAGCGTCAATGTCTCAGTGTTCCCGGTTTTCGTGATTCCGTGAAAATAGAGCCAGGATTTCAGTTGTTTGTCACAGTGCGGTAAGATAACTTTCAACCAAACATATGCTCATATTTAATAGTTATTTTTTATCCCCTAGAACCAACAAATCAGCCAGCAACTCCGGCCAAAAATCGCTTTACTCCCTGCTGGACAAGTATCTGTATACCATCAATATACTGCCCCTTTCCCGCAATGAACTGTGCAAAGTGGTGAGCATTAATTACCCGAAGCTGGCTACAGTGGCCAATCGGATTGTGGATGTATTCCTCACCTTCTCCAGTGGACATCACTCGTCCGCGGATAATTTGAGGCAGCAGGAATCGGGCGACAAGGCGGACAACACGGAGAAATATGTGGCGCTGCCCTTTGAGCAAGTCTCCCTTTCCTCGAGTCCCAATTCAGGAAGATTGGTGTCTACCCGGGATTTGGTGAAGCTGTGCCACCGCTCCAACTCGCAGTTTTCGGTGACCAGCTCGGAATGTGCGTACTTTGTCTTCCAAAACGCAGTGGATGTGTTTTGTTCGTACCTCTCGCAAAGCAAGGAAAAGATCGCCCTGATCACAAGCATCGGCGCCAAGCTGGGCATCATCCGTTCGCGTTGCGAACATTTCGCCAATGAATACAAACCGGATGTGGAATTCGGACTGGAGCATATAAAGATCGGAAGAGCCAGTCTTTTGGCCAAATCGGAGTTGGAAAATAACGAGAACGGGGATACTTCAGAGCAGGAAATCAAGCGACAAAAGTTGACGCAGAAAACAAAGAGGGCCATTGGTAAAATCAGCACCAAGCGAAGTACCTTTTCGTTCACCCGCCTGGCCAGCTGCATTCTGGAGAGGATTGCCGTGTGTGTGAGCCACTCGGAGCCTGTCCTTTTGGTGGGCGAAACTGGAGTGGGAAAGACTTCTTCCGTGCAATATCTCGCCGAGCGAACGGAACACAAACTGGTGGTGGTCAACATGAACAACCAGTCGGATGTCTCTGATTTGGTTGGCGGCTTCAAGCCCGTCGAACTGAACTACGTTTTGGCTCCACTGCGAAATGAATTCGAGTATCTGCTGAGCGAGACTTTCAATCAGGAGAAGAACCTGCAGTTCCTGCGCCTATTTGCCACCCACTACAACAGTGGACGCCATGCTGTGATCATCCGAACCATGCTCAATATCAGTCTGCAGGTGGCCAAGAATCAGGAACTAAAGCGGCATCAGTTTCTCCCTCGCTGGCAGACGCTGCGGGAAAAGCTGCAGAAGCTGCAGATGCAGCTGGACAAGAGCATCAACATCTCGTTTGCCTTCATCCCGGGTTCTCTGGTGAACTGCATCAGCAATGGCGACTGGGTTTTGTTGGATGAGATTAACTTGGCGTCGGCGGAGACGCTGGAATGTCTTTCTACCATCCTCGAACCGGAGGGCTCCGTGGTGCTCTTGGAACGCGGTGACTTTACGCCCGTTAAACGGCATCCAGACTTCCGCATCTTCGCCTGCATGAATCCCAACACGGATATTGGCAAGAAGGATTTGCCCGTGGGCATACGCAATCGCTTCACCGAGTTCTTTGTGGACGAACTCACAACGGATGCGGATTTGAGTTTGCTGGTCAGCGATTATCTGGCCAATACGGGCATTCAAAGGAAGTCTGTGCACAGCATCGTTCAGTTGTACAAATCCCTGCGTAAGCTGTCGGAGCTTCAGTTGAATGATGGCCTCGGAAATCGACCGGTTTACTCCCTGCGCACACTTTGCCGCAGTTTGAGGATCTGCGCCCGGAATTTGTGCGGCTCCATCGAGCGGAATCTGTACGAGAGCTTCTGCCTGAGTTTTCTCACCCAACTCGATCCGGATTCGCATCATGTGGTCCTACTTCTCATCCAGAATGCGCTGCTGTCGAACGTGAAAGCCGTTTTGAGCAAGCAGTTGCCGCAATTGGGTGAGAACTACTTGGATTTCGAGGGCTACTGGATTCAGCCGGGCAACCTCGAACCGCAGCCCTGCACTCACTACATCCTCACGGAAAGTGTGAGGAAGAACCTAAAGGACTTGGCCCGCATCATCTCGATTGGCAAGCTGCCCATTTTGCTGCAGGGACCCACAAGTGCGGGTAAAACCAGTTTGATTGACTATGTGGCCCGGCGGAGTGGCAATCGCTGTCTGCGAATCAACAATCACGAGCATACGGATCTTCAGGAGTATATTGGTACCTATGCGGCGGACTTGGATGGAAAGTTGACCTTCAGGGAGGGCGTTCTTGTGCAGGCCATGCGCCACGGCTACTGGATTATACTGGACGAGCTCAATCTCGCTTCTACAGATATTCTAGAGGCTCTCAATCGAGTTCTGGACGACAACAGGGAGCTGTATATCGCCGAGACCCAAACGCTGGTGAAGGCCCATCCCAACTTTATGTTGTTTGCTACCCAGAATCCCCCGGGACTCTATGGCGGACGGAAGACCCTGTCGCGTGCCTTCAAGAATCGTTTCATCGAGCTCCACTTTGGGGACATTCCACGCGGCGAGTTGGAGACTATTCTGGAGAAGCGCTGCTTCATTCCACCGACCTACGCTCGCAAGATGGTGCACTGCATGACCCAGTTGCAGCAGCATCGCCAGAACACCTCCAAGCAGGTCTTCACCCTGCGCGATCTCTTCCGCTGGGGCAACCGATACACCCACGCGGATAAATCCCTGCACGAGGACATCAAGTACGACTGGAACCAGCATCTCGTGGAGGAGGGCTATCTGGTTCTGTCCTCGAAGGTTCGCTCGCAGGATGAGCATGATTTAATAGAGAAGACTCTCTTTGCCAACTTCCGCAAGAAGGTGGATCTGCAGCTGCTCTTTGATATCCAAACCGAGAGGGAAAGCTCCTCGATGGTGAGTAGAAAAATCCTCGATGCCATTAGGAACTTTAAGCTGCGCGGCGACATCGTTTGGACGCGGAACATGACGCGCATGGCTGTGGTCACCGCCAAGGCTCTGGAGTTCGACGAACCTGTGCTTCTGGTTGGTCCCACGGGTTGTGGAAAGACCACTGTGTGCCAGTTGCTGGCCAGCATAGCGAATGTCCAGCTGCGAATCCTCAACTGTCACATGCACACCGAGGGAGCGGACTTCCTGGGAGGATTGCGCCCTTGTCGTGGCAAAGAGTCCACTCAATTGTTCGAGTGGGCCGACGGTCCGTTGATATACGCCATGCAAGAGGGCTCCTATTTTATGGCCGATGAGATTTCACTCGCCGAGGATTCAGTGCTGGAGCGGCTTAATTGCATTCTGGAGACGGAACGAACGGTGTTGCTGGCTGAAAAGGGCGGCGTCTCCGAGTTGGATGCCAATCCAGACTTTGTGGTGCAGGCCAAGCCCGGTTTCCAGTTCCTGGCCACCATGAATCCCGGCGGTGACTTCGGCAAGAAGGAGCTGTCACCTGCGCTGAGGAATCGCTTCACGGAGGTCTGGTGCCTGCCCTCGGACAACAAGGAGGACCTCATTGAGATTGCCTACAACTGCATGAGCCGGCAAAAGGAGCAAAAGATTAACACCCATAAAGTGGCCGAGTATCTGGTGGAAATAGTGCTCCACATTCGCGACACCAACGAGAAGTTCAAGTTTTCAGTGCGTGACATTTTGGCCTGGGCCAATTACATGGTCAGCAATGGAAATCTGAGCTTTGCCGAGCAGGCCATATTTGGGCTGGAAACTATCTTTCTTGATGCTCTGGAAATGCTGCCCCATGAATCACAGGAGCAGGTGGAGCTGCTTAAATCCAGTATAGTTAGTCAGGCCATCAAACAGGCGGGGGTAATCCTCAACGAAAACTTTACCTTGGAGGAGATAACCAAGAAGCGAGGACTCGAAGTCCAGTTGGATGGAAGCCGCTTCGGCATTCGTCCCTTTTTCATTGATGTTAACCAGGAGCGCGAGAAGCCGGTTAAAAATGACTTCCTCTTCGATGCTCCCACTACCAAGCAGAATCTATTCCGTCTGCTATCCGCGCTTTCCCTTCAAAAGCCAGTGCTCCTGGAGGGACCACCTGGTGTGGGCAAGACTTCCATTGTGGAGAGCATTGCGGCAGCTATTGGCTATCAAATTGTGCGCATTAATCTCTGCGAACACACCGATTTGGCTGATTTGTTTGGAACTGATCTGCCGGCTGAGGATAACTTGCTGGAATCAAATGCAGGATCCGCCGACCGCCAAATAGGCAGCTTTGTGTGGCGCGATGGTCCGCTTCTGGCCGCCTTGAAGGCCAGGAACACCTGGATTCTGCTGGACGAACTGAATCTGGCCCCACAATCCGTGCTGGAGGGTCTCAATGCGGTACTGGATCATCGCGGAGAAGTCTACATACCGGAGTTAAACAAGAGTTTCCATTTGGCGGGCTCCACTCGGATTTTCGCCTGCCAGAATCCTCTAAAGCAAGGCGGCGGACGCAAGGGATTGCCCCAATCCTTCCTCAATCGCTTCACCAAAGTCTATCTGCGCAAGCTATCCACCCAGGATCTGCTGCATGTGGTGAATGTGAAGTACGGAAAGTACTTTGATCAGTTAAATGAGTATTTCGTAAAGTTGTTGGACTGCAAAACTGGAGGTAATCTTTTTGAGCGATACTCTGGAAAGGGAGAATCGGGAATTTCGAATTCCTTCGATTTGACTGCTCGTTTGGTGCGTTTTTCGGAGCAACTTGATCGCGGAGTGGCCTCCATGGAGTTTGGCTACAAGGGCGGCCCTTACGAGTTCAACCTGCGTGATATTCTTCGCTGGTGCGATCTGCTTCACAACCCGAAAACTGGCTTCATTATGGCGATCTCACCTTGCTTCCACTTCGCCTTCAAGGATTTCTTGCTCACTCTCTACGAGAGGATGCAGTTGGTCTACTACCAGAGGATGCGCTGCGACCAAGATAAGTTGTACATCCGAAATGTCTTCTCAGAAGTTTTCCAATGCGATGCGGAGCAACTGAATCAGGTTTCGGACGATGTTGCTCTCTATTGGACAGCAGACAAGGTCTATCTCAACGATGTGGTGTTGGAGCGGGAACAAGTGGATGCCCTGGACTTGGCGACGCGACAGGAACGGGCTCCTTTGCTGCTGGACAGCCAGAGGCAGCTGCTCAAGCAAATCGTCGAGACTGTGCACATGGAGAAGCCTCTACTGCTGTGCGGATCTACAGATAGCGGCAAGACCAAGTTGATCGATGCCCTCTGTGTGCTCTCGAATCGTCTGTGCAACACGGATATCATTGATGACTCCGTAACTGGTAGTTTCCAGCAGGTGAGATTTTTAAGTTAGTCTACCACAGTTCGGAAAATAGCACACACTGTAAATAACTAGTGTTATTAACATGTTAAATGTCAAAGTGTTAGGTTCAAAAAAAGTTATTGACATGTGTGTTAAAAATTGTAGTCTACATATGTTAGAAAGTGTTTATTTATTTATATAAAGCAAACGGAAAGTTAAAACTATTAGCTAACTAAGATTAAGAGCTCTAGCAGCTAAGGCCTTCAGCTCGTCTGAGGTGTCCATTTAGATACATTTTTATTTTATAATTGTCGATTTACATTTTGAGCTTAATTTGGGCTTTTTCAAGGTGTCGAATTAGATACATTTTTATTTATTATTTGAATTTACATTTTGAATTTAATTCGGGCTTTTTCATGAAATGAGATGAATTTAATGACGTTGTCGGGAGTTGGTTTACTGTGTTATTTACACGACGTGTTATTAACACGACGTGTTTTTTACACTTTTGTGTAAAACACAAAACAACTTTGCTCCCACTGTAAATTACAATTTTTCATGTTTTTAACATTTGTGTCAAATTCCGAACCCTGTAATCTACAGGTTTATCTTTGTTAATAATAATGTTTTTTCCCAAACTAGATTGATTTAAATCGTCATCTGGAAGTGATTTACAAGAAAGTGGAGTCGCTTGTCTTTGCCAGTGTTCAACGGGCATTTGTCCATCAGACGCAGGCCGAGTTTGTGGAAGAGTTGTGGAACAACTGGAGCAGCTACAATAGACTTGCCAAGGTGACAGCAGGTAAGTGTAAATCTTCGATCCAATCCAATCGTTTCTAAAGTATCCTATTTCTTTTTAGAGTCCCAACAGCACAGTGTGTTGGATGAACTGAAATTGTTCAGCGAGCGACTGGGATCTCTAGGTAAACTGATAGAGGTACTGGAGAAAACACCTAAGAACTTCCAAGTGGAGGCCATCAACAAGTTGCCAGAAACTAAGTCCCAGCTGCTGTTACTTCAAGCCTACATAAAAACGGCGGATTCCCTTAACACCGGAGGATCTTTCGAATGGGTGGACTCCCAAATTGTGTCCTCATTAAAGTGCGGCCAATTCATCTTGCTGGAGCATGTGAACCTGTGCTCCTCGGCCGTTCTGGATCGTCTGAATCCGGTATTTGAGCCAAATGGAAGCTTACTGATCGCTGAGAAAGGAATAAGTGCACAGGACAGCGCTGAGGTGGTTTACAAATCAACAAATTTCCGTGCTTTCCTCACTGTCGATCCCAAGAATGGTGAACTGTCGCGTGCCATGCGCAACCGATGTGTGGAGCTTTCCTTGTCCAGGGATTCCTACTCAGTCGATGATATGCGCGCATTTGTTCATGAGCAAGGTGTGCATCAAATGGAGGCTATAGATTGCATCCTGGGAGTTCATAGGAGCGTCAGTCAGCTGACCGAGTTCAATAACTACTCCATTTCGCACCTTACGCAGTTTGCTTTCCTGAGCGCCGCCTACAAGAGGATTGGCTATCATCTGAAACGTGCTATTTATGTGGCCGCCATGGAGGTTTATGTGTACTCGGCCAACACGGATTTGATGGGCTATGGATTGTCTTATTACCAAAACAAACTGCGCGAAGTGGTGCTGGCACAAACCGAAGCGTTTGTGGAAGAAGCTTCTGTCCAGGAGAATTTACTTAGCGATGTTATACTCAGTTCTGGAAACCTAAACTCCTTGACATTGATCAAACTCCAGGCTGTCGCACTGAAGGTGTTATTGAATGGATCCTCGGAAGAAAGTATTCCCCAAAAGCAGTTGGCTGCTCTCTTCCAAGAAATGGAGAACCTAAAACTGAATCATTTAAAGCCACAGCAACTCATTCGACACTTTCTTTATATACTTTACGAGTCATCGGCCTTTGGGGATTTGGAACTAAGGCATCTGTACTTGCAACCTTGGTTGTCGAAGCACACATCTATCCAAGAGTTGTCGCTGAATTTCTACACTTGCCTGCAAAATAGATGCAACAGTGTCGAAGGAGCTTTGGTCAATCTGCCCTGGAATCAAACACTCTTCCCAAGACTCCGTGACTACTCAACCCAAGATGGATTCTCAGTGCTAAATCCTTTAAATCTGAGCGCTTTGCTTCTGGCGCGCCTTGTGGTTGATGACATACCCCCTTATTCAGTAACAAAAGTAGACCACATGAATGCTTTGCAGTACTCACAGGCGCTCCTCGAGGAAAGAGTGACTGCAAAGTACTCGAATGATTTCCTAGCCAATCTTGCGAGTTTGCTCGAGGTTCTACATACCTGCTTACTGGAGGATTTGAAGACAGCTAGCTTGGATCTGCCGCAATATGCACAATTGGTGACACGCTTCCATTGGTTTAATCGCATCCTGGCCACCGCGCAGCAGAAGCTGCTGTACAACAATGAGCTACACGTTCCGCTGATGCACAAGCTGGTGCTCCATTTTCAGTGGCTCGAGAAGCACCTTCTGATTACCTTAAACGCATTGAACGCTAACAATCACTTTGATAGGATGCGTAGCATTGTAATTAATGTTGTTAGAATCAAAAAGTACATCGAGGAGACTAGAAGGCCTCTGAACGTGATTAGCAAGATTTATTCAAAGCAGTTCACCCAGTTTCAGCCCTATTACCAAGATCAACAGGTGAGTAAAGTGTAGGTACTTTTAAATAGTTTATTATAATAATGTATTCCCTTAAAACATAGATCATTCTCCACAATGAATTGGAGGAATTGGAAAAATTACTATGTGTGGTACCAAGCTACGGAAATTTGGAGTTGTCTTCCTGGCTCAAAAGATGGCAGCTTCTTCGATCTGATGAGGCCAACAAGTGGCGCTCCTTCTTGCGTAAGAACATCCATGGATTTCAACTAAAGCCTTTTGAATTGAGTGGCTCCCTGCCGAATGAGACACTGCAATTAGTCCTGGTAAAGCTGCAAGCGAAGTTAAAGGAAGCTCAGGAAAACCAGGCAGAGAATGGATTCGATTTGGAGTTGGACCTCAATAGTCTTAAGACTCTTCTAGAAACCGAAACGGATGGGAGTCAATCATATATTAACCCAGAAGAAGTATCTACCAATTCGCCACAACTTTTACTTGCCGCTTTAAGAGAATTATTTATGGAGCGACTGTTGATGGGAACTCTGCGAGAAGACTTTGACGAGCAAGTGAATCCCCTGTTCACGGATCAGTTGCTGACCTTGAACAGTAATCTTTGGCAGTGCCTGAAAACGCTCGAGAGCGCTCCTCATTCCGAAGTGTCTAGTGCCTGGATTGAACTCAAGAAGGGATTAAACGGGCTGCAGGACCAGGAGGAGTTTGCAAGGCTTCTCGAAACAATTGGTAGCAGCTACAAAGGACTACGTACTTATCAAAGGCAGTACCGCAACTCTATTCAATGCTATCAGTTGGAGAATCTATCCACCCGTCTGGATTGCGTGCAAGGTCCTTCAGAAGAGGGCAGCGCGGAAATATCCAGTCGATTCAGCTATCAGGGTCCAGCTTTATCGGGGGTATTCCTATCACTGATATGTCAACCAAATGGACAGCTGCGTTCGGTGCCACTCAGCGAATTGCAGGAATGGCGATCCTCCCTGCAGCAAACACGACATCTGCTTTGGGAGAACTCTCAGCTACTGAGTCCCACCTACAGCCAAAGGGTTAATAATTTGTCGCAAGTGCAGGAAAGTGCCAGTCAACTGCTACAAGAGTTGGAATATGTGAGGCACCTAAGTCGGGAGGAGCAGAAACCCAACCCAGGCTTCGATAGCTGCGCCAAAGAACTGGAGATGTTGTTTGAAAATCTGCAGAAAGACGATATCAACAAGGACTCCATGACGACAGCTTTTGATGTTTCGCTAACCAATGCGCTGGTGGGAGCCATTGAGCTGTGCCTGCTCACCAATGCCCCGTTGATCGATCCCGTGGAGAAGAATCGCCTGAAGAACCAATATGTAGCGGAGGATATCGATTGCCTTAGCACTCTAACTACCGCCTATGATTTCATGAAGATTATAATGAAGTACCGGCACTTTGGCGACGAAATATGCCATCAACTGGAGGTCAGCTTGAAGACCGCTCACCAGCGGCAGCAGCAGCTCTCCCAGAAGTTGGCCCTGCGTCCGGAACAGTGTCTGTATGCCTCGCTCGTCCAGGATCTCACTCACTTCCTGCACTCAAATGGCGATTGCGAGTCGCTGTACAAGCTGTTCCAGCTTATTAGCTCGGAATGGGAAGGCTTCAAAGGATCCCTCGCGGCGACGCAGGCGCAGCTCAAGAGCAGCACAGAGGTTCTGGGTAAACTGGAGCTCTGGCTAGCCAATGCCCAGCGGTTCGTGCATCACACCCTCTCCAGGTACTCTGCGTACTACCAGGACTTTGTAGAGCCCATTAAGTGTGCTGTGAACCAGATGCGATTCGGCTTGGAGTCCCTAAAGGTGATCCTTGCCAGGGTGCAGAAGGCAGGCAGTGTTTCGCAGGCGGAACAGCTGCAGCAGGTAATCGGGGACATAGTTCAGTTCCCATCCCAGCAGCCGCTGGTTATAAGGAACAGCAGGCTCTACGGATTACTGGCCGAACTGCCGCACAGCGAATACGAGTACTTCCGCCTGCTGAAAGCCAAGCTGAGTGAGCTGAGCAACTACATCTCGCTGGGCAGTGTGATAGACGAGACCACCTTTGCGGCCTACGACGATGCGTTGGGTATTTGCAACCAGACGTGGCAGCAGGAAGAGCAGCGGCGCTGTCAACTCAAGGCGGAGGCAGAGAGTCTGTATGTGACCAAGACCAAGGGAGGAGTGGACAGTGAGGAGCTTATTGAGATGCAGGAAATCGAGCAGAACTTCCCAACGAATTTAGACGAGGACTTTGCCGAGTTCGTGGCACAACCTACTCTGGAACAGGTCCTCAAACTGGACAAGAAGGCCAGTGCCAAGGCCAAGCAGGCACAGATTGTGCTGGAAGAGGATTATGCCTTCCTGGCGCGCAATTTCATCGATGTGATGGTGCAGCATACTCCGGTTTATTATAGAGAACTACCCAAGTTGTCGAAGGAATCGGAGCTGCGTCTGCTCGATCCTTACCAAGCTCGCTTCCAGGTCTTTGCTCACCTGCATGGCCACTACAAGACTGCACTGGGATCCAATCTGGATGAGAGGGCCTGCAATGGACTGGCCTTTGGACTGGCGCTGCAGCAGAAGCAGCTCAAGGACATTGAATTGGAGGAGGGAGTTTCCAGTTCCCCCTACGATTTCTACAAGGATTCGAATATAAGTGAAATTCAAAGTTGCCTGGATGTCATGGAGCGGATAGAGAAGCGTGTGCTGGAGCAACTGGAGCAGTATCCCGAGCACGCAGGACTGGCGGACATTAAGCTGGTCATCTCACGCATCCGTCGACTGCCTGCGCATGCGCCTGTGGTTCGTTTCAACACGGGATTCCAGCTGCTGCGACAGAAGTTGGCCCTCTGGAATGAGGTGGCCCACAGGAACAACAATCTGGTGTCGGAGGAAATCGAGGTGGCCGAGTTTGTCCAACGCTGGACGAGATTGGAGCTGCAGCACTGGCGCAATTGCCTGGGACAAACGGCCGGCCAAGTGGAGTTGCAGGCCTATCGCTACTGGTTCTTCATCTACAACTTGCTGCAGCAGTTCCTCCAGCAAAAGCAAATGGATCAGTCCTATACGGACATCAAGTTTGCGGAACAACGCTTCGCCCAGGAGCAATTGCTGGATGCCCAGGACCTGGGAGAATCGCAGCGCCTGGAGCTGCCCCAAGTGGTGCGCATTTTAAGGCAGTTTGTGGAGGCCTCCTGCTACGGTGACTTCCACATTCGGATGGAGCTCCTCCACGGATTCGAGCTGTATCTGCACAATGTGGAGAGGGCCGGAAAGATTGAGGGATTGCCTCCTCTCATCGCAGCGGTGCACAATCTCCAGCTGTACTTCTCGCAGTTTACTGGCGAGATTGCGGACTCGGCAAAGTCGCGGCGCCTGCCCATCGAAAAGAAGCTAAAGGAGTTTGTGAAGATCCAGAGCTACAGCAAGGACCTCAGCTACTTTAGCATGCGCAACAGTGTGGCCAGTGTGCATCGTAACCTTAACAAGTTCCTGAAGGAATACCGACTGGCGCTGCAGGAGAAGATCACCGAGGTGTTCCAGCCCAAGGATGCCACCGCCAAGGACTACACTTTTGGCACCGACAAGGGCAAGGGTTTGAGGAACTACAACAAGATTAAGTATCTCCACGCGGAGCGCCAGATGTTCGTGGCCAGTGAGAAGCTGCTGGAGAAGTTTGCCATCCAGGCGGAGTTTGTGTCCGAGAATGCACTGCTGCAACGGATGGAGAAGCACTTCAAGACTGCGCGACATGTGGTTAGGGAAACCTTAGGGCAGGTTCCCTACGGCGAGCTAATCACGGACATGGATGACTTGCTGGCCAGCCAGTTGGAGCGATGTGAGCACTTGCGCTCCCTCAACGTGGATCGATCGAAGGAGCGGCCCCAGCAGAAGCAGGAGGCCAAGCAGATTCTCCAGCAAAAGCGCAAGGCTCTCACGGATCTGTTCAAGATGCTCCATCGGCTGGGTGCCAACTATAAGACGGGACTTTTGGAGCTCTCGCTGCGCACCGAGTTTGAGGATTTCCAGCTTTCTCCCTACAACATTCGAACCATGTTGCCGCGCCTCCATCCCAGTGCCCAGCAGTTGGACGAGCACCTGGACCTGTACTACATGAAGAGTGTATTCAAGTTGAAGCTGCTGCAAAACATTATGCTGACCCCGCTTTCGGAACTGGGACCCCCGAATATAGAACGCATCAAGGGCTTTGCTGTGGACCTGTTCCTTTTAGTGCAGCAGCAGCGGGAGCAGCTTTCCGGAGCCACCAAGGAGCTGCATGAGCTGAGGAATTCGCTGGACAGCTTGCGTAAGCTGGCTGAGATTGTCCCGCAGGCCGAGAATAACTTAAAGGCCCTGAACTTTGTGAGGAGTGCTGATGTGGCAGCGGAAATAAAACGTAATCTCTGCCAGATTCACTACGTCTTCAAGCAGTGGAAGCTGCTGCTTAGTTGTGCCCCCAGCACATTCAACGAAAACTCCGGCAACAGCTTACTCATAAGGACAATTCCCTTGCCACAGAATGAACTGCAGGACTTGAGTAGACAGATCCTAGGCAGCAGCCAAAAATTGCTAAGCGAAGTTAACGCCGCCAACTTGGAGTTCCTGTCCTGCGAGAAGTGCGACTATTACCAGAAGAGCTATCAGCAAATCCTCCAGACCATTGAGAAGACCTTGGAAACTCTACGAGCTGGACAAAATGATCATTTGCCGTTGGCGCAGCCGCTCATCGAGCTCCTGGCCAGCCTGCGGGTGGAGACGACCACCGAGATTACCTCCGAGTCCACAGATCTGAGCAATGCGGACACAGAGCTGGCCAACATTGCGCACAGTGTGCTGATCTCGCTGCAGAAGATTTACAAGCACCACTCGAAGACCGAGGAAGGACAGGAGAATGGCGAAACAAAGGAGGAGGATCAAGAGTCTAAGGAGGCGCTGCAAGAGCAGCACCTGAAGAAATGCCTCACTGGGGAACTGGCCTCCGATTGGCAACAGCTAAGCCTGCCCCGCGTGCTCGGAAAACTATCCAATGTGCTCCTGGTGCTGAAGCACTCGGATGCCGATGAAAACCAGGATAAGCTACTCTGCGTACGACGAGCCGTAGGTCTGCTGCCCATTCTGGAGCAGTACCAACTACTGGCGGACTACCTGCTGCTTCAGCAGCTGGCCACCCACAAGGTCTCCGCCAAGATGCTGTCCATAGTGCTGACCGTTTTCGTGGAGATCGGCAGCAAGGGCTTCTGTGTGCCGCCGGATCTCATGCAAGACGAGGAGGGACAGTCGAAGCAGGACAATAAGAACGGCGAGGGATTCGGCCTGGAGGATGGCACGGGGGAGAACGACGCCTCGGATAAAATCGAGTCCGAGGATCAGCTGGACGATGCCAAGCGGCCGGAGGATCGAAAGGACGAGGGCGACAAGCAGGAGCCGGACTGCAAGGAGGAGAAGGGCATCGAGATGAGCGACGACTTTGACGCCAAGATGCAGGACGTGGAGAAGCCCGAGGAGGATGACAGCGGGGAGTCCGAAGAAGAGGAGGATCTCAACAAGGAGATGGGCGAAACGGAGGAGGGAGCCGAAAAGCTGGACGATCAGATCTGGGGCGATGACGAGGAGGAGAAGCCCGAGGAGGAGGAGGAACCCGAGATGAACGAGGAGGATCAGGGCAAGGGCAGCAAGGATGAGAAGGATGCGCACAACGATCTGGACACCAAGAACGATGCGGCCAAGGAGGATGGCAAGGATGAGCACGAGAAGGACGGCTTGGACGCCACCAATGAGCCGAGCGGCGAGGACAAGCGCAAGGAGCAGGCGAAGGACATTGACGACATGAAGGAGCCCGAAATGGACGAGGAGCAGACAAATGCCATGCACAACGAGCTGGAGGAGCCGCCAGAGCCCGAAGAAATGGACCTGGGCGATATGAATAACGTGGACGAGGGCCACGACGATCAGGAGGAGCAGCCCACCGACGAGAATCCCTTTGACATCGACGCCATGAAGGAGAACATGCAGCCGGCCGAGGATCCAGAGGCGGATGGTGAGGAGGAGCCAGCTGCAGAGGAGGAGGGCGACCCTCAAAGCGACGGCAGCGACTCTGAAGAAGATGAGGCGGGCACGGAATCAAAGGCCGGTCCAGAAGATCAGGCCGATGGTGAAGATGCCACTCCCGAGGAGGAAAAAGAAGAGCCGGAAACACAGACACGCGGTGAAATCGATGACGAGGATGAACAAAAACCGGAGGACGCTCCTGAGGATCCGAAGGAGGAGGAGAAGCGCGAGGAGAAGCCGGAGCAGCACTCGCAGTCCAAGGACAAGGCCAGCAAGGAGGAAAATGTCCAGTCCATGCCGGAAACCGATCAGAGCAGTTCGGCGGACCAGGTGCAGCAGCCTCAAGATCCGGATATCAAGCAGGACCAGAAGCTCGATGAACAGGAGACTGGCGAGGAAAAGGATGGCGTCGGCCAGGCGGAGAACGATGTGAGTATTAGACCCCTGCGTGAATCATTCAATTTTTGTTTTATTATAGTATGCCATGAAATTTCTGATTTGTTTAATTTAATTTTATGTGAAATAAATTGCATGTTTTTCTAATTTATTTCGAACTGAATGAATGAATTAATAATTTTTATGATTCTTTTGAATTTTCCAGAAATGGAAAATGTTAACTGCATAGTAAATAAAATTTAGGCAGATTTAATCACAAAATTGAATTATTTGAATTATTTCGGAATTCATGCCATTCATTCATTCAATTCTATTAAACTCAAAATTCAAATTCATTCAATTTTAATAAACTCAAAATTCTAATTAATTCTTAAAATAAATATAATTCTGGCAGATTTAATCACAAAATTATGGGCCTTTCTTCTTCTAAAGAAATTGTAGCTTGAGTTATTTCGGAATTCATGACATTCATTCATTCAATACTATTAAACTCAAAATTCAAATTCATTCAATTCTATTAAACTCAAAATGCTAATTAATTCATTAATTCATTGAATCCATTCAGTCAGTATCAGCTATCTTTGCATTTCATTCATCTGTTTCTAAATAAAATCAAAATTGCAGACCAACGATGGCGGCCACCAGGGCATCGCGGAAACCCAGGAAACGGTCTCCCAGGAGGATCGTAAAAACGAAAGGCAAACGCAGGAGAAGCGCAAGCAGGGACGAACCAACGAGGAGAGATCCTTGGGTAAAGTCATGATTATTATTCGCATTATACAACTCCTTAATCTTAATACTTATTCCAGGCGAAGCGGAGCAAAACAAACTGAAGCAGCTGAAAACAATTGACCAACTGAAGGAATCCAAAGAATCGGACGACGCTGAGCAAGAGAAGCCGGAATCCAGTGAGCAGGCGGAGGCTGAGGAGTATCAGCATGTGAAGGAGCCGAAAAATAGCGACAAAACCACGCTGGATAATGCCACCGAAGAACAGTCGAAGAAAATCCAGCACCAGGAGGATGAGCCACCGAAGGAAGAGGAAACCGAGGCGGAGAATGCGGATGAGTTGATGGAAACCGAAGAGCCAGCAGCCGATCCAGAGGATGATGCTCAACTCGAGCAGCTGGGCGCCGAAAAGACGGAGCAAAAGTCCGACAAGCCCTCGAAAACAGAAAAGTCAAAGGAGCGCTTGGAAACCCCGGAGGCCATGGAGATTGAAGGCGAGGTGGTGGCCACCATGACGGTTCCACGCAGCTCGGAGACTACGGCGCACAGCAAGTGAGTATTAAAAGCTTATTTTCTCCGGGATTTATTTATGCAAATCTTTATTTCAATAGCCTCGAAATCCTTTTGGACAAAAGCTCGCACGCAGAGGAGCTGAGCTCAGCGGAACAGATTGAGCTGCGGCAACAATATCAACAGCAGTTGACCACATTCCGAGGAGTAAGTACCACGCTTTGACCACGAAGTGTCCATAGTATGTCCATTACAAATCTAGTTTTTACGCATCTTAAGAGATATTGTAAGTTTAACCGTTTTATTATGCTTATCTAAGTTAAAATACACCATTTTAGTTGGTTTTAACTTTAAAATACACAATTTTAATTGGTTTTAACTAGAGCCCTGCATGGGTATACAAAATGGCTTATTTGGGTATCCAAACCAAATTTCAGGTCAAGTAGGTCAGGCTTTCTTTTTAAAAAATTACCTACCCAACCTGACCCCAAAAATTTCAGGTGGTTTGGGTTTGGGTAAATTTTACCCATTTACCCAAATACCCAAACCCAAACGACCCAAGTCAAATGGGTTCTAGTAGATCAGTTCAGGTTTAAGGTTACCCAAAGAAAAAAATTGATTTTTAAATAAGACGATGATTACCATTTTCACAGCTCATCGACCCGTCGTGAATTCTTAAAGGTGGTTATTTGTGTATAATATTTAAAACTAAAGGATACGATATATCGACATTTGTTTCCACTTCTTCCGCCCATGCGAATTCTTGTGGTCTTCAAATATTACAGTTTATGATCCACAAAAACATACTCCTTTAGGCAAGATAAAGAATTCGCGGTTTTTGAAAAATCAATATAGAATATATCTTTAGGTTTCTTTAGTTAAGTTATGTATGATCCACACAATTATATCCACTTAATAAGTCCAAATTAATTTTAAAATATAAATTTTAAAAAAAAAAAAAAAAAAATAAAAAAAAACCCCACAAAAAACACCAAAAAAAAAAAAAAAAAAAAAAAAAAAAAAAAAAAAAAAAAAAAATAAAAAAAAAAAAAAAAAAAAAAAAAAAAAATTTTTTGTTTAAAAATTTTTTTTTTTTTTTTTTTTTTTTTTTTTTTTTTTTTTTTTTTTAAGTTATAAATAAATCCACACAAATATATCCTCTTAATCCTAAGAATTCGCGGTTTTTGAAGAATCAATAATAATACTCTATGTTACGTTTTACTCCAGGCACAGCCGCAGCACGAGGATTACGAGAGCTGGCAGGGCATCTCCAATCGAATGACTCAGAATGCCCGTGAACTCTGCGAGCAGCTGCGCCTCATCCTGGAGCCCACCAAGTGCACGCGGCTAAAGGGCGACTACCGCACTGGACGGCGCATCAACATGAAGAAAATCATCCCATACATCGCATCGCAGTTCCGCAAGGACAAGATCTGGCTGCGACGCACGAAGCCGGCGCAGCGTGACTACAAAATCACCATTGCCATTGACGATTCCAAGTCGATGCACCACAACAACTCCAAGACGCTGACTCTGGAGGCAATCTCCCTGGTTTCGCAGGCGTTGACGCTGCTGGAGAGTGGCCGTTTGAGCATTGTATCCTTCGGAGAGGCGCCGCAGATCATTTTGAATCACACGGAGCAGTTTGACGGGCCGCGCTTAGTGAATGCCCTGAATTTCGCCCAAGACAAGACCAAAATAGCCGGCCTGCTGGACTTTATGCGCACTGCCAATGCGGAGGAGAGCGGCTTGGGCGGCGACAATGGTCTGTTTGAGAACCTCTTGCTCATCCTCAGCGATGGACGAAATATATTTAGCGAGGGTGCGCAGAAAGTCAAGAACGCCATCAAGCTGGCGCGGCTGCAGCGCATCTTCCTGGTTTACATCATAATAGATAATCCGGATAATAAGGTATATTGCTTGGAAAACATCCCTTATAGAACTTTACTAATTTCCGATTACTTTTAGAACTCAATTATGGACATACAACATGTGGCGGTGAACGCAGATGGATCTGTGAACATTAGTTCCTACCTGGACAGCTTCCCATTCCCCTACTATGTGATAGTTCGGGACCTCAACCAACTGCCGCTGGTGCTCAGCGAGGCCATGAGACAATGGTTCGAGCTGGTCAACAGCGAGTAACTCTCCTTCCAATAACTGACATAATTTCAAATAGTCTATGAGTCTAAAGGCTTTCTTGATGAATTATCGCGAAGATAACATTTTTTTCTTTATAAGTAGTACTTAGACATACATGTAAATAATAAGGTGTACAAATTGAAAATGTATCCATTTTTATTTTTTCCCCGATATTTACAAATATCATACTTTTTACAATACAAACATGTATATACAAAACGTCACTTGGATTATTAAAACCATTTAAAACTGTTTTTTTTTTCGGTTAAATTCAATTAATAGATTTAACTTATCAAATAAAACAATAACCAATGAGTAATAAAAACAACATATTTCTTTTATATCGATGAGACGAATTGAAAATCCGATTTACCAAAGCAACTCTCAATTTCATTTGAGACTACTGAATACATAAATGGTAGTTTTGCAATGAACTCAAATAATATTGAGACTAGCAGCCCTCGGATAATCGGATATCTCAATCCCGACCCGAAGACCATGTGATTCTTTTTATCTACATAGATAATCAAACTTCTATTGCTTCTCGAGGATTTCTCACTTCAACATAAAACGAATAGACGATTATCCAGAAGTAGACATCAAGACCTGAAAATGGTGTTCTCAGAGCATGCGTTATTCTACAATTACATATATCCACTTACAAATGTATATAGCCGAGATAGGAACTATTATCTCATGGTGTCGCTCTTGTTTAACCAGCTGGACGATGCAGTACACAATCATGATGATGCAGTTGGTCAGGCTGGTTATAAGGAAGAACATCAGCAGGATTGTTGATCTCTGTGGCGGGTTCGTTTAGATGGTATCAGCTACCGGTACTGATGATACCATCTGGACTTACGATCAAAGCTCCGCCCAGCAGGAAAGTACAGCCGATGCAATGGCAGATGGCCACCGCCTGTTCGATGTGAGCGATGAACTCCTCTGAATTTTCGGGGATGGGGATGCATTACCAGGGTGGGATTACAAAGGGATCACAATCCGACACTTACGACCGGACATGTTGAGCACAACCAGGTTGATGATAAAGTCTATCACGGCTATTAAGATGCAGGCTTTGCGCAGTTTTATCAACCAACAGCATTTCCGTAACATTTTATAATTTTGATCTAAAAAACCCTGAAAACTGATTGGAAAAACCTAGCAATAGTGATTCGGAATTCTGAGATACTTATTTAAAAAAAGGTATATCCCAAGTAGAAGGGTGAGAATTTCTCAACTGCGCATATGAAATATTAGATTTTCTTCAAACTCCGGTACCTTGAAGAGTTTGCCTTGGTTATCATCTGTGATTTTTTTGTAATTTTTTGGTGTCCATTTAGGGTCGCTATGAATTTTCGAAATTAAGAACTTAAAAAATGTTCTCAAACTTCAAATTAGTGTATCTCGAGAACGGCTTAAAAGAACAATGTGCAACTTTACACCTTTTTAAATGTGTACTGGAGGAGTTAGAAATTAATTTTCTTAAAATGTCCAAAAAGTATGAATTTTAGTTTTATGAGAAAGAAAGATAGAAAGAAGACTTTTGGGAAGATTGCATTCCGCCTAGTTTGCGACTCGACTAGTGATGCTGATCATATACTTTATGGGGCACGTCCCCTTCACTGCGTTGCACACTTCCAACGGAAATCATTGGCTATAAAAGTACACTGGTATTCCTTGGTCAGCATAAAGTATAATTGTATATATTGTATGTGTTTAAAAACTCCAAAATCTTTGGAATCATCTGATTAAAAGTGTAGCACAAAAAGCTTTCTGAGTAATTTGTAAATTCCTCGATATACCATCTGGTTCAATGCCATTGACGAAGTAGTTTCAGAATGTGTACATTTTTATCAGCGATCAGCTATGAAACCATAAATGCTATTTTACTTAAGTGATTTCAGTTTATATCGTTCTGCGGTTGGTATACCGTCAAGTATACTTGACGAGCTAAATAATTTATTTGTTGTCAATTCCTTAAGTTTTTATACATTTGTAGTTCGGTAATATAGATCCAAAAAAAAAAAAAAATCTAAATCCGTGACCTCAGTGGTCTCAAAATATGTATCACACATCACTTCAAAATGTTCAAAGATCCTATTGACCGGCATTTCTTATCACCAATCTTTTTTATTTTAGAGGAATTTAACAAATTCCATTCTTGATATTGAGGCTCCGAATCATTTAAGAGTTTTATTAGGGTATTCCGGGGTATTCCGTAGCCATGGAGCCTATTCCCAATCCAAGTTCGGCCCATCCAATCACCGAGGAGCGCCCGGGTGAGGCTCCAATCTTTGACTGGGACTGGACTGAAACTCTGGCCCAGAGCTGGGAAACGCTGCTGCTGATCCTGTCCACCTTCTGGTGCATCCTGCTTGCTCGAGTCGTTACCCAAAAGCTGCAGCTCCATGACTCCCCCAACCTCTGCTATGCTGTGGAGTTCGGTCTGGTCATCTTGCCCTGCATTTTGCTCATCACAGTGGCCGTGGACTACAGCAACTACATAGGATTTGTGATGTTTTCGGGGACCCTTTGGTTCCTGCGGAAGAATAGGGTTTTGGAGCGTGCTCGAACTCGCGGTCAGTTCGATTTGGGTGGCAATCGACACATGGCCTTGTCCGTACTGCGTGCCCTGACCCACCTGATCACAGCCATCAACATTTTGGCCATAGACTTTGGCAGTTACTACAGACCCTATCGGAAGAGCCTGCAGTTTGGAGCCAAGCTAATGGACACTGGCATTGGGTTGTTTGTCTTCACCATGGCCATGGTGTCGCGGAGGACTCACAACTGGTCGGATCTTCGCCGGATTGCGGTCTACTCCGTCCTGCCGCTCATCCTGTTGGGCTTGGCTCGCTCCGCGACTGTTTTGGTGCTAGGCTATGGACAGGATATTCACGAGTACGGACAGCATCTGAATGCCTTCTTCACCCTAGTATTCACCAAGTTCTTTGGAGCTTTGCTCAATATTTTGGCTCGCAAGGATCTGCATTTGCTACCCTTGGGATTTGGTAGTAGACAATTCATAGTTTCTTGAAATTTTCTTACTGAGTTACTCATCTTGCAGGTATTTTGCTGATCCACCAGTTTGGTCTGAGTTTCCTGGGCGTCTCCGACTATGTGATGAATGACGATGTGGATCGTACAAATTTCTTTAATGCAAATCGCGAAGGTCTAGTTTCCCTGCCAGGATTTGTGGGCTTGTACGGGTTGTCCATATACGTTAATCGCTGGATGGTAGCCTCCAGTCTGCTTAGCTACTCCGAGTTGGTCAGGAAGCTGCGTCGTCTGCTCCTTGTAGTGCTCCTCCTGTGGAGCTTGTTCGTTATTAGTGCCTACGGAATCGGAATCTCCCGAATGACCTGCAATTTGGGCTATGTTATTTGGATGCTGGCCATTGGAAGCACCTCTTTGTGGGCCAGCTTTGGAGCCATAGACTTTGTGATCAACAGTGTGATGCCCTGGGAATCGAGTCCGTCGGACGAGCAGGAAAAGGGTCTGGTTACAAGAGGAACGGTTGCCAAGGGAGGAGATAAATCCATTGTTTCATTTACCATTAGCCAGGCCTTGAACCAAAATGGACTAACATTCTTTGTGGTGGCCAATGTTTTAAACGGTGCGGTAAACAAATTTCTTAGGCCAGAAGATCGGTCTAATTGTGAATCTGTGATCATCCTGTTGGTCTACATGTTCCTCGGAACTAGAATGGCTTATGAATTGCTGAAGAGGGGAATTCGATTAGCCTAATGCGTATTTTGTGTGTTCTGTAATTTAATTAAATTTAAATTAAATATATAAAAACTTACTAACATTTATTTAAGTAAATAAATTTGTAATAGTAACTTAATATAAAATAATGTTTCTCCTTTTGTTTTTCCTTATGATTAAGTTATGATAAGTTCAGTTTTATGTTATTTCGCTTAGAGATTTTTTAAATACAACTTTATAATGACTTTATATCAGTTATACTTCGACATTAATCTTAACCTTAAATTTATAAATGTTTGCATATTCTAGCCTTTCTATTATAAATTAAATTTCAAATTATGTGAGCTTGGTTAATTACTTAAGATAAAGAAGTAGGTTGATTGTTTATTGTTTTACTGTTCTTGTGTATTGCTTTCTAAATTTAAATAAATGTTGGATTAAAGACAACCCTACGTATAAGAGATAGTTCTATAAACCAATGCGCAGCCCTTAAAACGCAGAATATGATCTTAATGATCCTATGTCTATAATATAGGTTTTGCTGATGGATTCTTCGTGTTACCAGGTTAGTAACCCCTTGGTGAAGCTGGCGCCCTGTAAATATTTCAGTGTAGATCGCCGATCGCAATGACCGTCCCTGGCCTACCAACGGAATGTGCGATCGTGTCAATCGCGTTACATAATAAATTACAAGTGAACATCGCAATCGACCATTAAGGCGTATGTTTTTGGCAAATATTGGCCGAAAAGGGGCCGGGAAGACCCAAAAACAGAACGTGACGACGACGGCGACGGGCCCCTCCCTTCCATCTGAGTGCCAGTGCAGTTTTGGGTTTCGTTTTCATCACCCCAATCCGAATCCGAATCCCCGAATTCGAATCCGAGTCTGAATCCGAATCGGAAACGGAATCCAAGTCAAGAGGTATCGAAAACGAAACCGAAATGGGCACAATGCGTTGGCTCATTTGTATGCATCGCGGATTGCAGGCGGGGATTGAAGAGCTCCGCGTAACGCGATTGGGAAGCCATCGGAAATATTATGCAAAGGCGGGGGTTATACAAATGTCTGGGCCGATGGATCCATATAAAACGCTCGATTGACCTGCAGCAGTAGCTTCATTCGCAGCCGAACCATCAACCAGATCAGCATGCAGACGCAGTGTATCCTCCTCCTCTTGGCCGCCAGTCTGGCGATTTGTGTGGCCCGTCCGGAGCCACCGAAATCCCGCTATGGACCACCACCGCCGCCAGCTCCCCAAAAGGAATACGGTCCTCCGGCTCCGGCGGCCCAACCGCTGCCAGTCTATGGACCCCCGGCCGCCTTCTACGGACCACCAGCCGTTTCGGAGGCCCTCGTGACCAAGAACGTGTATGTGCATGTGCCGCCAGAGGAGCCGGAATTCTATCCGGCCTCGTCGCCCATCCAAACGGCCGTGCCCAAGAAGCACTACAAGATCATCTTCATCAAGGCGCCCAACCCACCCACTCCAGTGCGCCAGGTGCTCCCGCCCCCGGTGCAGGATGAGCACAAGACCCTCGTCTATGTGCTGGTGAAGAAGCCCGAGGAGCAGCAACCGCTCATCCTGCCCGCTCCCGAGCCCACGGAGCCCAGCAAGCCGGAGGTGTACTTCATCAAGTACAAGCAGCAGCAGCCCAAGCCGGCCACCCAGTACGGCCCACCGCCCTCCGCCCCCTCGGAGGAGTACGGAGCTCCACCTGCCCCCCGCACCGTCGAGCAGTTCTAGTTTTTAGCGCCTAGGTCCACAGCCCATGAATGTAAATATTATTTATGATCGCTGCCATTAAAGAGAGTTTAGAGAATGCAAAATCAACCGGATCTTTAATTCTCGGGGAATTTTTAGAATTACTAATTCAAGGGATGACTTGGTGTATTACAGTATTAAAAGATATTGTCATAATCGTACGGTTCGTTGCGGATCCTGAAATCTGAAGATACGAACATCAATCAATGCAAGTTTACAAAGTGATGTCGGTATTTAAGTGTGCGAAGAATGAGCTCAGCAGTCAATATTTGTTTTATTTATCAGAGGGCCCTCATTGAATACAAATGAGGTTTTACTTTTATGATAAACAGTGCCCACACAAATGATTAAGTACCGATAATTGGGATATGCTTATATGACGGATGGAAAAATAATAATTACTTCACCAGAAATAAAATAAAAAAAATTTTTTTTTAAAAAAAAAAATTTTTTTTTTTAAAAATAAAAAAAAAAAAAAAAAAAATTTTTTTTTTTTTTTTTTTTTTAGGAAAGTAATTGTTATTTGTGCCGAAAGACGTTAAGTACAAGTTTATTTTGTTTAACTTTTTTTCCGACTTTCCTTATAAATAAAATTTGAAAACTCTAGGGATACGTGAGTTTATAGTCCAGTGCGTACAGGGGGCAACTATTTGTACTATTATATAATTTTAAAAATAAATTAAAGGGATTTGTAAATAATTTATTACAAAGAAAAGTGTGAACTTTCATAAATAACTTTTATACCCTTACTGAGTGCATTGTAATTTCAGTCAGAAGTTGGCAAAGCAGTGAAGAAGGCTATACGGGCCTGCTAACTTCCATTCTTTTTTCTGTATTATTCATAGATTTGGCCCCTAGACGATATCACTATTAATAAAAAATTGGGATGAATTCTGAGGAATTTCTCTTCTAATGGAACTAACTTTGCTCAAACAATTTAGATAATATATTATTTTACAACTATAATATCACCATTTAACTAGTCTGAAAATATGAATATGATACGTTTTTCCATATTTTGAGAACTACAATTCGGAAAACTTTAAAAATTTGTAATTTTTGTTTAAGCCGAGACTTGTTTTAGATTTTAAAGATTATTAATTTAATTTTATAAAATAAAAGCATCACAAATGTATAATCTTATTTGTCCTTTATCAGGTCATAGTACGAGTAAACCACCAACCAGAAGTAAAGCCCAAGAACTGAAAATGGAATTGGACTAGCTACAAATATCTTAATACGAAAAGTATCTTACGGGATTGAAGAATATCGAAGATAAGATATTCATTGGCAATGCCTTCCGTAGCCACAAACACAGCCTCGGCTACCAAAATGAAGAAACGAAGGCAGGAAACCGAGAGGTAGGGCAATAAAAAGGACCTAAGGCCCTGTAATTATACAACTAAATATTTACTAAATCTAAATTAATGCGCAGGCTCACCAGCACGGCTCCGAGGAGTAGGAATACGCAGCAGATTACATAGATTCCGCTCACCACAAGGGAAACAAATCCCAGCACGCTGTCGCCTAACGGAAAGTTAAAAGTACTTTCGATTTCAAAGAACAAACCTACTTACGATCCACAAAAAAACGATCCAAGCCCCGAATGAGCACCTCTACGATGGCAATCAGGATGCAGCCGCACTTCAGCTCTATGCAGCAACAGCAATTGTCCGAGTAAATCATTTTCGGTTCAGTGGAATTTCTACAACAATCTCAGACATTCCCCGCCTGGCCAACTGACTTACAACAGCAGGTAATTATGTTTCAACTTTAAAGCGTCAATTCTGATCACGTACCATTTTCCCCTGTGGTCTGCATAATTAATTGGTTTTGTGTTTGGGTCAGACCAATTAAGGTCATTGCCATCAAATAGCGGGGCAAGATTATCAGTCGGTGGCCAATATTTAGAGCTACAACTTTAGATTAGTGCCAAATCTATTATTATTTCCAACTGCAATAATTCTAATTCTAAATTTCAGTCTCAATGTTTAGGTTTTCGGTACGGAGGCAATTATCCGAGTCATATTTTAAAAGATCTAATTAAACGAAAATGAAAGTAGTAATCCTTGCCCCTTTTCCCAAGAATAAGTGCCTCAAACATTGACCATTACATATATCTTTATTCGGAAGTCTATAGCTAAATGAATGTACAAGAACCGAAGCTCTTTGCGCCTTGACTGCTGCTGAAAGTCAAGACTTGCAAACGGGAGAATGTTGAGTAATAAATGTAGTTGTGGGTCGACTTAGACTAATAATATGTAAATGCGAGGAGACTTATTTCTAGCCCAGTAAACGCAATGATTATAGTCAGCCTACAGCGGACTTTCGTCTACGGGTCCGCCGATATCCTCGCCCTAGGGGAATCGTCCGCCGCTGTTGAAGTTGTTCGGGGATGGACGACGGATAGGACGCCGACTGCGGGCCCGTTGGGCGAAACGATTATTGTTTGGCGGCATCTGGTCCCGCTGCATGTTTCCCGGCGACGTCTCCCGCTGCCAGACGATCCGCTGCGGCCGGTTTTGATTGTTGGGGCTGCCTCCCCGCATCATGGCGCGACCTCCGCGTCGCGTAGGCACCGCACTGCGCAGCGTGCGAAATCGCGTGTTTTCCGACGGCGAGGTGGCTTCCGCCTCTCGACCCTCCTCCTTGAAAGACAGAAAAATCGATAGAGTTAGAATTAAGTTGGTGAAGAGTACAGTATAGCTTACTCTCTACAGATCTTAAATTTAACATTTGGATGCTTTAAAACTCTTCGCAAAAATTATACTTTTTTGGATCGCCAGTCACATCGGCATAGTGGGCAATAAAAAGCTGAGAACACAGCGAAAGAGACTCGAAAATATTATTTATTTATTGCCAAACTCAAACGACAATACCTTTTGTTATACAAATTTGAAATAAGAGTTATTCGTCAACTTTTATAAGACAAATTTAAAAATGAGGCTTACGGTTTACAAATAAATAAAATTTATAAACTGAAATGCAAAATGAATTGTTTTTATTTTTCATCAGGGTCCGGAAATTGACACATGTTCAAAAAATGAAAAATTAAATTTTACAGTCTGAGCAAATTGTTGACATGTGTGTCAAATACAAAAGCGTTTAACAGTGTATAAAAATAATTGTTAGCACATTCAGCACACATGCGTTTTTTACAAAACGCGTTAATAACACGACGTGTTTTTTACACACTGTGCTTTTAACCAGGGACCGAAAATAATGGTTTTAAATTAATAAAATTTATCGCATCCATCGAGGTACATTTTTGATGTAACATAGTGTAATCATTATTTTTCAGTCTTATTTTTTTTTTATCAAAAATATTTATTATGCTTTAAGTCTTATTATATTACTCAAAAATAAAGAAAAGAAATAAAAAAAAATGTAAGAATCGAAATTTTATCATTTTAGTTATTTTTTTTACTTATAATGATTACGGTCCCTGTTTTTCACACAAATGAAAATTACATTTTACTGGCATTAACGAGTCGAAGGAAAAATGAAAGCCAATATGGGCCAATCTTATTTGTAAGTTTTAACCATTTCAAAGCATATATGAATTCCTAAAAAACGTGAACTTTTCAGATTGACGTATAATTCTGACACTGTAATGTCAAAAACTCATTTTGTTAAAAACACGTTGTGTAAAAAACATGTTGTGTAAATAACACAAATGAACTGCGTGTGATTTTATGTTTCTAACATATGTAGGGTACAATTTGTTACACACAAGTCAATAACTTTTTTTTTTGAACCTAACACTTTGACATTTAACAAGTTAATAACACAAGTTTTTTACAGTGTGTGTTATTTTCCAAACCCTGTTTTTCATTGGATCAGTTGTTGCTCTCACCTTTCAAAAAACGGTCAATAGCATTGAATACATATTGACGGAAAGCAAATGCCATTTATTTCTAGGTTTATATATAATAATTCTGCAGCTTGCAGTAAGCTAAAAATGCTCTATCATTACACTCTACTCTGGACTGTGTTGGCCTTTATTTCTCTCGCTAGAGCTTATCAAGTGATACTATCCATTGAAGATGATTATATTTTTTACATAGACAACATAATAATATATTTTTTATCAGGAATACCGGATCAGCGGAACATAACTACAGGTCTATTTGTAAAAATCGGGCATGCTTATTACCACATTGAAACTAAGACGATTAAGGACTGGTTTGATGCATTCGATTCGTGTCGCCAAATCGGCGCCCATTTAATAGCTTTTGAAACCATTGAAGAATGGGATTTTGTTAATCAGTATTTGCTAAAGAATGGGATAGATGATATATACTGGACTTCGGGTGCGCACTTCGCACAGAAGGTAAAACATGATTGGTTCTCAATTGGTAAACCCATTTCATTAGATATTTGGTATCCGGGAGAACCAAATAATTACGGTGGATTAGAGGATGGTGACGAGTTTACTTACAAACGCACACCGAACAATTACAATGCTTTACATGGCAAAAACTGCGCAGACAAAAGAGGCTACATATGTGAGAAATTATTTTTAAAATCATTCTCAATTGTTATCTGGGAAAAAATAATAATATTCCAACCCAAAACTGGTTTTATTTTTCGAAGGAAAATGTTATGGAAATTTGGTTTCAAGCAAAAATAGCTTTAACTGTAACTCGGGGGTTAATGGCATTCCAATTAGATTCATTCCCATGCAGGGCCTTTTTCGGACCAACCTGCTGCTTTCCAATGTTAACTAGCCACCAGATAAGGTGTTATTGTGGACAAGAATGCGTCCTTACCTCAACACCCACCGCCTGCTTCTCACCCTCGGAGGAGACGCCGTCGGCGCCCTCGCTGTCCTCGGTGGGGTTGCCCTCGTCCAGATTGGCCTGGTTGTGCGACACCTCTGACTGACTGGTGCCCACATTCGGATCTGCATGGGTGGACTGATTAGTTCTTCGCTCTTTTCCCTTTTCTATCTCGAACTTACTATCATTTCCCAGTGGCTGCGAGTCTTCTCCTTGGCCAGTGGCCAGTGTCTCCTCGGCGAAGGCCTCATCCGCTTCGCTGGCATTTTCTGCTCCTCCAGCATGATCACCCTCGTCGGCTGCTTTGTTGGCATCGCTTCCACTGCCAGCCTCTCCAGCCTCGCCCTGTTTTTGTGGGGAACTGGCGGCGGCACCTCCCTCATCGCTGGGCCCTGCGCTTTCATGTGGACCACCCACGGCCACCTCGGCGGTCCCATCAACTTCGGCGGTCTCCAAGCGGGCTGGTTGCTCACTGAAGTTCGAGACCTGCGGTGAGCTGACAATCTCCATGGAGCTGTGGATAGGAAATCAATTAGTTCCGCTCATCGAATACCACTACTGTTTACCCACCTCTCGTTGCGTCGGGCAGCTGCTGTGGACGTGGAGGCGGCTGCTTGCTTCCAGTTGGAGGCCTCACTCGGCGGCAGAGTCACCGGATTCGAGGACTCCCCGCTGCCACTGGTGATGGCCTGACTCTGGTTGTTCTCCTGCGTAGAAGCGGATGCGGTGGCCACTGCCTGGCTGTCCAGCGATTGGCTCTCCTCCTGCGCCTGCATGTGCTGCTCCGGCACCTCCTCGATGTCCACCTCGTTGTTGTCCTGCGCATCCACAGCGATGTCATTGTCATCGTCGGCACCCTCGTTGTCGTCCATCTCGTTGTCCTGCTCATAGGAATCCTCGTAGCCCTCCTGTTCGGCCTCGCCGCCATCGATGGGACCACCGTCGTCGGCATCGGCCAGCACGTCCTCCTCGTCGTCCGAGTCGACCACTTGAATTTCATCCTCCTGATCGCGTTGCGAGGAGGTTGGCATCTGATCCACATCCATTCCGGAGTCGCCAATGTGTCCGGCGGATAGTTCTCCACTGTGCGTGGGAACGCGAAGTCTTTTCGTCATTTTTGGCATCTTCTCGGGAAGTCCCTCCTCGTTGGTGGTGGAGGAGTCACCCTCCACATCCCGCGGCCGCTTGATGCCCTGCGATGAGCAGCCCGCCTGGGTGGTCGTCACATTGCTGCTGGAAGGCGTGTGCCTGCTGTGGCTACTCACCACCGTGGATGAGCTGCTGCTGCTGCCCGAGGTGCTGGGCTGCTGGCTCTGACTGCCGCCATCCTGGATACCGGGAGCAGTGGCATTTGGCACGGAAGTCGATGAAGACGAGGATCCTTCTACGCGTGGCGACACAAGAGCCACCACTTGCTGCTGGGCTCCTCCTACAAACAGCTGCGAATCGTTCTGCTGCGGATGCTGGATGCTCTCCGCCTCCTGGGAACTCTCGGCCGCGGAGGAGGCGCCCATGGGTGGGATGGCAGCCACCGCCACGGAGGCAGAGCTCGTGGACGGCATGTAGTCGGTGTGCGAGGACGTGGGCGAGGAGGAGGCCATCGATTCCAGGGCCGCACTGCCAGTTGTGTGCACCTGTTGCTGTGGCGGCACCAGCGCCGTTTGGGCCACCGCCGAGCTGCCTCCGCTGGCCGCAGCGGATGATGTGGATGAGGATGAAGAGGAGGAGGACGACGACGACGAAGAGGTGGACGCACTTGATCCCGCCGGCGGCTGCTGACTGGTGGGCAGAATGGCGGCCGTGCGGCTGTTCTGCACCGAAATCGGTCGGATGCTGGCCAAAGGCGTCTCGCCTCCGCGCCACGGAGTCACGGTGGCCGACTGCTGCACTGTGGCCGATCCGGACATGGGCTTCACGTTGGCCGTGCGCGGAGAGCTCTCCGAGATGTTGCCCTTCTCGGCCACGGAGCTGGTCGACGGCTTGGTGGACTGCTGCGAACCCAGCTGACGGGTGAGCTGGTTAATCCGCATGTGCAGCGATTCGTTCTCGCGCGTGAGTCGCTGATTGATGTCCTTGTTGGCGGCTATGTTCTCCTGCAGCTCCTTCTCCAGGCGCGCGATGGTCTCGTCGTAGGAGGACTTGGTGCCGGCAAAGGTGGTCTCCTGGTTGGCCAAGTCAGTTCGAGCCACGGTGAGATCCACCACCAGTTTGTCCAACTTGGCCTTGTACTCCTGACGCACGGCACTGGCATCGGTTTCTGGTTCATTGCGTTTCTTCAGCTCCTCGCACTCCTTGACCACCTTTTCATGCTCCTCCTTTAGAGCTCTCAGTTGATTATTAACCTCCTCCAACTCGCTGCGAACCTTCTCCAGTTCCGCGACGGATTCGGCTCCTCCGGCTTGGGCTTGCAGGCCCATGTAGAAGTCCTTGTAGCGCTTGGCCAGCTTGCGCAGCTGCAGCTCCTTGGTGTCCTTGTCGGCTATGGTCTTGTCCTTGGTCTCCAGCTCCTCGCTGGCCTTCAGCAGCTCCTCCTCCTTCTGCAGCAGCCGGTTCTTCAGCTCCATGATGTCCTGCGTCTGCCGCGTGTTGTTCTGCTTGAGGTTGGTGAACTCGTCCACCTGCTTCTTGCGCGCCTCGTCCAGCAGTTGCAGGTGCTTGTTGAGGGATGGGATCTCGGTGTCCATGCGCTGCTTCAGCAGGACGAGCTCGTCCTGTTGCTTCTTGCTCAGCTCCTTTTCGGCGGTCAGCAACTTGGCCAGGTGCTCGCGCTCAGCCTGCAGCCGCTTGAACTCCTCCGGATTGCGGTTGCTCTTCTCGACCAGCGCATTGGCCCGCTGCCGCCACTTGATGGCCTCGGTGCGCAGCGAGGTGTTCTCCACATTGATCTCCTCGATCTTCGAGGTCAGCTCCTTGTTGCTGCACTGCAGCGGGAACAGTTCCTTCTCCACACTGCCGATGCGTTCGTTCAGCTCGGCGACTCGAAGGGTCAAGGCATTTCGCTCCTCGCGCAGGATGCGATTGCTGTCCGTGATGGCGTTCAGGGTTTCGATCTTGCGCAGCACCTCCTCGTGCTTGTTGGCCGACACCACGTCCGTCTGGCTCTTGGCGCGCTCCTGATTGAGATAGCCATTCAGCTCGTCCACCTTCTTCTGCTGAATGGTGTGCTCCGACATCAGGCGGGCATTCTCAGCCTTCAGAATGTCCAGCTTGGCGGCGAACAGATCCTTCTCCTTGCGCAGGAACTTGATAATCTTCAGCAGCTGCTCGTTGTTCCTGCCCTCCTCGCCTGGACAGGCTGCACCAGAGGCATTCAGGCTCTGATCTGCATCCATTGCTGATTCGTTGAGGGAAGTATTCGGGTTTTGACTGGCCAGTACCGCCAGTTTAGAGGTCAGCGCTTCGATTTGATCGTGCAAACTGGCGTTCAGGGCATGCAAATCGGCCACTCGCTGCTCCGACTCCGCCTTCTCCTTGTCCAGCAGCTTCTGGGCCTCGGCATTGGAGCGCAGGAGCTCGTCATAAGCCGCCTGCAGTGATTCGCGGCCCGACTTCAGTTGATTCAGCTCGTCGTTGGCCTTGAAGAACTCGGCCTTGTAGCGGGTCAAGTCCTGGATGTCCGCCGAGTGCTGCACCATTCCGTTGGCGTACTTCACCTCCACGGCACTCAGGGATTCGGCCAACGAGGTGTTCTCGCTGCGCAGCGTGCGAATGGTGCGATTGGCCTCGGTTAGCTTCTCCAGCACGCTCTTTAGCTCCTCTTGGGCCGACTTCAGCTGACCCGACTGGTTGACCGTCTTGCTCTGCTCGGTGACATTCGACAGCATGGCCTCCGCCTCCAAATCGGTTATCCGCGTCTTCAGCTCAGCCTCGGAACTCTGCAGCTTTTTGATTTCCTCCTCCTGCTTGGCCACCAATTCGCTGTGCAGATCGTGCAGACGCTTGATCTCCGCCTCGGCGCTCTGGGACATCTTGTAGAACTGCTCGCCGTGCTCGCGGGCCTTGGCCAGCTCCTTGGTGAGCGACTGGATCTCCACGGTGGCCTGATCCAACTTAAGCTCGAACTCCCTGGCTCGCTTATTCGCAGCCGCAATGGGATTTTCGTTGATAGAGGGCGTAAGGCTGTCCTGTAGCTTCTTGCTCAGCTCGTTCACCTGGCTGACCTTCTGGGCAAGCTCGTCGCGAACCGCAGTGAGTTCCGCCTGCCACTTCTCGGCCTGCTGCTTCTCCTCCTCCTTCAGCTTGATGGCCGTCTCTGCCTGCCGCTTGAACTCGTTGATCGATTCCCTGAACTTCTCCTCCTCCTCCTGGAAGTGGCGTCGCTGGGCGGACAGCTCCCGAACCGTGTCATCCAGCCGCTGCTCCAGCCGCTGACGTCCCTCCATCTCGGATCGCTCCAGGTTGGTCTTGATGAACTCCAGACTGTTCAGGAGCATCGACTGGCTCTGCTGCTCGCGGTGGTAGGTCTCCTTCTCGATCTGCAGCCGCGAGGAGGTGTCCCGCAGGATGCGGTTCTCCTGCCGCAGGCTGTGGGCCTCCGAATCGGCAGCTGCATGCTTGCGGTGGGCGGCCATCACCTCATCCTTGAGCATGTGCACGGTTTGCTCGTGCTTAACTATGGTCTTCTCGTAGCTCTTGGTGCGCTCCTCCAAAGTGGCCACCTGTTGCCTGTAGGTGGCGATGTTCTTGTGCAGCAGCTCGATCTGCTCCTTCTGGAACTCCGTGGCGTTCATCAGCTTGCAGTTGCCGCTGGTCAGCTCGCGCACCTCCTTGCGCATCGAGTCGAACTGCTCCTGGGCCAGGGCGTCGTTCTTGCGCTTCTCGCTGGTGTAGTAATCGTAGTTCTCCTTCAGAGCGGCATACTTCTTGACCTCCTCCTCCAACTGCTGCTCCAGCTGGCGCACTCGCCGCTCCAGTTTGCCCATCTCCTCTATTTTGGCGGCCGACTGCGTGGAGGTGTCGAGCACCGAGTCGTTGAGCTCCAAATTGGAGTCGTCCAGATCCACCGTCCTCTGGCCGAGCTTCTTCTGCGCAGCGAAGTAGAACTTCTTGTAGCGATCGCACTTGGACAGCAGCGTGGTGACCGTGTTGTTCTTTTGGGCCAACAGCTCCTCCATTTCGGCGAAGCGCGCATTGAGCTTGCTCACCCGCTGTTCAGCCTGCTCCAGCAGCAGCTTGTCCTGGTTCTTTTCGCTCGCCTCCAGCATATCGGCCAGTTCGCGGGACACACTCAGCAGGTGGGTGTTCTTTTCGACCAGTTCCTGGATGGAACTGAAGGTAACCAGATTGTCGTCGATCACACTTTCGCTGGTGGTCGCCTGGCGTGGCTGTTGGTTGCGAATGAGCGGCACTCCGGCCCGCAGGCAGTTCAACTCGTCCAGCAGCATGCACACCTGCCGGCTGAGATCGCTGTGCGTCTGCTTGAGCTTCTTGTTCTCCTTCTGGGTGTGCATAAGGTTGAACTGGGTCCTCTCCAGCTCGTGCTCGATGGTGATCTTCCGTTCGGCCAGCTCGTCGTGCTCCTGCAGCAGCTGGTTGTGCGCCTCCTTCATCTTGTGGTAGTCGGAGTTCTGTTTCTCCAGCAGCGGAGCATTCTCGCTGATCTCGCCCAGGATGGACTTGACCTGGAGCTTCAGCTGCTCGATCTCGCGATTGCGCATCTCCAGCTGTTCGCTGTTCTTGGCGTACATGGAGTAGAGCTCGGTGAGCGAGAGATCGGAGCGCATGAGGCGACTGGCCACCGCTGCGCTGGGAGCCAACTTGCAGATGGCGCTCTCCAGGGTGCTCTCCTGAGCCTCCTTGAGCAGCTCGTTGGCCCCAGCCAGCTCCCGCTGCAGAGCCTCAATCTTGCAGTTTTTCTCCTCCATTTCAGCGGTGTGCTGCTGCTTGAGGGCAGACATCTGGGCGTCCAGCTGGGCCACCTGCTCCTCGGTCTCCTCCAGCATGCGCTTCATGTCGCTGATGCCCTGCAGAAGCTCCTCGCGCTGGGCCAAGTGGTCGGCCTCGGTGTTCTTGAAGATATCGAACAGCTTCTCCTTGGCATCGAGCTCCTGCTTTAGCCGCTCCACATACTCCTCCGTGGCCTGGTTCTGCTTGTAGGTGACGTCGTTCTGGGCCTCCACCTTGCGGTTCAGCTCCTCGATGGTCTTGACCGCCTGCCCGTACTGCGCCTGGACCAGCTGCAGGGCATCGGTCTTCTCCTTGAGCCGCGACTCCAGCTGCATGGTGTTCAGCGAGTGCTCCCGCCTGATGTTCTGCAGCTCCGAGTTGTTCCTGTTGAGATCTCCGCTCAGCAGCTGGATCTCCTGCTGCAGCATGTGGCGCTCGCTCTCCATGCGGCTCTCCTTGAGCTCCAGGGCCACCTCCTTGCTCTGGATCTCGTCCACGCGGGCCAGGGCCTCGCACTTGGCGGCAATGGCGCTGCTCAGCTGCTGCTGGTAGGTGTGCAGGTCCTGCTTCAGCCGCTCCAGCTCCGACTGCTGCCGCTCGACGACGTTCATCAGCGAGTCGCGCTCCTCGACGGCCGCCGTCTTGTCCTTGCGCAACTGCGACACGCTCTGCTCGCAGCCGTCGACCTTCTCCATTAGCTGGGCCCGCTCCAGGGACACCTGCTCCAGCTGGCTGCGCAGCTCGTTGACATTCTGCTGGAAGTTGTTGAATTTCGCCAGGTAGTCCTCCATTTTGTTCTCCAGACCCTCACTTTTCTTCTCAGCCTCGGCTGCGGAAGGGCACACAAATTATTAATTAGATATTATAATATTATATTAGAGCAACGTTTTGAGACTCGAAGAGTCTTTATTAATTAAAATTTAAAGAGTTTCGCGGTCGTGAAAGTGAAAAAGTTCAGTCTTTGGACTGTCTCTGCTTTAAAGAAAATTTGTGACTTGACAGGTTGTGTCAGTCTGTACATTTCTGTCAAAAGCCGAAAAAGGATTCTCTGATATATGGCCAACTTTGACAGCTGTGTTGTAAAAGATTTCGCAACAGAGTTATTTCAGAAATCTCCAAAGATTTAAAACATTACGGCAATTCAAATTTTTTGGTGGGAAAATGGTCAGTGTTACCACACTGTCGGCAGGTAAAAATCAGAACCAGAAAAAAAAACATATGCAGCAGCCATTGTTTTCAGAGCAAGAAGCCGGAAAATTCAAGAAAATGTATTGGTAACCATAAAAGGGTTTGGCAAAAGTCTGCCAACCATTAATAAATATGTTATGAAGGAAGATTGGTATAAAAGGCTTTTATCTCCGAGCTACAAGTAGTGCAAAATGAGCCGGCAGCCAAGAAAATTTGGAGTCCCAAAGGTACATACATATGTGCTTGTTAAATTGCTTATATCAAATGATTGTATGAGTTAAAGCAGACATGTTTATTTAAAAGATAACTCTAACTAACTCACCCAACCGATTGGCGGCCGCACGCTCCTTGCAGTACTCATCCGAAAAATGTTGTATGTACGCCGACAATTTCTTCTGCACGTCCTCCGGCACGAGTTTCAACTCCTCGGGCTGAAGTATTTGGTTCAGAGTCTGTGGACCGCTGAGATCCATGTTCGCAGTTGATCCTTGTCAGGCAGTGATGAAAATTTAAGTGGAGCGGTGCGAAATATACGAAATACGTTCAGTTTTTTGGCGAAATTTGCTTTCAGCCGCTGGTGAGACGCGAAAAACGGATTGTGCAGTAGAGATGGAACAAAATCGATATTCCTTCGGTACTATCGATGTTTTACAAAATTTAGAACATCGACTACTTCACTTTTATAAGCTATTTCCACACAACAGCGTCCACCATCTGTACCGGTTAGATTTTTGTATACAGCGTTATTTCTTCTTTATCACAGTTAAAACTGCAACTTTCATTAAGAAAACGTAAAACAAAAAAAAAAACAGGGCCGAAAATAATTGAAATTGTACATTTTTATAATGTAACTCAAAAACAAAAACTGTTGATTGTTGATTTTTATAATAAAAGTCGAGAACGAAATTTAACAAATAATTAAAAACCTGCTTACCAAGTTCTATAAACTTACTAAAAATCATTTTGTATATTTTAAAAGTATATTTTCTTTAAATTTATTTTTACCACAAAATCGCCATAAAAAATGTTGGAGTTTTATTTTTAATCATATGGAATAACTGTTATTTCTCAATTTTTATTATAAAACTCAAAAAATGTCAGTTATACTCTGAGTTTTACTTCACAAATCAGAAAATTACTGTTAAAATGCGATTTTTAAAACAAAACTAATAAAGATACGGTCCCTCAAAAAAAAACCATAGCCAGCTGTTTCGAATGTTTCAGTGAAAAGTTTTCACTCGTGATCGCCAGGTGAATCATCCGTGACATATCATTTGTCTTTTATTAGTGACATTTGTATGGGATGTCCGCATTTCCACAGTGGCAGTTCAGATCAAATGTTTTGAAGTCACTGGTGATATCGCAAGTGCCTTTTACGAATTGTTCATTTGAGAGTTAACCACCCCTTGACATGTCACGCATGATTTCACTTGTCACATTCAAAATATGTTCGATAGGATGTCACTTATGAAAATCCCTCATCGTGTCACCTGTGTCATGGATAATTTCATGGATGACTTTTATAAAATGTCATCGGGTGCCCCGACTATCAGATACCCGTTACTCAGCTGGATGGAGTGCGAGGGAGATGGAGATATAAAACATTGATCGGGCATAACTTTGTAACGAATGGTCCGGTTTGAACAATTTTTCTTCTACATTTCGATCAGTATAAATAAACGCAAAAAAATAGCATTTATACTTCTCTGAAATCTTAAAAATTTGGGCGCTAGACACATTTTCAAATCGTTTGTGGGCGTTAGCGGGACGTGGCGCTCGGCTAAAATAAACTTGCGCTGCGTAGGAATCCCAAGAATATGTGTGGGTAATCCCAACTTTCTAGCTTTTGAAGTTTCCGAGATCTCAGCGTTCATACGGACGGACAGACAGACAGACGGACATGGCTAGATCGACTTGGCGGATGATCCTGATCAAGATTATATATACTTTTTAGGTTCGGAAACGCTTCTTTCTTCCTGTTACATACTTTTGCACGAATACAATATACCCTTTTACTCTGAGAGTAACGGGAATAATTAATTTATTTCGAAATACAATATGTACCTAAAATGTGAGGGCATGCACATGTCGCTGCGCCACAAACAGTGTTCCGCCATTATTTTGGTCTCTAGCAGAATATAACGGATAGGATATAATAATTTCGAGATTTGTCACTGTAAGTGCCGTGTGCAAGTAGATTATAAGACAAAGAAAAATAGCGCAATCTATGAATATCTCCCTCTTTTTATTGCACTACCGTGCCTGCAGAACTGAACTGGAGTAATCGGGTTTTTAGTCTAGCTTTTAAAGTCAGCTTACACTAGAATGGAGTTCCTTAACAGGGACTTTATCTGTTCGAGAAATGTTTACCGACATTGTAAGGAGTTTTCCATAATTATTAGAAAGAGAACTGTATTTGGGTTTTGTTTATGGTATTTTTTAAAACCAATATTTTTGCATATTTTAATATTAACGACTTATAATATGGACAGAAGTTAAGTTATTACATTCCAAACATATAGTATCCTTTTCTCATCTGCATGTTAAATTTAAGGCAAGGTTTAAACCTTAAAAAAGGTATGAAAAATCAGATTTTAAAGCCTACTTTTAATAACACATGCGGACGAAAAAACGCACCTTAGTATAAAGCAACAAATGATCAACTCAACGTCATCCAATGCTGGAACGTGTTTCTTTAAATAAATTCGGTTCCGTTTTAAGTTTTGAACTCCTCTGAACAAGCCAGACTTTATATCTGTAACTGAAAGCGAAACCAAGTGTTTGATTTCTCCCACACCTTCTTTTTTACTCTCTGCGGGAACGTAAATCTCATTTCATTCTTCCGGGAGAATTTGTTGCTGCTTTTAATTGCACTTGTTTAAACATTTTTTTCGCTCTGCAGTTACTTTAAACTTAATAAAATTTTGAAAATGAATATAGTACTCGTACATTTGTATTTCTAAGTAGCTTGTAATTTCCTTTATAAAATATGATTCAAAATTTATGATACATTCGCCTTCGTGTCACCGAAGATTCCATTACGCTGAATATAAATTAGTAATTCAAATACGTTTGTATGTTTACTTTAAAACAGGAAAATCTATAATCGAACCAGTAGTAATAAAACCCATAATTCCGTAAACTTAACCTTTGTGCGAATTTTACGTCTCACTTAAAAAATTTATTATCGCATAATTTTGGCTGTGTCGGTTGTGATAGATTTCAACAATTTTTTTTAAAGCAATGCATTAACGCTACTATTTCCCTTAATTTAGATAGGTTTTAATTTAAGTTTGCCGCCCAAAAATATTCAAGAACCTTTCCATTCCTCTCTCTCAATCATGCATCGTAATCGGTCAAGGGAAAATCTCAAAATCAAACAAACCCGTGTCACAAACAAAAGAGATAATAATAACATCGGCACCTGCTCGTGATCTCCGCTGAAAATGTGAGAGGGAGAGGGAGCGAGAACTCGTCTGTGACTCTATACTAAAAACCTGCCAATCGCTTTATAACGTTGGGGCATAAAAGCGCCGGAGTTCACTCGCAAACGTTTCGGGGTCGCCTTGACACGCTCGCGAATCGTAACGCTGCTCAGTAAAAAAAAGCGGTCACAAATCGCGAAAAGTTCCAAAATTTCCGTAAAAGTGTAAGGCAAAAATTTTCGTGTGACATAAAATGGTTTCGCGTTTAAGGATACATATAGAACAAAATTTTAAAAAGGTTTCGACGAAAAAAGCTTGTACCTACATTTGACTAAATAAATATACTTTCTAAATTATTCTCATTGAACTTTCTAAAGTTTTGGTATCCAATCCCTTTAGCTTTTGCGATACCTTTCGATTGTATCACTGTTAATAATCGGTCCACTACATCAGATTTTCTTTTCTTAGTGTATATATTTCGTCACTACGTGTCCTGCCGTCCACAGTGATCCTAAAAAGACAACATGTTCAAATTTATACTGCCCGTATTATTACTGATTGCATCGTAAGTGCTAGTTTAGAATTTAACAAATCGCAATATTTAAGAAAAAAGTTATATCAATACTCGACATATTTTTAAACAAAATTAAATTGGAAACGTTCGTTTTTAATTTTTAGGCCCAACCAAATTCCCACGCAAATACTATGAGTTGCATTATATTAAGGTTGAGATGACACATCAAATTTTTATTGTGACAATTTATCTTTTTGTGAGAGTTTAAAGAAGTGCCATCGAGACAAGAATTAGCGGTAGAACAGCCAAACATATTTTGATTCTATCTCGCACTCGATTCAAGTCCCATTAACGAACAATTTCCTACAATAAATTGACGTTGAAAATTTAATGTGTCATCTCAGCATAAAGATTTTATCAAAGCAATTGCCCGAACAATAGATTAAATCTTAATTTAATAAACAAATTGTATTATTACTTACTAAGTTATAAATTGTTTTAAATATAAATATATACAATTATTTTTAGAAATTTCAATTTGCCAAAACAAATAAATATAACAGAACATATACAGAGAACAAAACAATTATCAGTATTAAAATTCAAATTTGTGTTTAATCTGGACTGACCTTAACCGGCCATTCGCTAATTGATATATAAATAATGCACAAAATTTAAATTTAAACCAAAATTGTCGAAACATTCGTCAATTTTGAATGTCACTTGCTTTTGCAGTGGACGTGGGTGAAGACCAACGGGGGGCGAGTTTTAAAAAAGACTTAGCAGTATCTCTCGATTAACAAATTACCATATCTTTATAGATGTCTAGACAGTGCGGCGAGCCAAACCCGTCGATTCCCCGACGACTTTCGCTGGGGAGTTGGTTCATCTTCCTATCAAATCGAGGGAGGTTGGAACGCGGATGGTAAGGGGGAGTCGATCTGGGACTTTCTTACACACAATTATCCCGAGAAAATAGCCGATAAGTTAAACGGTGATATCTCGGCGGACAGCTATCATCAGGTAAGCCTATATTCTACTTACGTCGCTATTGGACAATGGGCAAATCGATAATAGAAGTATTCAGAATCAAAAGTTATGCATGTAGTTCAAGATCTTCAGACTGGAAAATATTTAAGTAATTTGCAAGTGATGCACTCTGATGGCTTTTACTTACACAGCTTTTGACGCTGTTCAAAATCTATAGATTGTGCTCACAAAACTATTAGCAAAGAGTCGCATAAATCAAGAGGAGCAGGCATATTGGCATGGGGACACCTGTTTCTGATAATAAACCTGTCTTCATCTGAGATATTCACCCGATTAATGGCTCTTGATCAGTGCTGAATTAATGATCTTTCAACATTAAGCAGTCTTGAAGGGCACCTCAACGAAGAAATGGAACCATATGTACATTTTTAAAAGATAGTAGCAAAGTATTTTACAGCAATCTGGTTAGAACTGATAAAGATTTTTACTAATTTGTAAATGTGATTTTTGTTTATTAAGCACTTTTCCAATTTTTAAAGATACTGATATGATAGAGTTATCTTTTCTTATCAGCCTATAACTGAGCACACTTTTAATATAAGTCTTAAACTTTGTAGTAAAATCTTGAGCTCTAAATTAGGGGAAATAGGAAAAATAATAAATCTATTTAGGGAAATTAAGGACAATTTTTTTAAAGCTTTTTAAACTGATGATGATTCTTTTCTTTTGTTTCTTCGAGTCTTTGGCACTTTGTGTTTTGGCAACTCAGTTTCTATTTGTTACCTTGTAATTGGTAAAAAGTCTTTAAAAATTGAATAGAAGTGAATAGAATAGAGTGCATTTTATATCGAGAACAAATTCGAAATACTTTAAAAGGGTTAGCCAGCCGAGCACGCGATCGACGGACACGCTTATCGCGATGAAGTTGATATAAGAGCTCTGACTTTGAAGTTAATTAGCTGTTACGTCTGCGTGACCCGACAATCGGTTTAGCTTTAATTTTGAGTGTCTTGACACAATGCCGTTCAGTAATTAAAATCCTCGAATTGCTAGTTAATCATACAACAATTCATACAAAATGGATAAAAAAGTGATTTTCTATCTCAAACGTATTGTATCCCTAATGCCCTAATGTACAATTTACATAGGTATCCTATTTTACTAAATGAAGCATCTTACAATTGTCTAATAATCCTTAACCCTTTTAGTGGAAACGAGATGTTCAAATGGTGAAGGAACTGCATGCGGGCACGTACCGCTTCTCCTTGTCCTGGACCCGAATAATGCCCGGTGGATATAAGAATAACGTCAGCACGGCGGGCATTGAATACTACTCAAACCTGATCGACGAGCTGCTCCGGTACAATATTACTCCGATGGTGACGATCTACCATTGGGACATGCCGCAAAGGCTTCAGGAGCTGGGCGGCTGGACCAATCCGGAGATTATACCCGTGTTCAAGGATTACGCTCGCTTGGTGCTGGAAATGTTCGGTGATCGGGTAAAGACCTGGACCACGATCAACGAGCCCTTGCATGTGTGTGAGTGTGGCTATGGGCTGGATTATATGGCACCGTCTTATAACTACCCCGGCATTCCCTCCTATCTGTGTGGTCACAACGTGCTGAAAGCCCACGCTGAGGTGGTGCACATGTATCGGGAACTCTTCCAGTCGCAGCAAGGTGGACGCATTGGCATTACCATGGATACATCCTGGATGGAGCCCAAGGATGTCACCTCCACCGAGGATCGCGAGGCCTCCGAGCGAGCCTTGCAGTTCTATTTGGGCTGGTTTGCACACCCCATCTTCTCCAAGGAAGGCAACTATCCCAAGGTGATGATCGAGAGGATCAGGAATCTGAGCAAGGAGCAGGGCTTTGGTGATCGCTCCAGATTGCCCGAATTCACCGCGGAGGAGATTCAGCGCATCCGTGGCACCGCCGATTTCTTTGGAATAAATTCGTACACCACCAAACTGGTCTATTCGAATGGACACAACAATACCGGCAAGTTCCCGGTTCCTTCGTTCAATCACGATATGGGAGCGGTGGAGACCCAGAAGGGCGTCGACTGGCCCAGTTCGGGGTCTAGTTGGCTTAAGGTGAGTTTAAGAAGTCATAATCAGTCTTAGGTCTTCTATGTTATGTAATGTCTAGACAAACCAACATAAACTTCCTGCAGCAAAGATAAATTTGTATACCCTTGCAGAGGGTATTATAATTTCAGTCAGATGTTTGCCACGCAGTGAAGGAGACGTTTCCGACCACATAAAGTATATATTTTCTTGATCAGCATCAATAGCCGAGTCCATCCAGCTATGTCTGTCTGTCCGTCTGTCCTTCTGTCCGTCTGTCCGTTTCTATGCGAACTAGTCCCTCAGTTTTAAAGCTATCGCGATGAAACTTTCCCAAAAATCTTCTTTCTATTGCAGGTAGTACATATGTCGGAACGACACCGGATCGGACCACTATATCTTATGGCTCCCATAGGAATTATCAAAAAAATAGTAGAAAAACCATTGTAACTTTGTAGAAAGAAGGCGTTTTGATTTTTGCTTGTAAAAACAACATTTTAAATAGGCATATCTGCAAGGGTATATAAACTTCGGCTGGTCGAAGTTAAGTTCCTTTCTTGTTTGAACTAAATCCTTAATACTCTATGATTTTATGAATTTTTTGTAAAGTATTCTGCCTAGAATATAATGCTAATAAAGGCGTTAAGGTGTAATTCATTTTTATGACCTTTAAATGTTTTGTAGATCATAAAATAATTATATTAAGGGCTGTATCCTCGTCCACCTGTTAAATTTAAAGGATACTTTAAACTCTGATTTCCCATACGATTTTTAAGCTTTAACCCTGCTTTAAAATTTAATGTTTAAATTTATCAAACGGACGAGAAAACGGCTCTAAGAAGATATAAAAATCATCCTTCCTTCTTTGCCCACAATTTAACAATATAACCATATTTCCGTCATCTTCTGTCTATTTTTGCAGGTCTATCCCAGGGGAATGTACAACCTGTTGATGTGGATTCACCGAGAGTACAACCCACCCAGGATATTGGTCACGGAGAATGGCGTCAGCGATCGTGGTGGTCTGGAGGACTACGCTCGTGTGGATTACTATAACCTATATCTCTCAGCGGTGCTGGATGCCATCGAGGACGGTGTGAATGTCAAGGGCTATATGGCCTGGAGTCTGATGGACAGCTATGAGTGGAAGGTTGGCTTTTCCGAGAAGTTTGGCCTCTATCACGTGGACTTCAATTCGCCGAATCGCACAAGAACCCCCAAGGTTTCGGCGCTAGTCATGGCCCAGATCTATAAGACCAACACCATCGATTGGAGCTACAGACCCAAGCTCAATGAGGAACAGCTGGTGGCCTTGGCCCAGTTGTCGACCGAGAATCAACAGCCCAAAACAAGTGGTGCTAGTGGAGCTGTGAGTTGGAGTCTCACGGGTCTTCTTCTCCTGGCTCTCCTTAGATAAGAGAAAACGCGTTAGGAAGAGCCTTGCTATATCCTACTATATAATATAATAATATATACATAATATAAATAAAAGAAAGAAGAACACAAATTTGTTCTTCTAAATCTCCAAAAGTTGTTGACTTTCTTTGGCAAACGTAAGATGATCAACCGTTTCCTTATTCTGTATTCGTCGAGGAAATATAAATATTCTTGATCAGGATCACAAGCCCAGTCGATTTAGTTTAAAGGACGTATTGACTAAGGAGTATAACAATTATTTTGCCTTTCACAGAGTGTTCCACGTTGAACGTTAGCTTAAACCATTGGGTATGAAATAAACTGTGGTTTAAGTAGTGAAAAATATATGTTGATGAATAAGGTATTCCGTTTAATCCCAAAAACTCGTTTTCCTTTCTGATTTTGGTGTTTATTTGGTATTTCTCTGTTTGGGTAAATGTCTCACAACAACTAGTTTAAGTCTAGGATAATGCGATGCTCTGAAGTCAAACCTCCGATCTGCCTATAGCCTCTCTGCTTTTCCTGCGCCACGTTGAGTCCAATCTGATATGGGCATGCGAACCTAGTCTATAGTCGGCCTATATAACATCTAATCGGGCATGGATCGTAACTATCATATTATAAAGTTTTATACGGGTATTTGTAGTTCATGTCTTTTTAACTCAGTTCTTTTTGCGCAACTTTTGGTGCTCAGTTGTTTGTTGGTTGTTTGGTTTCTTCGTTTGAATATCATCTCACACATCCTTTTGCTGTTGCTCAACCGAGGGATAACAAGCGATTGGATGCGAGTGGGCATGGATTGGTTAAGATAGGGATGAGAACTTTCGGATAGTATTAATAGTAACTGGTAGAATCAGCAATATCGGTGAGGCATTCGAACTCTGAAACTCAGGAACTCAACTAGTATTTGATCGCTACTAAAACACGATTAACTTATGGGGGCAACCAGCTAATTAGTAACCACCTATTCCTAGGCCTCCTCGCAGTCCTCCTCCTCGCGCTGGACAAACAGCCGGTGGTTGCGAGCCTCCAGGACAGACCACACGACCATCGGAGTGCAGCCGAGCACCATGCAGGATCCCATGCAGTAAAAACAGATTTCGTAGTCCCCGGAGAGATCCCGCATCAGTCCCGCCAGCGGGGGCACCGAGATGGCTCCGATGCTCTGGAACATCCTCACCAGCCCATAGCTCGAGCTGATCCTGTCCGTCCCGAACAGGTCGGCCAGGAGCACGGGCATCAGGACATACCAGCTGCCCAGGCACAATCCGTAGACAGCAGCCGACAGACCCACCAGAACCAGGGTCTTGGCGAAGGGAATCGTGAGCACGGCACATCCGGCGCCCAAAATGCTGTCATTGTAAGGAAAACATTTTAGTCTGGATCGGCAACTTGCTGGTTTTATCTACTCACCACAAGGTGTAGGTCTTCTTGCGATCGAACAGCTGCAGGTCACTCAGCCAGCCGAGGCCCAGGCGCCCAATTAGATCCAAAACCGCGCTGACCGCCACCAGGTATCCCGCCTCGCTTTTGTTGTAACCTACAGTGATTGAATGTAGAATTTATAAATTATATCTTTTGAAGAACCATATTTAATAACAAGAGAGAACGCTAAAGTTAAGAGCTTCGACTATCAGATACCCGTTACTCAGCTGAAGGGAGTGCGAGGGAGATGAATGGATCGCGCCATCTAGCGGCTGTTTAAATTTTTGATGGCTCCATCTAGCGGCAGATTCAATTTTTGTTCATAACTTTTTAACAAATGGTCCGATTTAAAAAATTTCTTCTACGTTTTGATAGGTATTGTTAAACACAAAAACACATTTATAGTTTTCCTAAATCTTTAAAGGTCAAGACGGACTTTTGCACTAATACAACATACTTTTTTACTTCTCGAGTAACGGGTATAAAAATGTGTATTAAAAAGGTAGATATTTCCCTTGTATATATAATTTATTTAAAAGAATACCTATTTAAAGAGATAATGTCCTTATCAAAAAAGGAAACTTTATACGGAACACTAAGGTGAATCATTAGTATTTGTACTTAACCGAAGTACTAAAAAATATTTTATAAAAGTATGAAACATTTTTCTATTATGCAAAAAAAAAAAAGACTCGTCATTTTGAGTCACCTCTTCGATAAATTTTTAGATAGTTTTAAGCACTTCCTAATGAATCAATATATAAATTGTGACGCGTTCAAGTAATTTGGATGAGACTTTTTCAAAAAAACCAATACTAGTCATATAAATCGACAAAAATTTTAGACAAAAGACTGTTTTTTAAATAAATAGAATGAATAAATGTTATAGTAAATCCTCAAAAAAGGACTTACCTATCGATATAACGTGGGCGGGCAGGTAGTACAGCATGTAAGGACAGCCGACGGACATCAGGGTGACGGAGAGGCACATCAGGATGAAGCTCGGGTCCTGCAGCAGACTAATGTCCAGGTACATCTCGATGCGCTCGCAGCAAGTGCGTGGTCCCTGCTCCTCGTCGTCCTCGTCATCCTCGTCGGCGGCTCCGTGGCAATCGCCATCGATGGACTCCACCAGCTGGGAGTCGAGGATGCCGTGCTCCGCCTGCTCCGACGGCTGCTGCTTGAGATCGCTGAGGTTGCTCACCGGGGTGGGTATCTCCATGCTCTTACTCAACCCACGACTGACCACACTGGGCGGCGAGAGGGGCTTCTCCAAATGGGCCTGGATCTTCGAGATCACCTCGTCGTTGGAGAAGACATTGCGACGACGGCGACTTCCCCGATTCGAGTCCGTTCCGGAGTGCTTGCGGTACACCCAAGTGGAATCCGTGCTGAGATCCTCCACGGAGTGCAGCAGTCCGGAGCTGCGCACCTTCTTCATGGGCTTGATGAAGGTGGTCTCGCCAATAATGTCCTTCACCTCGTCGTCGCTCTCCTGAGCGGATTTGTCCTGGGCTAAGGGTTTAGTCTTGGAGTTATATACATTATAGATATTATATATATTGAGCTACCCACCTGGCTGCTTGCTGGCATAGTAGTTAAGGTGGTTCTTCGACTCCTCCAGGAACAGGTGCTCGATGAACTTGTCGCTCAGCTCGTGGCCGGCACCCACCTCGCAGGTGTCCAGGTAGGTGGAGGTGGTCAGGATGCCCGTGGTGCTCGGATTGATGTCCTCGTTGAGCGGCTTCGCCGTCTCCTCCTGCCCCTGCCCCGAATCCTGATCCGTGTAGGCACTGATCGGCCGGTACAGGGTGGCCGAGACGCACACGTGCAGCATGCAGCCGCCCAGGATGAGAATGGTGCCGTGGAAGCCACAGTTCTCCGCCAGGTGCTTTATCAGCACGGGCAGGATGAAGCTGCCGGCTGCGGTGCCCGACACGCAGATTCCATTGGCCAGCGCACGGTGCTTATCGAAGTACTGGGACACTATCACGATGCCCGGCGTTGTGGAGAGTCCTCCACCAATTCCTGGGGTGAATTCAATGAAAATTAAAATTTTAAATTACACTAGTCGGCATAATTATTTTGACAGATTTGAATGTTAACTGTACTCACATTTTGAACTTTTAATATAAACTTTTGGCACCTATAGAAAGAGCACTTCAATTCCGTTTAAATGACACAAAAATTTTCTTAACCCATTAAGACCCCTTTAAAAAGTGAGCAAATTTTGTGAAAGTCAAATTTTCAACTTTTTTCCAGGGGCTTAAATGGAACGATCCACAGTGGGGCGAAAAAGCCAAAAGTCTGCCTTAAATCAGCGGTGCCCTATAGCAAATATCTTTTGATGGGGCATTCTTAAAGGCAATTAAATATGTAAAAAAACATAATTAGGTAAACTTTTTTGGTAAAATTTTTTTGTTGTAAAAAATTTTTAAGAAAAAAATATAAATAAATTAGTTAGTTAGGGTTCTAAGTTTCCCAATATTTTTTTTTAATTTAACTTGATTTTTGAAAAAAAAAATTATTCAAATCGGTCAACTATAACTTATAGCTGCCATATAAACGCTTATTACAAAGGGGAATGTCTCGGTTCTATTTCAATATTGGTTCATATAAATTGGGATTAAGGCATTATTTATCATTTTAGTTCTATCTTATATCTCTAGCTTATATCTTATAGATGTCATAGAATCAATCAAGGAAATATAGCATATTTTCAAAAAAAAACTTGGTAGAAACCGGTATTTATTTTATATCTGTATTTTTAGTAAAATAACATAATTTAAAATTTTAAACCCAAATTTGTTTATTAATTTATCATTATCTTCATCAATACCTTCACATAAGTAAAATATCTTCATGATGTTAAGGCGCGCGGATAACCAGGGCTGACGGTTTTTCAAATTATGAACATTTCTTGCTAACTTAAACTGCGGTTTTCTCAGAAGAGGCCCAAAAGGGCAGGCTAATTTTTTCAGAAAATGTAATTAAATATCTAAACTTTAAAAAAAAAAGAATTAAACGGGGATCTAGGGTGTAACACTACTTTACGTCTAAAAATATCAAAAAAATCCAATTTTTTTTGGACCCCTTTTAAAAAATTAAAAAAAATAGTAATTATGTATCTAAAATTTTTATTGTTTTTTTAATATTTTAAGAATTGGTTGCTCTTAAAATTTCAATCGTTACATATACAACTTAGGCCCTTGGGCGCTTTCAGAAAAATTTCAAAGATGTGTAAAAATACCTTTTTTTCTAATTGGCTAAAATTATGTTTCGAAAAATCCACTTTATAAATCTGTAGTGGGAAAACCATTCATCACAGATCACTCTTTCCTTTTGATTTGTATAGAGAATTCAATTGTTTTTAAAGTTGCATTGCAACATTTTGAAAAATCTTTAAAAAAAAAACCCATTTTGGCAGGCTTTTTGTTCTAGGCGCCCCACAGTGCGATCTCAGTAAAATTTTGTATGAAAAGGTTAAAAAAGTGGCTAAAATTGTCATTTTAGCTATTTTCTAAAAATCATAAAAAATACAAGGAAAAATAGTTTGAAAATTTTTTTTTGCTGTTATTATTAATTTTGATTGGGGAAAAACTTTGCATCAAAACATTTTTTTTCTTAAGGCCCAGGAAAAAAGTTGTAAATTTGACCTTCACAATAAATTTTCTAACGTTTCAAAAAGTGCTTAATGGGTTAAGAACATTGTTGTGCCATTTAAACGGAATTGAAGTGCTCTTTCTATAGGTGCCAAAATGTTTCTATTATAAGTAAGTTCAAAATATGAGAAGATTTAACTTTAAAATTTGTCAAAATAATTATGCCGACCAGTGTCCTTAGTTGCCACCTTCAATTGTTACCTGTTAGTATGCCGAAGGTGAAGAGCAGGTGCACCAGACTGGTGGCAAAGTAGCTGAGGATCATGCCCATGGCGCAGAAGATGCCGCCGACGAAGACGACCGCCCGGCAGGAGAAGCGCTGGCACAGGGCACTCGACAGAGGGGGCCAGGACCAGGCAAAGAGCCGAAAGGATCGCAGGAATCCAGGAGGCCACCGTGGCCGTGGAGCTGGGAAACGTCTCCATGATCTCCACGTACAGCACGCCGTACGACTTGACCAGTCCGGCCACCCAGAATTGCACGGAGAAGGCCCCGAAGACGATAAACCAGCCGTAGCCGCCGTCCGGTGGCTCCACATTGCCACCACCGCTCTCTGTCGTCGTGGTCGACGAGTCCCGGTCCTTAGCCACCTGCCTGCTCCGCTTGGGAACGACCATTTTGTCCCGCTCCCGCTCCTTGGCCCTGCGGACGCACCTGCTCCGGGCCGTATTCAAACCGGATCCCGAACCGGAACCAGACTTCCGGCTGCTGCGAAGCTCGTGCGATTTGGCGATCAGCGGACGCGCCGTGATGCTGGACACGGTCAGCAGGTTCTCGTTGTCGTCCTCCTCCAGCTCGGAGATGTGGTGCTCCAGCAGGCTGGCGTGCAGGGTCCTCGGGCAGCATTGCGTGTCCAGGCTGAGGGTGGCGGGTCGTCGCATTGGCGAGGCGTTCGGTGAGCTGCATCCGGAGCGGAAGGCGGCGGGGCAGGCCCAGTGACTCCAGGTGCTTGGAGCCCAGCTCGGTGGGCACAACGATGTCGGGCAGTGGGGCCGGTGGTGCCGATACCACCGAGAACAGGGACCCGCACTCGAGACCCACTCCGCCGGCTGACCCGACCACGCAACCCCCTCCGCCGGAGCCCTCGGCCGGATTCGTGTCGAGAAGGCGCCCTCCCGACTCGTACTGGACTCCACCAGCTGGGTCCGGTTCACTCGCGCAGTAAACCGATCCCCGGGAACCCTGTGAATTGAATAAAATTTTTGAATGCTTTTTTAATGGGTTTTAAAATTAATTTATACCATTAATTTTTAAAATCGCATATTAAATAATTTAATTTATTTGCGTGAATATCTTCTTAAGCAAAAGAAAATTGTATGTATTTATTCAGAAAATACGTTCAGTATTACACAGGAAAAAAATTCTATATGAAACAGGGTTATTTCTACCATATTTCATATCAATAAAGAAACCGATATGATTAATGACAAATTTATGATTTAAACATATCAACTTGAATTTTATCATTTAATAAAACTTATAAAAATACTGTTTTAAAATACCATGTAGTATTTTCGTAACAAATATTGTAAGATATTGATCTTAAGGGTCAGATGACACATTCAATTTTTAACCTCAATTTATTGTAGCAATTTTTCTTTAATGGGACCTTAAGCGAGCGCAAGAAAGAATAAAATATTTTTTTCTGCTCTACCACTTACACCAATAATAAAGGCGCGATATTATATTATTCCTGACTTGCTAGCACTTCTTTAAACTCACTCAAATGAAAAATTGTCACAATAAATTGACGATAATAATTGAATGTGTCATCTGAGCCTTACTCATATCAAAACGATATGAATAACTTGATCTTTAAAAAATATTATATTAATCTGCAATTTTTTTCCTGTGTTTGTGTATTTTAAGTTAATGCAAATTCGATTTATTTACCAAATTCCTTTTTTAATTGAGATGTTAAAGATATTTATTTATTTACATTCATCAAACCCGACATTCGTAATACAAAGTTTCCCCTTGCATGACCTTTTCGTTAACAATCCACAAATTGGCAAAGTTTATTTGCCAAAATATTTATCAAGCACTGGTTATTTAGAGTTAATGCCGCAAATTTGCATGCATCAAAAATTCCGCCTCCATTCCGTACCATTAAAAAATGGGTTAACTTGTCGTGAATCCCGTTGGGCTGTTGACAAATCGACTGGAGGCGGGTCAAGGAAGCAACAACTTAGCCCAATTTGCATTGCTAAACGAAATGCGAGGAGCGCACGCGATCTCCCGACTTATAGACGATGTCGCTGCAGCGCCCTAATATATGCAATACGTTTTGTTTAATTGAGTTAACATCCAGTTTTCCCCCTCTTCCCGCTCCTTTGAGGTCTAATTGCCCACGGACCGAACGGATTTTCTTGCTCGCCCTTTATTGTTATATGTACTTTGTTAAATCGATGCCGGGCTGCAGGTGCATGCTGTGCCTTTTGGGTTGGCATGACGTCTGGGAATTTTCCATTTCCACTTCCATTTGTCTGCGGGATCCGCTCCCACTTCCTCCGACCAAACAGCAATTTTCCGACGATTCAGGGTCAAGAGCAAGGTGGGGACGGTCTCGCCTGCGGTTGCTTTTTTGCTTTTAGGTTCTGTCTTTGTTGCCGGAAATTGAAGGGTGGTTCGATTGGCGGCAAATGGGGGAGTGGGTATTTGCTCCAATCCAAGGCTGATGCAACGTTCGAATCCAAGGCTAATGCCAGGAAATACCCGTGCTGATAAGGCCGAATGGAATGAAGCCAAACTTAGCTAAGCCCTCGAAGAAAAGGCCGAAATTGGAAAGCAGTCAAATGCAGCATTGGGTATGTTGATCCTAGGTATTATCCAGCATACAGCTGGGCCAATAGATGGAATATGTATCCATGAATAGCCCTTTACCTTTTTAATTTTAATTTTTAAACCTAATCCTTAACCTTTCTTGGGTTTAAGCTTCTTCTTTTTCTGATACTGAAACACTTTCCTTATTAGTTTGCATTACCTGCACCTAAAATGTATGTATTTATATCGCAATCTTCAATAATTCACATTAACTAATTTCCTAATAGCTTTTCATTATCTGGCTCTTCGTTATCCGGCTCACACCTTTTTCCTCGTATTTGCACTGACGTATACGTAATTTGATATACCGTTAAGCAAGAGACATCAAGTATGCGACGCGTGAGCCCATTGAATAGAGGGATTGGGGCCCATCGCTGAGTAAACTCATTTGCTATAAACACCGGTGACGTTCTATATCCACGTCCTCTTTCTCAATCCCTAATCTTCCGTTAAACCCCTTTGAACTACCTTGGAAGTTACACATTAAACAAAATTCTATAACAATAATTTCTAATTTTTTTTTGTGTTAAGGCCTCTTTACAGTTCAGATGGAATGTCACATGGAATCCAATTTTTCATACAAATTTCAAAATCTGAGATGGAATAGATTTCATTTTCTATTTCATTTTTCATTTCGAGTTTACACTTCAAATGGAATTTGGTCAAGATTCTAAGAAAAGCCTCATATGTTTAACATAGATTAAAACAATTTTGAATAGAAGCCCTTGTAAAATTTAACATTTGCTCGACAGTAACAGAACTTTGATCTGTTAAGGTTATTTTATTTGACTCGATTGGAATATGTGTGTGAGTACATATTCCATGAGAGGTTATATGAAATGAATGGTGTTCATTTTCGTTTGTTGTCAAAGTGATTGTGGTTCCAAAAAATATCTGGAGCTCGAAAAAATAAAAACAATGCAACAAAGAGGATTCAATCGTAAACACCATGCGCACTGACTTGTTTATAGGATTCCATGCAGCCCTCCCATTCAAAAAGCGGTCCTTTTAATAACCCATGGGTGGAAACAAGGCTTATAAGAAGAAGATGAAGAAAACCACAGATCCTGTGGATAATACAAACAGGAGATTTTCTGAAGTCAGCCAATGAACTTATGTCTTATCACTGGTGCAGCAAAATAAATATATTGTAAAATTAGAACTTGTCTTCGATTTTTTCATTGGCAGGATGGTTTTATAGGCAAAGGTTCTGCCATAGCACAGACCATGGGAATATAACTTGTTTCTGATCATCTAACAATAAACCATTCGTAAACCAATATATGGATGCAGCTATGTAATATTATTTGTAAATATTAGGATTTTAAAACCGCTAGTGCGTACGATTAAAAAAAATATAGAATTAGTGAGATCCAATAATGCACTCAGAAAAGATTCAAATAAAATCTATCATCCATTGTAAAAGCAGACACAATAGTTTTAATTTGCAAATTACGTTTTTTTAAATGTTGTGAGACATTGCAACATTTTTTAGAGATATTTTAACCAAATAATAACAGGAAATGTACATTTGAATACAACAATTTTGTCAGACCAAGCCAGCTTTTTAAAATTGTTTCACCGAAATAACAACAGACTATGTTAACGGGCTTGAAACATATGAAATTCCATTTGAAAAATTCCTACTGAGGTGTAAAGAGGCCTTAAAGGCCTTAAAGGCCTCTTTACAGTTCAGATGGAATGTCACATGGAATCCAATTTTTCATACAAATTTCAAAATCTGAGATGGAATAGATTTCATTTTCTATTTCATTTTTCATTTCGAGTTTACACTTCAAATGGAATTTGGTCAAGATTCTAAGAAAAGCCTCATATGTTTAACATAGATTAAAACAATTTTGAATAGAAGCCCTTGTAAAATTTAACATTTGCTCGACAGTAACAGAACTTTGATCTGTTAAGGTTATTTTATTTGACTCGATTGGAATATGTGTGTGAGTACATATTCCATGAGAGGTTATATGAAATGAATGGTGTTCATTTCGTTTGTTGTCAAAGTGATTGTGGTTCCAAAAAATATCTGGAGCTCGAAAAAATAAAAACAATGCAACAAAGAGGATTCAATCGTAAACACCATGCGCACTGACTTGTTTATAGGATTCCATGCAGCCCTCCCATTCAAAAAGCGGTCCTTTTAATAACCCATGGGTGGAAACAAGGCTTATAAGAAGAAGATGAAGAAAACCACAGATCCTGTGGATAATACAAACAGGAGATTTTCTGAAGTCAGCCAATGAACTTATGTCTTATCACTGGTGCAGCAAAATAAATATATTGTAAAATTAGAACTTGTCTTCGATTTTTTCATTGGCAGGATGGTTTTATAGGCAAAGGTTCTGCCATAGCACAGACCATGGGAATATAACTTGTTTCTGATCATCTAACAATAAACCATTCGTAAACCAATATATGGATGCAGCTATGTAATATTATTTGTAAATATTAGGATTTTTAAACCGCTAGTGCGTACGATTAAAAAAAATATAGAATTAGTGAGATCCAATAATGCACTCAGAATAGATTCAAATAAAATCTATCATCCATTGTAAAATCAGACACAATAGTTTTAATTTGCAAATTACGTTTTTTTAAATGTTGTGAGACATTGCAACATTTTTTAGAGATATTTTAACCAAATAATAACAGGAAATGTACATTTGAATACAACAATTTTGTCAGACCAAGCCAGCTTTTTAAAATTGTTTCACCGAAATAACAACAGACTATGTTAACGGGCTTGAAACATATGAAATTCCATTTGAAAAATTCCTACTGAGGTAAAAAGAGGCCTTTAGCTTTAAATTGTTAAATGCCTGGTAAATATATTAGGTACTTAGGTGTTCAAATGCATTTGTATTTTTGGTATTAATAAATCAGTAAATCACTTGTTAATATGCATTTTAAGATTCTGAAGGGCCAAAAAAATATATATTTTTTATTCTTTATTTTAATAAATAGATTAATTTCCTGACTGATTTTTCCCAGTGCATGTAACATGGCGTGTGTCGAATTTCGTGAACGTGCCGCTAATGAACTGCCTGCTATATTGATGGCGGAAAATAACCATGGAGAATGGCAAATAATAGGCATGCAATATTCAAAGGCGAATGCATCGTGTAGCGGGACATCTGACAGCGCTAATGAGCGGTGGCCAACTTGGCATTTGGCATTTGGCAACTCCCCCGCAAGAGCATGAGTCACAGCATCCCAGTCCTGTGACCTTGTCGAATGTCAGAGACCAAGTTGGCCTGCTATTGTAGCACAGCCTGGGCGCCAGGACCGCCTCCTGCTGTCAGCTGGGATCCGGCTTAAGTTGTCAGGAAGCTTTCGCTGGAATCGCTGTTTGTTTTCAATTTCCCAACATTTCAAGGCCTTGGCTTAATGAAACGGAAGAATGAACCCCCGGGCCAAGTTAGTGGCTCGTGTGTGAGCCTGAACGATAAGCGGTCAAGGTGAAGGGGGTGGCCTTATGTTGGCTAGCTGGAACCTACGCACCACTGACAACTTGTTGAACAAAGGATATATGCCAGTAACTGCCAGCTCTAATGATTAGGGCCTTTGGGCATTTGGATAGTGATACACAGAGAGAATTCTGACGTCCTGAAATTGAGTATTTGTATTCTCAATTTCAGGATGTACTGATTTTGAGTACAAATTTTTGGAAAAAATTTATATTGAGTAAAAATTGTACTCATTTTCAGAAAAAATACTGGAATTGATCACAAAAATCTTAATTTCAGAATATGAGTTCTTCAACTTCCAGTTTGAGTACAAATATTTTCAAATTGAGTATGACATTACTCACAGAAACCTTATAAAAGGCTGGCCTAGGGAGTAAATGACTCTTGCCGTCAAATATTTGATAGCTAATGTCGTCCGGGTCGTGAGTTCAATCCCCATGCCGGTAAACACATACATTTTTTCTTTTTGTTTTTCTTTGTTTTTTTTGTTTTTTTTTTTTAATAATATTATTTTGGAATAATCGGATTTATTCCTTTTAGTGTTTAAAATACAATTAATTGCAAGCATTAAAATTAAAATCTTATACGGGGTTTGGACATCGCTGAATGTGATGCTTGTTTGGCTCAGCCGGTTAGTGCGCGCGTGCACGAACACAAGGGTCTCGGGTTCGAGTGACGGAGGAGGCGACTTTGGATCGAACAAATTGTAAAATTGTTTTATTTATAACAGTTTAATATTCACATACCTATGAAACAATTATCATTAACTGATAATATAGCCTAAAAGAAAAAGTAAGTTAGAAAGGAAGTTCTCCGATTTGAGAATTTTTTTACTCAATTTAAGCATTTTGCAATACTCAATTTGAGAAATGGCAATACTCATTTTTAAAATACTATCCAAATAATTTCCTAAAATGAGTACAGTTTGTACTAATTTTGAGTAAAAATGTACTAAATAAATGGAAAATGTACTTAATTTGAGTAAAATAATTTTTTCAAATTTGTACTGATTGTTAGTATTTTGTACTCAGAATGAGTATTTCTGTTCATGCTTAATTTTCAAGTACAAAAATACTCAATTTGAGTACAAATTACTTAAATAATTCTCTCTGTGTACTTGTAATTATAAATTAGTATTTATATTTACATTTTGTAACAAATGTTGCAAGTCTTTATATAATTTGGAAACTTAATATTATTTATTAAATACTTTGGAATAACTTTATCAGAAAATTTAAAAAATGTATAATGACAATCTACGAAAAAAAATTAAAATATCCTATAAAAAGTTTTTTTTTTTAAAACCTATTTAAATAATCACACTATGTCACATTACAAATTTATTTTTGAATTCGTTACTAGTTCCCAAGATAAACTGCGTTTTACAAAAGCCAGACAGAATAATTTTACTTTGTTTATGGCTATTATCTCTATCTTAAAATAAAAATCTTAAAATATTCTGAATATGAGTTTTGAAAGGTAAAGAGTGTCACTTTTAAAATACTTAAACAGCCTGAGATACCCCTGAATAGTTGGCCAATTTCAGCATTTTTCAAAATTTGTGTTCCTTCTTCTAAGAATCCTTGCGTCGGAGATCTTTTTGAAAAACGCAGCTTAACTTGGGAATTCGTAACGAATTTAAAAATATAACATCTATCAAGGTAAATTAATTAATTTTTTAACACAGTGTTATTATCTATATCACCGCTTAAAAATTACTGCTTTGAAATGTCAAGGGTATAACCCTTTTAATCTTAAATAACCGCAGAACAGTCAACTCTGATTTTTCCTACTACTGTCAATTGCACGTCAGTTTTTTATGAAGTCCCATTTGAACATTAAATAGACAGTACCCACAGTTTTGAATGAAATGCATTTGAATGTAGCCCCTTCAAACTGTATTCCTCCAGCAGTCAGGGCCACGCATTGTTTACTTCCTTGTCCCCATTTAGATAGTGATTATGATGGATGCGCTTAGTGACGTTGACCCATTCTCGTATCGCTTACAATGTTTACGTACTCGTAGGGCAGCCTCTCCTGCACTGCGCATGCTCACCACAGGAACTCAAACTCCAGCTACCTCAATAAAATTGCCATTGGCCCACTCCCCAGAATCCGACCAGTTTGGATTCCTCCGAAGGGGAAGGGGCGTTTCTTGACCTTCCCAAAAGGATAAGGATATGGGTATGGGTATTGGACTTGGACCACTCACCTGTAAATGCCAGTCACGCTGTAGGGACGACATTGCCGTCCTTTACTGAACGTGAAACGCCTTTGATGTTTCTCTTGTTGCTCGCGCTGTTGTTGTTGTTGCTTGGGGCGTTGCTGTTGTGCACCCAAATGCATTGGGTTGCCTCTGCTTTGGGTCCTTAAAATCCTGAAGAGCTGACGAACGCGGGCCTTCACCGGTTGGCCCAATTTGGATACTCTGCTGCTACTACGACTTCTGCTTCCCCGGCTCCTTTGGCACAGAATCCTTTGCGGGTTCGTTTTGATAGGGCTTATATTGTTTTCGTTTGCGATTTTGATTCACTTCTCCTTTTTGGGGGCTTCCTTGAGGAACTTGTATGGGTTTTCCTTAGGGGCGATATCCCTGCTGTTCTGGCGTCATGATGCTTTAATAGGACAGACAGTTTCCCGTTCACTCTTGTTTATGCAGCAGCTGTTTCCGTTTCCGCTTCCTTGTCGCCCCTTCCGTTTCCTTTTCCAGCACAAGCGCACTCTCTCACGAGCATGCAGTTTTTGGAACAAATCGATATGGGGCCAGATTCCAGCTGAAGTCCTTTGTATTCACTTTACCCAATCCTACGCTCGAAATGGATATTTCAAATCGGTTGAATGAGTCCAAGTTACGCCTTAAATTTTCCTGAAGCTGGCCAACACTTTCTTTGAGTGGGAAAAACCCTTTGCAAAACCCTTTTTCCGTGAGGATTCTTCGTTAGTTGCCCCTTTTGGCGGATGCGACTGTTATGCTGCTGCTCAAGCTCACGACTGAACTGAAGATTTTCATGTTCTCTGAAGGTCCGTGGCGAACCCAACTCATTTGTGTGGTGAGCTAGGTCGAGGTGGGTTTTTGTTTGGTAGAAAGGAAAAACCAGAGAAGGAGGTCCTTCCATTCTACCCGGTTGTCCGTCATCCGTTTTGTTTTGCTAGGCTCTTTTGGCCGCTTGTTGCCTTCAAAGCCCCCTTCCCGAAGCCACCTACCACAATATCGGGCAACAGCTGATGAATGAATTGTTATTGCGTGCACTCGAAATTAGGGAATCACATGGTTTTTCCCCTGAAACAGAGTCCATTCATCAGGTTGACCTGCAGTTATATAGAATTAAATTAAATTTACTTAAAAGATAGAAATCAAAGTAGGTTTTCTAGGTACTTATTTTGAATACGGCAGACTTTATTAACACTAGAATTTTGTAAAATAAATCAAGTACCCCACACTTAGAATTTCAATATTTTGTAGCTCTAAAAGGCTGCATCTCTGTTGTTTTGTTCTATTGTTTTGGTCGTGTGCAAGGAAATGCCAAGGAATACAAAACTGATGGCCACGGAAGTGAAGACGGCAGCCGGGAGGTTCTTGAACAACCACTGCAGGATCATCGTGTACACGGCAATGGCCATTAGGAGCATGCACATGTAGGGATAAACCAGCCACTTAATCTGCTAAGGAATCAAAGGAACCTGGTTAAACATTATAAATCAAGTTTTCAGGGGTTATACCTTCCAAACTCCGATAATAAGCAGAAGCGAGGCCAATGCATAGGTGGCCGATCCAGTGGTCCATACAATTTTTACCGCCTGCGAAACTCCCGCCATGCTGGTCATGAAAAGGTAGCCGGCCACTACACCAGACACAAAGGATATGCAGGCCATTACCGAGACTACCGCCCGGTACGTCGGCACAAGTCTTCTATATGTGAAATCCTGTTCGCTCATCTGGAATCTGTACTATAGTATATTATACCTCATTCATGTTTTATGTATTTTAATTTAAAATTTTTAAATCAGTAAACGGGCTGTCATGCTGAGTTTTGAATTTTAAATGGTTATTGGGGATGGTTGGGTATCTTTCATGAATCGTTCTTTGGACTTTCTTTAGTAAATAAACTTTTATTAACACTTTGACATAACCTTTCCTTACATTTCTGTGACTTTCAAGTATTGAGCGCGCTAATATCGGTAATTATCGATTTTTCTGATTTGATGAAGATATCGATTCTTCTAGATGAATTAAAAGGAACACCAGTTTTACACCTGGCAACCCTGTTTGCGACTAGCTTTTAGTATTTATATTTTTTTACGCAGATTAATTTGCGCACAAGATTTGCAGACGTGATTAATGTTGATTTCTGGTCTGGGCTCTACCGGAGTGCCAGTACTTGGAGTCGCAACCGGAGGACAACGATTCTGGAGAGGATTCCCGATCGAAAGGAGGCTACGAACAGGTGGTGGTCCTGCGAAATTCCACCTGAACCACCATCTCCCATAACTCCGATGACCTCTTGAGACCGCACAAATCATGGATCCCTTGGTGTTTTTCGTAGTGCTGGCTTCGCTCTATGGCATCCTGTACTTTTTCGACCGCTTCTTCAAGGTGGGTTCTATTCTGGCACTCGTAATACATCCAAATACTAATCATTAATCCCCTAGAGCTGCATGCACTACCCCTACGATGCCTTCCTCAAGAACACCGGACTGAGTGTCAACTTCATGAGCCTTCACTGGCACACAAGTGCCTTCAATAGGACCCTCCTCCGCTGGGGATCCGCCGGAAACAGCTGCACGCGCAGAGTAATGCTCACTAGCTTCAATATCGGTGTCCTGGTCACCTTTTCGTTGCTCCCGATTGGGCTCATCCTGCTCATTGCCACCATCTTCAGTAGTGGCGAACAGGAGAGCTCATCCTCGCCCGTTGGCGTGCCCGTGCAGTTGGAAATCCTGCTGCCCGGCGTCAACCTGCCGCTGGAGGAGATTGGCTACTACATCACCACCCTGGTGCTCTGCCTGGTGGTCCACGAGATGGGACACGCCCTGGCCGCTGTGATGGAAGATGTGCCCGTCACAGGGTTTGGGATTAAGGTAGGGATTGGATATGGAATCTTATTATACTAAGTAAAATTGTACCTTTACAGTTCATCTTCTTCCTGCCGTTGGCATACACTGAACTCTCTCACGATCACCTGAACGGCCTGCGTTGGTTCCGAAAGTTGCGTGTCTTGTGCGCCGGCATCTGGCACAACTTTGTGTTTGCCGGCGTGTGCTACCTTCTAATCTCAACGGTGGGCATCACCATGTCACCATTGTACGCCTACAACCAGCACGTTGTGGTCACCGAGCTAACAAGGAAATCTCCGCTGCGAGGCGAGCGCGGCCTGCAGGTGGACAATCAAATCACCCAGGTGAACGGCTGTCCGGTGAACAGCGAGGAGAGCTGGGTGACCTGTCTACAGAACTGCCTGAAACTCAAGCCGGGCTACTGCGTGAGTGCGGACTTCGTGCAGCTGAACGACGAAAGCAGCGCCATTTCACACCACAGCATTGATGGCCAGCTGCAGTGCTGCGATGAACTGAATCCCAATGTGAGCTGCTTCGAGGTGGTGGAGGATGTCAATGGGGATGTGCCCGTGGAGCTGCCGCAGCACGTGTGCCTCAATGTGCGCCGCACTCTGGAGGAGGTGACCGAACACTGCTCCTCGGGTGTCTGCAACGAGGGCTTCTGTCTGCGCCCGCTAATTCGGAACATCACTGCCATAATGACCTTTAAGCGACAGAATTCACGCGGAGAGAAGCTGCCGCCGGTGATTTATGTGGGTCATCCCTGGGATGTCACGCGTACCGTGGAGGTCTCCGCCTTTGTGCCCAGATACTCCTTCCTGAAGGCGGCGTGGCCAGATGCCTGGCTACTGCTGCTCAAGTACAACGTTGTCTTCAGCATAGGATTGGCCCTGATCAATGCCATCCCCTGCTTCGGCTTCGATGGCGCCCACATCACCAGCACCGTGATACACAGCTTCTTGGTGAGCCGAGTCGATCAGCATGCCAAGAGGGATCTCATCTCGGTGATCATCACCAGCGTGGGCTCCCTGCTCTTCGGACTGGCGCTGCTTAAGGTGGCCTGGCTGAGTTTCCTGCGACCTCTGCTTTAGAACTGATACTGATAACTGATAGATGGAAACTGGGAGTCCAACTCCCCTCCAAAGACGCTAGACTGCTATTTCACCTCCACGAAACACACGAAAACACAGCGAATTGTAGCACCTCAAAGATTCGATAGCTTTTGTCTTAGTCCTTAGTCCTAACTCGTATTTATTTTCGTACGGTTGTCGAGCTCAAAAATAAAATCAAATTAAGCTAAGATTTCGGTTTAAGATTTTTCCTATTTGCCCTCGCTCACCCCGCTCAAGTGGAGGCTGGTCTTGAGTTCTGTGAGGCTGCGTCTGCCATGCTGGAGGAGCATCTTGATGGCCACCTCGTCGCTTTTGTGGCGGTTCGTCTGGAAGTCGTGTCGTGCCCAGGATCGCAGCTCCAGCTGGCTGTTTTTGTCGGGAACTTGACGGATGGTGCGGAAGATTTCCCGGTATAGCTTCAGGACCTCTTGGCGCAGCATAAACTAGGGGATAATTCAGTTTACGTATTCCAAAAATTATAAATTCTGTAAACTTTTATATGTAATCTTCTTACCTGCTTTAGACTAAGTGCTGCTTTTGGTATCTTGGTCATTTTAGATTAAAAGGATTTTTTGCTTCTTATTAGTTAGTTCAATTAATTGGTTATCTTAATATTCTTTAAGTTTTCTTGTCATTTTCCAAAATTATTTGTAATCAATTCCGCAAAACCAAAACAATAACAGCTGATGGTAAACAGCTGTTAGGATTTTAGAGATGAGCGGACTTTTCTAGCGCTCGCACTAAAGAAACGATATTTTGAAAAGTTTATCATAATACGTTGAAATTCAAAATTCGATTAGGTTTCTTATTAAAATTTTCTTGAGCTTACGTTTTGAATGCAAGTATATTTCTACTGATAAAAATTAATGAAATCCAAAATTTCTTCACACCTGGGTAAGAATTTCTCAACTGCGCATATGAAATTTTAGATTTTCTTCAAACTCGGTTACCTCGTAGAGTTTGGCTTGGATATCATCTGTGATTTTTTTGAAATTTTTTGTTGTCCATTTAGGGGCGCTGGCAATTTTTGAAGTTAAGAACTTAAAAACTTTTCTCAAACTTCAAATTAGTATATCTTGAGAACGGCTTAGAAGAACAATTTTACCACCGTCCCTTCATATAGGTGCCATACAAATCGATGGATTTTTTTAATGTTAAGAAGGTAGGCTTTGAAAAAATTTTTTGTTTCAGATTGTAATTTTATTTTTCAAAGCCTACTACGATAACAAAATCCATCGATTTGTATGGCAGCTATATGAAGGGACGGTGGTAAAATTATAATATAATCACTATGGACGGCAGTCCATGTAGTGACGAAGCGCACCAGGAGAGTGTGCGAAGGCGACTACTATTATATAGCCGCAAAATTGAAAATCTGCTGTGATAGTCCGATCGTAATGAGTAATACACCAATCGAAAGGTATTGCAAAAACTTAAAGGATTGCATACCAAGACTTTAAGAAAATCAATTGGCTTGGGGAGAGAGCGGTGAAAGTGAAAAATGAAAATTTCGAAATTTGGAGCTGTTGGGGCCGGTGGGGATAAATGCCCCCTCGCAATGTTTTAGTTGTATTCCTTTTGAAAATACCCGTCGAATGAGGGGTCATTTGTCAAAATCCGACGCTCCGTTCAAAAGTTATAGCCAAAATAAGATTTCCTTCTTCTTCTTAAAATGAAAATTTAATTCTGTTTGTCAGTTTGTCAGTTTGTCCAAAACATGTTTCTTAAGTTTTGAAAATTTAATATGACGTTCATCCCATCGATATAAAAAACTTTTGTTCTACCACTTTTGAAAAAACTCGCTAGTTTAGCGGGAAAACAGCTATAAATAGCTCAAATTCGGTAACTTCTATACTACTAAAGCTACAGACTTGTGCTGCATCTTGTTTGAAAGGTATTTTTAAATTCTATAAACGCCTTCTATATGCAATTTGTGTAAATGTAATAATTAAAAGATATGAACAAAAGACAATTTTTTAAAGCTTTTTTTTAGCTTTTTTTATTTTTCTCAAAACGGCTCTAACGATTTTTTTGAAAACTTTAAACTGTATAACCCTTGAGATTCCTTAAATTTTGGTATATAACACATTACTGTAAAAAGTCACGTTTAAAAGTTATTTTTATACGAAAATAGCCACTTTTGCCAGCTCGAACAACTAAAGCTTCCTGAGTATTTAATTTTGTGTGAGGGTATCCGAACTGTATTTTAGGGTCATGGAATCAGTAAATTTGCACTTAAGAGTTCCATATAGGAATCTTTTGCTCTACGACTTTTGGAAAAAGCCGCTACTTTAGCGGGAAAAAAGCTAAAAATGGCTAAATTTCGTTAGTTTGTAAGTTCTACACTACTAAAGGTACCGACATGTGCTATACCTCGTTTAAAAGGTATTTTGAAATACTTAAACGCCTTTTTAACTTAAGTTGCTTGAATACAATGGCTTACAAATTATGATTGACCAATTTAAATTTAAATGTATATATTAGCTCCTATGAGAGCAAATGTAAACAAACAAAAACTTCTGATATCAAATAAAAACACCTCTTAACGAGGTAAAAAAACTAGTGACGATCGCACCTTCAACATACAAAAGTTCTGATATCAACATTTGTGACGAAGGCTGGAATAGTCTGCTAGGGCGGGCCGAATGAGAAAAGATTAGAAAGTCTATTTAATGACGAGTGTAATAATTTTTCGTCACAAATGTTGATATCAGAACTTTTGTATGTTGAAGGTGCGATCGTCACTAGTTTTTTACCTCGTTAAGAGGTGTTTTTATTTGATATATAAATAGGGTTTTTCTAAATTCGCATAAAAATTATATATCTTGGAAATGATGAAAAGGAACAAAAATGTTTTTTCGGGTAAATTAAGTTGGTTATGAGATGGATAATCTTGGATAATTAAGTTTCTTTTATAGGATGAAGAAGACAGTCAAAACCGCGATACAAAATTTCAAATAATTAAAATTCATACTTATTGGACAACAAAAAATTTAAGAAAATTATTTTCTTACTCCCCCAGTACACATTTAAAAACGTGTAAAGTTGCACGTTGTTCCTCTAAGCCTTTCTCGAGATATACTAATTTGACGATTGAGAACATTTTTTAAGTTCTTAACTTCAAAAATTCATAGCGCCCACAAATGGACACCAACAAATTTCAAAAAAATCACAGATAATAATGCGGTTATTCCACTACATTGTTTGGCTCATTCATTAAGCCTAGTACTCAGTACGACGAAAACTGCTAGCTAAGCATAGGGTAGCGAGAGGCAAATAGGTAGTAGCCCTTAGCCGGGGACTTTTCCCACCTCGGTACTCAGTTGAGCTAAGGAAATAGTAAGAAAATACCACTAAAATACTAGATTTAGCGGATTAATTCTGATGAACGCCTTTAGCTGCGACCCAAAGAATAAAAAATTTGATCTTTGGTTGTGTTTGTGCAGAAGCGGTGTGCCAATAACATATTATAAATAGAATGAAAACCCCAAAAACCAATGGAAAACTGCCTGTAGGAGTTGCAGCAATATATATCCTCATTCCAACAGCAAATTTAAAGCTTGCGACCTAGGTCGGCTAATCATTTTGTAATATTTCAAATTGGCGCCAGTTATTTGCTTGCTGAGAGTAAGACCATTCTACATGATTGCGGATGAACTCCGAAACTTCGGTCACCCTAAAATTTATATTTTTCGACTAGTAAAACTCTTAGCCGAACTGAGTACTAGGCTGAATGCTCTAAAGCCTAGTACTCAGTTCGGCTAAAGTTTTACTAGTCGAAAAATATTAATATTTTAGGGTGACCGAAGTTTTCGGAGTTCATCCGCAATGCATGTAGAATGGTCTTACTCTCAGCAAGCAAATTAACTGGCGCCAATTTTGAAATATTACAAATGATTAGCCGACCTAGGTCGCAAGCTTTAAATTTGCTGTTGGAATGAGGATATATATTGCTGCAACTCCTACGGCAGTTTTCCATTGGTTTTTGGGGTTTTCATTCTATTTATAATATGTTATTGGCACACCGCTTCTGCACAAACACAGCCAAAGATCAAATTTTTTATTCTTTGGGCCGGGCTAAAGGCGTTCATCAGAATTCATCCGCTAAATCTAGTATTTTAGTGGTATTTTCTTACTATTTCCTTAGCTCAACTGAGTACCGAGGTGGGAAAAAGTCCCCGGCTAAGGGCTTAGCTACCTATTTGCCTCTCGCTTACTCCTATGCTTAGCTAGCAGTTTTCGTCGTACTGAGTACTAGGCTTTCATTGGAGGCTTAGAAAGGGACAAATATATATGCTATTTTTGGGATTTGTTTGGATAAGATGGCATGGTCACTTAAAATTTAGACGTTAAATTTAAACTTTATAATTCAAATAACTTTGACTGGTTAAATCATTAAGGTTGAAGGCTGTAAAATTAATAGTGTGTGTTGCCAAAAAATCAGACACTTTTACCAAGTTTTTAAATTGTTTTGGGCTGTTTAAAGTACATCTGTAATTGTTTTTAATTTTATCATACCCGGCATTAATTTTTAGGAAGGCAATTTTATATAAATTTATAGACGCAGTTATGTCTTTATATAGAAATATGCGAGTTATTTTTAGTTGGCAACGGAGTAATTAGGCCACTAAAATAATTTTTGTATTGTTCATATTTGTTTATAGCACCTCATTAGACGCAAAAGGTTTGGCAATTCAACCAAAAAAAACAAATCAATTTTTATTATTGATCCCATTTCACAGTAGCTCTAATAAATGAGCAAAATTGTACTTTTTAGATTCAATTTTGCTCATTGCTCATCGGTTCAGGTAGTACCGTATTGAGGCATTTTACAACACCAAAAAAAAAATACCAAAAGTGCCCATCGGTTTTTACAAATTGCTCATTGATTGCTTATTGCAGCCGACATATATCTGTCTTGCTCGCACCTACGTAAAATTGTTTATGCTGAGAAAAAATTGCACTAATGAATGACCCGAACAATGTAGTGGAATAACCGCATAACCAAGGCAAACTCTTCAAAGTACCCGAGTTTGCAGAAAATCTAAAATTTCATATGCGCAGTTGAGAAATTCTTACCCACCTAGTATTAAAATTAATAATTTTTTTATCCGAATAGTCTAATAGTACAATTATAATCAATACAATATTACCAGGAGGAGATAAATTACAACAAACCTTTAAAAAACACAGTGCGGCAACACTACTACTAATTTGAACGATTTCCAAATTTCCTAAAAATGTTTCTCCCTTAAAAGAAATCCTAAAATTATTCTGAGTATAGGGTTTGAAAGATAAAGAGTGTATCTTTTAAAAAAAGTTAACACCAAAACAAACCATGAATCCGTTTGCCGGTGATACCTCCGGAAAGTTGGCCAATATCAGTATTATTCGAGCTTTGAGGTCCTTGTGCTAAGGATCCCTGTGTCGGCGAACTTTTTGAAAAACGCAGTTTAACTTGGGAATTCGTATACGAATTCGTTATAACGAATTCAAAAAAATAGAATCCATCGAATTAAATTTGCGATGTTGGAAAGTGCATCTAAGTAATAACGAATAATATCGTAATGGAATTTACGGGGGTATCACAGAAATTATTTTCAACCGAAATCCGTTATGTACATCAATGAACAAAACCAACCGTTTTTGGTTGGAAGAGTTTTCTGTGACACTCCCGATAACAAAAAAATATTTCATATTTCAGGTCATTTTGTTTTTTGGGTGGGCAATGTTCAGTGAACATACATAGATAATTAAACTAAATTTTAATTTAATTTACGCACTGTAATATATGTGTCATATAAAATGTTCGGATGTAATTTATAATACTAATAACTTTTAATAGATTTGTCTTATCTGACTAAAATATGGCAGCACTTAAAGTGCTATACTTTCTTCGGGGTAGGACAGGGAGACAATCTGCAGCCAAAAGTCAACGGCAATTAATGTTTAAATTGCAATTTTCATCAACTGTCACTAATGAGTCAGTCGCAGAAATAAAATAAATTGTTGTAAGTCTTAACAAACTTATGTTTTTGCGCATTGATGCGGCGTGGGAACGAAGGAAGTGACATCCAACACTAAATTTATCTGGCTCGTGTTCAATTTAAATTAAATTCACGGCATTAAATGCCACATTTATCTACATGAATACGTTGCTTGATTGGCACGCCAGCTGCTCCGCCTCTGTTTCTCCTCTGATTATGATGTTCTACTTAGGCGATTCAATTGTTTCCTCGGTCATTTCGGTTATTTATCGTCTAGAACTAAACCCGTAGTCGCGAAGGGACTGGCAATATCTTCTGATAGTTGGTACTTGGCGTCGGCTAGTGGTAAGTTCTCCCCCAAGTACCGGTCTTGTTGATCGAATTGCCAACTGTTTTCCACATTTAGTGCCATGATCACGTCTTGTTACCAATAACTCTGTTGGCCAGCAGTTGGCCCTATAGAGAAAATGTGATTCAACCAGGTTAGAGATTACTTCGTTTGGGTGGTAGAATATGTCATTGTGTCAAAAATTATGCAGAAACAACAATATTATACTTTAAAAATTAATAAATAAAAATTAATTAATAATTTTAATTAGAAGACAAATGACATAAAAGCTTTCAATTCCAATACAAAAATGTAATTTCCATGACATTGTAAAAACTAAATGCTAATTACATTACTTTCTTAAGATCACACAGATAAAACACCATTCTGATACAATATACAAACGGACGGATGATCAATTTCGATATTATTTATCCTCGGTACGACCTTTCTGGCTGTCAAAATGCATTTTCTCCTCGCATTACTTAAGTTGCTCCCCATTAATTTCCCATAGCCGTTTCTCTGATCTCTGCCCAAGTGCGTTTGTCTCCGCCGGCACAAGTATTTTGTGCAAATTAAAAGAAAAATTGGACATAACATAAATATCCGAGGCAGAACAAAACGAAGGCAGGTGAAGCGGTGCGATTTATTTTTAACTGCCCAGTGCTCCTACATATAGGAAATTATGCAAAAGAATCTCGCGCTGCAGCCGAGTGCAATTTCGTTTTCGTTTTCATCTGCCAGAGATGCCAGCGTCTGCGCGGCTCTCTTGAGTCATTGCACTGTGAGAAAAGGGACTTTAATATGTACTTTAAAAAAAATCAGCAAGAAAAAATCTCTTTTCTTCACCGAAACAAAAAGTTTTAATATTTTTTACAAAATTAAGTTGTGGCTTAATCCAAATTAAATGGCCTTATCAGTCTTTTGTACTTAATATTTAAACAAACTTAATATACTTTTTTAAAAATTCATAGGTATTGTAAAGGTATTTTTTTAAATATTAACGATTTGTTTATAAAAAAATCTGTAGGTAATAGAAAGTGAATTTACTAATTTAAAACTTATTATTATGAGGGTCCCACTCAAGTTCTGAATAATAATGGCCAGAAAGCAAATGCATGGTATATTTTCCCCTGTGTGGATGATGTCTTGGGCGCGAAGGGGGTGGGCACTACGTCATCAAAAATCCGACCCACAGCTGCGCCACAACGATGACGAAGAAACGAAGGCAACAACACCGAAGCAGCGACTGAGCAGAGAAGCAGCAGCAGCAGCAGAAAAGCAAGTAAAATCCACATGCCAGCGGAGTGCTGCCTCAAATGTTCATGAAACGCGGACGCGTGTGGACGTCGTTTTGCGCGAACCGCTTCGAAAAAAGTTTGAAATCCCGAAACGGTTTATACGGTTTAATCGGTTGATTCGAAACGAATTCTCGGGCCGTGCATGTGTGAAAGTGAAAACGAAATGAAGAATGAAAATGAGCACGGTGCATAAGTTTCCTTGACGTTCGCTTCGGAAAATCCATCCCAAGAAAACTGAAAGAGCGTGCGAAAGCAGAAAGGCCAATTGTGAGTGAGAACTGAAAAACACACACGCCAAAAATATAATGTTGAAAATATCTGGCTATTTTTGGAATATATATTTGTTTTTCCCACACGCTGCATTGGAAAATTTGTAGCTCAAGTCAAGCAACACACAAAAAACCTCGAGAAATGATAATGCTTAAAAAATACGAGATATACGTTTTAATTTGACTTGCATTTCGTTTTCGAAAAGTTCTGAAAAGCAAAACAAAGCCATCAAGAAAATAAGAATAAAAAAAAGAAAGAAAGAAAATCAAGGCAAAAGAACAACCAAAGTGAAATGTTTTTAATGGGCAATCACAAATGATGAAGATCGGGTAGATATAGCGGGTAGAACGAGGAACGAACGCATTAAAGATCTACCATGCGATACTTAAACGATCTTGGAGGGATCTATAGCTAAACGAAGAGTGTATATCAACATTTAGTACATTTCCGGAAATACCCATTGCTCAATTTTGGTTACACAAAAATATTCCCTTCAGATTCGGATTATTTCCCTTTCAGCTCCACAGGAAATAAAAAGGGGATTTACATTTTTAATGTTATTTAAGTTAATTTACCACCGGCTTAACATAACATAGAATATTCATTTTTTGTTTGTTTTTGTTTTGATATATCTAATTTAATATATTCTAACAAATTTTTTTGTCAGGTAATATTTTTTTGAAATCCTTTCAAATATTGTTTAGATATTTTTATCAATTTGCCACCCAGTTCAAAATTATATGTAAATCCAAAGACTTTTTTCTGTGTGGCAACGTTTTCGTCTTTTTCTGTCTGATTTCCTCCGAAACAACAACAAATACAGGCCGCATTGTGTATATATCCTTAGTGTTGTTGTGCTTTGGTGCTTTGTATTTTGTTTTTGAATTCGAATTTGTAGTCTTGTGTCATGCGATAGGTGGTAACGTTTCGTTTCATACGGGGTATTGAATTACAAGACACCAAAGTGCGCGCCAAGCGAACACGCTCGCTCACAGATACTCACGAACACACATATAGCGAGGTATATAAATATATCGCAGTCCGATTCCGCCGCATATGCGTATCCAATGGATGCGAATCGGCCTGCAAAGCGGAGGGCCCAAGAATGTATCCGAACTGGGGAGTATCGGAAAAGAACTGTGAACCGGTGTAATTAATTGTTTTTGGGGCCGAACAGTATCCGGTGATTGATGTAGCCAAAGTTCATTTGTTTACAGTGGCAAGATCAATGACTTGGCGCCCTATAAATACATATATCCCACCCGAAACCTAAACTAAACCCACAAGTGACCCCTGGCCTCTCTTGTGTTCCAGTTTCACCCAAAAACGTATACCGAGTATCCAGCCGAAATGTCCGCCAAGACGTCGCCATCGTCCACTTCTCGAGATGCCAACGTGGGATCCTCGAGTGCGATTCCCGTTCAGATCAAAAAAGAACTGCCCAGCGACGAGATAAAGGTGAGTCTTCTGAATGAACACTTTGAGATACTTTCTTGCCTTCTAATTAATTGCCCCTGTCTGCACGGTATTCCGCCGAGTATTCAATAACAAGGATGCTGACAAAGTATGGAAGCCAAAGTGTGCGTTGGTTTTAAAAATAAAGAACGATTTTCACCCTCTCTCTTGGCAAAACATTTCACTTGTATTGCTGCGAACTGCATATACGTTGAATTATTATTATTTGTTTTTGCGTTTAGATGGGGGAAAGGTGAATAACACCCACTCGCCATTTTCGATTCTTTATTTCACTTGGGAAGTAGCTTTGAAGTGGATTGCATATCAAAATAACCATCACTACAATTTTAATTGGAAGTTCAAAAATATTTTCGAAACTTTTGCGTTGTCGCATAGTTATTATACCCGTTACTCGTAGAGTAAAAGGGTATACTAGATTCGTGCAAAAGTATGTAACAGGCAGAAGGAAGCGTTTCCGACCCTATAGACTATATATATTCTTGATCAGGATCACTAGCCGAGTCGATCTAGCCATGTCCGTCTGTCCGTCTGTCCGTCTGTCTGTCTGTCCGTCTGTCCGTATGAACGCTGAGATCTCGGAAACTATAAAAGCTAGAAGATTGAACTTTGATGCAGATTCTAGGAGTTCCTACGCAGCGCAAGTTTGTTTCAAAAGAGTGCCACGCCCCTCTAACGCCCCAATCCCTTATATACGATTTTAAAAATTTCAATATTTCGGAAAAGTAAAAGTGCAGTTTTATGGTGTTTATCAATACCTATCGAAATGTAGAAGAAATTTTCAAATCGGTCCATTCGTTAAAAGTTATGCGTGATCAACGTTTTCTATCTCTATCTCCATCTCCCTCGCACTCCCTTTACCTGAGTAACGGGTATCTGATAGTCGGGGCACCCGACTATAACGTTCTCTCTTGTTTCCTTTTACAATCGCAGGTACCAACCAAATGCCTCGTTTTTTTATATTGATCAGCAAACTACCTTTGTAGCATATCTCATATCCCAATTAGTTGATACCCTTTATACTTTTTGAGCAAAGCCTGAACTATTTGAAGAACTGCTTGTTGCACATAATTAGTGTTCATTTACAACCGAGCGAATCCAGATAAACAAGCCAAAGCCAAACGAGAATTTCCCACTAAACACTGAAATCAAAGAATCATATTCGAAACCAAAAATCGTTTCGGCTTTCAGTTGGTCGCTAGGGTATTTGGAAATGTTTATGCAATAGCGATGATAATACGAGCACAACACCCCCGCTGCACAAAATTCCATGCAACTTTGTTTCTGACCGGGTCCGGACTCCGGAATTTGTAAGAGGAGTTGCCGGTTGCAGCTGAGGAGATTCCGATTGCGATTGTGATTACGCGATTACGGGACGTAAGTCGAGTGGGAGTTGGCGGTAATTTTATATTGATAAATTTTTATAATCATTTTAACGAGTGAGCGAGCGAACGAGCGGCTCCGATTCCGATTCGGCCCCTCGCCATCCGCATTTGCTTTATCCGCCAAATGAGCAAAATTAATTTAATGCCGCAGACAGGGACAGAGAGTCCCAGGGCAACATTTTTGCAGCACGTGTAACCCGATCGGCGAATTGAAATTATACCCCTTGACTTGCAGTTGGGCGCAATGATACTTATTGTCGGGCATAAAGAGGGAAAACAAAAACAAAAGCAGCGGCGGCAGCAAAACCAAAATTATTATAATGAATGAGCTGGTCGGGGGCTTGGGAACTGAGTATCCGCTGGGGACTGAGGTTGGCGACTGGTTTTCTAGGTAAACGTGGGATTTATGTGGATATCTAAATAGTTATCCACGACTGTCGTGCGATATTTGTAATGCAATTGCGAGCTTGAAACCTGAGTTGGTCCCTGACATACTAATATATTTAATGCCTAATATTGTTTTAAATATTTTATGACACTTTCTACTTGTTTCTCTAGTTAGGTGTTACTGATTTTCGTTAGACTTATAAACAAAATTGTAACTTTCAGAAGAAAAAGAAAATTTATGAAATCATCAACTATTTTGTACTTTACTTTTAAGAAAAAAATTTTTTTAAATTCCTATTAGAGTTTTAAGATGTATTAATTATTTTTAGAGTTTACTGTAGGTGCAAAACTGATACTGCCTGATATGTCTTACTCTTCTCCTTTTTACCTTTCATTTTTGCCTGAAATTTTCCTTCATTCAAGTTCTCAATGTCGCTCAACCTCCTTTGAGTATGCAACACTTTGCTGACTAAAAATATCAATTAAAAATATTGTAATTCATACCTTCCATTTTTGCCTACCTCACCCAGTTTCGGGTTCGCTTTCCATATTTTAGCCTCTCCGCCAGCTCCTGGCCATAATTATGAGCTGCATTTGCTGCAAAGACAGCAACCAGGACAAATTTTTATATTTAATGGCCCGAAGGCGAAAACACACAGCGTAATTAAACAACAGCAATAAATCGGTTGAGGGTTAGGGTTGACGGGTAAGGGATGAGGGATTTGGGATGAGGGGAGCGACACGAACGCGCTTCATGGGTGCAATTTGATAGGACTGTGGTAAGGCGATATCCTTCAAGGTTTTCGCTTGGCGACCGATGTCAAACCGAAGCTGAGGCTGGGCCATATATGTACATATATCTGCAAGAACGGATGTCTTCGAGGCACACAGTAGGCAATATCCTGGGAAGCAAATCAATAACTCTTTGTGGGCGGAATAAAAGAAAGAAATGGTAAACAAATTTTAGTGTATGCGGGGGCTAGTTAATTGATTAAATACCTTGTATAATAGGTCTAAATAAATATGTTTCTATCTTGGCAGTATTTACTCATACACAGCAATTAGCCTTCTATAATTTCTGATTAAATGCATCGCTTTGTTTGTTGCACATCTTGGCATCCCACAGCCATTGGTGTGGTAATGTAGAATATTATTCACTGCCTACAAATCGCCACCGAGTTACTATAAGTGATGGCAGGCTCCAAGCAACATTCTATGCACATAACCCAGGGTTCCGACAGTAGGGATTGGGTTACACTCGCACAACCGGGTCTACATGGCTCGGGGAGACTGCGAGGGGCCAGATGACGATGACGATGACACAATGACTGGCAGCCACTCAGGAATACAGGGGAAATAGAGGAGGTTTTGGGGCAGCGGTGGCAACTGGGCTCAAATGTCGCCGCAGCAGCAGAACTTTAATAACAGCGCCGCAGATTGAGTTACAAACAAAATAGAATATGATAAATTCTACACAAAACACCAGGAACCAGAGCTCAAAGGTGCGACAAGGGGGCTGCCATAGTGTAGTGCACAGGTAACGTGAGGCACCCCGAGCTGCCTGCCACATGCAACATGCCCCACACCCACTCCTATTCGCCCCCGAAACAGCAGCTCAAATTAAAATAGCGTTAAATTAATTCGAGCCACTGCTGATGGCCCAGCATTACGAAAGCGAACCCGAGTGGCCAAGAGGCAATGTGGATGGATATGGATGGATAAATGGGTGGCCCAAAGCCCTCGGCAGGTGGTTCACAATGCAGCAGGTGAAGAGATCGATGCTCACAGAGGCAGATATCCAGTTCCATAGTTTCCACAGGGATTCAAGCATTTAATTTAATTCGAGTTAGATAGTGGGAAGCATTACTACTTCCTGGCATTACGATGAGCAAATCATTTTGAAATGGCTATTGTAAAGTTTTTATCATATTATTAAATCATAGAAAAATCATTATTGAAATCTCATTGCTAACTATAAATTTAGACAATATTTAAAAATACCTAAAGGGTTCAAGATTGACAATTATTTTTAAAAAATATTTTAAGTATTTGTTACAATATATTAACTTTGAAGAAAAACTTGCGATAATTTGAAATTTTTAATTTATTTTTGTTATAAACCTACCAAACACATTAATAATAGTGAATATGAGATCAAACCCCTTTCCTATTCTTGTTGTGACCCTCGTTTTGAGTGCTCTGAGTTCAAATATATCTGCGTCTGAACGGTGAGCCACCCATATCTGGTGTACATTAAAATGAAATAGAATATTTCACGGGCGTGGGTAAGGGGAGGTGGGAACTGAAAATTCGCAGAGCAAAAGCAACAAACGGCAAAGGCCAAGTGTGTCATGTAAGAATTCAAAAGAAGGACGCGCGTCATTCAATCCTGAGCTATCGATATTCGATTACAGCAAACTAAAAACCGAGCGACTCTGTGCACGAGTCTGAGAAAACTAGCGTAATTCTAGAATTTGTTGCCATTGGGTGTTGTTTCCACCGCCCGACCATATATACTTTTTCGGGGTGGCGTTCGAGGGGCTGGGGCCTCGGATTGGATTCGGTCCGGACACCAGCTCTGGTGCAGCTCGGTTTTAGTTCGCCTTAGTCTCAGTTCAGTTTACTGGGTTCAGGGTGAGTTATTATAAGCGTATTGGGTTGCCAATCCCGCTCCTCCAGCCACCCAGTCTGGGTGTCGTTGCTTTGGAACTGCCAGCATTGCCGCCTCGTGTACTTTACATTATTCTATTAGGTTTCCTCGCCGGTAACCCTAGACGTGTATTAATGCGAGCCACTCGCATAACAGGCGGCTCCACTGCAGCGGGATAAGCCGCCTTGGATGTCTTCGGATGGGTTCGGAAGTAGGTCAGGAAAACGAAATCAATTTCGATCGATAGGATGGCATTACGGGCTTATTATTTAATAATACCTTAGTAACCTAAATTAATTAAAGTTTCATAACAGAATAGCTCTTAAAAGTATACTAAAAAGCTTTAAAAATTACCATCCCAGACTAAACATTATTTCTTTCAGTGCAGCCAATGCCAGACACAGAACGAACTTGGCTGTCGGCTTGAAGTTCTCAGTTCTCACTATTCACCCGTCAAGTTGGTTCATTACGATTCATAATAAAATGCAAAATACGATATGTTTTTGTAAGTTGAGATTTTGCAAAATGAAAGAAAACACAACCAACTTGAAACAGTCAGATACAGAACGAGTATTGCAAATGTATCCACTGGATTCTTGGGCAATAATTACGAAAAAAAGGCGAAATGAAAATGAAAAGCCAACGAAGAATCCGAACAGATCTTATTGCACGGAGGGGGCGGCGGAAAAAGGGAAATTCGAATTGGAAATGTAAAGGTAGACGTGTGTATTTGTATTTTTCTTAATACATACTACATTCGTACATACCACTGGGCGGCCAGAGCGAATCAGATCCCAACTCCATCAACAACAACAGACGGCATACAGTTTCAGTTTTTAATTAATTGATTTTTATTCGCATTTCGGTGTAGAGTTTCAAGCATGGGCGCGAGTTTGAATGTCGCTGGCGGGGAAGCACTGAAAAAAATGTGCTCAGAATTATAAGGTCATAAATATTTTGTTAATTTTCTTCTCCGTCAATTTGGGAATTATAAGCACAAATAAGATTAAAAGAGTGGATTTCTAAAACTTAAGCTAGACGATAGAATATTGGGTATTCAAAAAGTATGCAACAAAAAATTAGTTTTGAAATGCTCCCCACAACAAGTTACTTGTAATTTGAGAATAGACCGGAGCGATAAATAACTGAAAGATATATTCGTATAGTTAAAAAATATATAATTATATTGAAGAAAGATATTTTTGCTAATTTTTGCAAGCTCTTATTCTATAGTAAACCATTTTCTCCAAGTGCATTTCTCCTCGAACCCGTTGAGCCACTGTCAGGCAGCGGAGAGCTGAAAAACTGAACGAACGCACAAATCAGAAATTAAAAACCGAACATAAATTAACAGACAAATGATACTAAAAACCGAGCTGCCGAAAGAGACGGCGCATGGGATAATGAGAGAGACGGAGGGAGTGGAGTCGTATCTCCGTTCCTCCGGTTACGGTTACTGCAAGATGCTGAACTTGAGCCGAGCGTGCGTCGCCATAGCCCCCCCGATCCGTAACCCCCTTACATACATCCATCCCACCTGGACGAGGTCGCACCTGAGGCGTGTAATTGATACGCTCAGGCAGCCGGCCCCAGAGATTTTATCGTGCGAATTGTTAATACTCTTTTCGCTTTTCGCAGTTCGCAGCCACAGACAGCTAAAACCTGAATGCGAATGCGATTGTCACCGATACGCGAATTGCAGGAAAATAACCAAGCGAGCGTGTGAGCGCTGTTCATAGAGTGCGAAAGAGATGGGTGTTTCGGGGCGAAAGAGAGGCCCTGAGAGGGTCCGATAGAGACGGCGACTTATTAGACGACTTGCATTTGTCAGCAAGTTGGCAGCAACGCTTAATTTGAAGAGTATCGGATGACGCCGGGGATATCCAGTTTGTCTGGAGCTCGTGATAGATGCAATGGAGGCGATGAATCATCTGGCCAGCATTGGCCAATTGTGGCTTTGGCTTTGGCTTTGTTGCGCGCACCAAATTTCCCCTGAATCTCAGCATTGGACACCAATTGTGGTTATGCGCAATTTGGCATTCCGCAGAAGCAAGTTACAAGGAAATTGAAGTCAAAGGGCTACATAAGAGGTCAAAATTATAGGTTTTTTAAATTCCATTAATCAAATAGTTTCATATTACAAAGGAAGGTGGCAGTTGTGGGCATGTTTTCTTCTTTAACTTTTTGAATACCACATTTCCTTTCACTTTTTACTGAAGTGGGGGAGGGATTTATCTCCCAAATCACCCATTTTTATAACTGTTATATTATTTTAAATATTAACTTCTGCCAACTCTTTCAAAACCCGCTACTGGCTAAGGACATTGTGTAGTAACAACCACGTTGAATTCGAGAATTTCAATGTAACCTGATCCTGAGTTTTTGCAGCTCTCACAGCCTTGTGTGAATTTTTGTGTGCAGCACAGGCAGTCACAGAATGATACTCATATGTATATCTCCCTTGGGATTGGGAATGGAATGGTAATGGGAATGCAAGAGCCAGAAAAACACAACTTCCAAAGCCGCAAATGTTTTCTGCATCTTGGCCTTCAGACTGAGGCTGAATTTTCGGCTTAAATTTAAAGCAAAAAGGCAGAACACACACGCAAACCGACAGAGTTTGTCCGGAGGTATTGGGTATCAATGTCGATGCAGGGAGATTCAAAACAAAGGGCGGGGGAAAGGGGAGATTCTCGTACGCTTGTAAAGGAAATATGCAAATGCCACCCCATCCAGCCACCCGAAAAAGCCAAATAGTCCGGCCCTCTGGCCGTAATGAAGCTCTCTGTTACCTGTTTGTGCAGCGATATGTTTGTGGAAAATCGGTTGCGTGGGGTGTTTGATGCGTGGGCTTATCCCCCAGGGTTATCGATTACACTGCAACTTTCCCAGCCTCGGGGAAAATGCTTTGATACGGACTAATAAGGACTCTCATAATTGGACAGTGAGATCAAAGGTCATCGGGCAAGGCAGTCTATAATTAGTGAAAGTCCGGTTGATTATCATCTTTGACACTCTATCCTTTATTTATTTAATGTCCTTAACCATGAGACCACAGCTTTACACCTGCCTGCCTGTGCATTAATTAAAGTTTCAGCTGCTACTTGAAAATAATACACCCTGAGAAATATTAGCACAATAATTACAAATGAATACAAACGAGAATGGAATGACTAAAATTATATTATAGAAATACAAAATATAAAAACCCAAAACAACTTTATCACTTCATCTAAAAACGCCATTCCACACTAGTAATTTTTTAAATAGGGAATTATCACACAACAAGTCGCCCAACCCCTTAAGTCTAAAATAAGTCGGATAAGCCAGCAACACCCAGCTTTTCCTCAACTCAACCCTTCCGTGTTTTTCCTCTCCTTCCAGGAATTCGCGCACAACACCATGAACGAGCTGCTCGGCTGGTATGGATTCGAGGGTGTGGATGTGGATCGTCTGGACCTGACCGCCAAGACATCGCACAGCCTGTTGCAGCGTGAACCGCTACTTTTTGCGCTGCCAGCCAACAGTTGTAGGTCACCACCAGAACCATCAGTGCCTTTAACTGCAGCAGCTCCGAGAATCAATCCATTTTTTAAAAGTGTAAGGGAGCAGAATGTTGCTTAGCAGTTTACTTGGGGCAGCCTATTTCACAATAACAAAAAATTTGCCAGCAGCAATTTCAACGAATACCGGCCGAGTCGCAGGGGGCGGTTTGGGGGTGTACGGAAGGCGCATCCTTTTTACGAACAGAAGCAGCATTTCCACCACACTATTTACGGACAACGTTATTCTCGATACGGGAAAAGAAAAAAGGACTCAAGAGTAATACCGCACACCATCGGCAAACCAATGGCAGAGTACCGCAGATTTTGAGGAAAGAAAATTAAGGTGACGTCACGCCTTAGGAGGAACTAATGATCTTTAAAATTGAGAATTAATTATTTTTTAATATTTTTTGTTTTGTGGAAAATAGTTTTCAAGAAAAAAAAGATAATGATTTTTGAATTCGAAGTATAAGTTATTTCTTATTACTATTTCACAGTTACTGTATTCGATTTAAAATAGTCTTTAAACACAGAATTCTCATAAATTTTCAAGGCTTATGTACATTTTGAAAAGTTTGATAGTAATTAAAATTACTAATTATTTAAATCAGCTGTCGGTAGAGTCCAATTAAGTGAGCATAGTGAATTGTTCTGCCCATTCGCTGCCACTCACGTACACCGTGGAGCAGTGAGATGAACTGCCACGTGCAAGTAACTTACACAACTAATCAACAATATGTTTGTGCCGACCGCTGATTTAAATGGATAATAGGAAATTCAATGATATCAACAACATCCAAATAATAAATTTTTTTTTCATATTTTTTATAAGGGGCTGTCCATATATTCGACGGTAATCACGTTACCCTACTTGTCTGATTTTTGACCCCCTCCCCCTCTGGTGATCCTTATAATCTTCAATCTTTCTAATAAATAACCCCCCACTCAATAAATATACGTAATCCCAAGAATAATAAATTTTTTTTTTTAATATGTGGATTCAAACAGAGATGCAACCCAATCTTTAATATTGTAAAATTATAAATGGAGTTTGGTATGACACATTCGGTTCGTAAAATACGCTGAAATTATCTCCAACATACTCTTCGTCAAGCCATTCCAGGTCTTCGCATTCTTCGTGTGATTGAACCACTAAACATTCTCTTTCTCGCCGCCCAGCCACTAAAAAAAATTTTTTCTCTGCTTTCCTATCTAAGTTTGCAGATATATTTAAAGAAAAAAAGTTTTTAAAAAAATTCTTTAAATAAAAAAATACATATAAAATGATTACGTAATCATTGTGCAAGACCCCCCTCCCCATGTAATCAAACATAATCATTTCAATGACCGCCTCCCCCTTAGGTGATTACGTAATATATGGACAGCCCCTAATGTGGAAAAAGAAAAATGAATAATTAAAATTTAAAATCATAGTGCAATGGGTAATAATTAAAAGAGATTCAGGTTCATAAACATATCAAAATACATTTTTGTTTTACCTAATTGCGGTATGTCAAAAATATAAATGAAGCAAAATTTAAAATCATAGTGCAATGGGTAATTCGAGCTGAGAGTAATCGAAAATTGACAGCCAAAGTCAAAGTCGAAAATGTGTAACCGACCCTAAAACCCCCCTGGCCACAACCCACTCACCATTTGCTCCTAGTGCCTTTCGGTTTTCGATGGGAATTCGATAACTTGGACTTTTGTGCTCCCCCGAATCCCTCCAATCCTTCAGTGCATTTGGAGCCACAGACAGGCTCGAAATTGTGCTAACTTTTCAGCAACTCATGATGGAGTTTCTCGATGCCTGCATTATCGAATAACAGATTCATTAGTACCCAAATATGGTTTACACAATTCGGGCTACCAGGAAGCAGGAAGAGCCGGGCCATATTAGCAATGGGATATCCAGTGCTCAGTTTGTTCGGCAGCCGGAGGAAATCGAATTTGCAGTTCGGTAATAATTAATTTCCATTCTGATGGTACTTGTATGATTTCAGGCTCGTTTTGATTAGTTTATGATTTGCAGACGATCATACATACCAAAGCTTATAGATTTAATTTTGTCTTAATAGAACAACTTTTATTTACGTTTTTCACTTAAATACACCCTTGAGACAAACAATTTAAAGAAAGTAACCCCCGCCACTCAATGCTTACGTAATCCCAAGATAAATTTTTTTTAATTGCAGATTCAAACCGATGTAACTTAATCTTTAATATTGTTTCTAAATAGTTTGGTATGACATTTTCGGTTCGTATTTCTCATGAATTTCTCCAATCTTCCTATGGCACGCTATGGTATAGTCGTCCGGTTTTGATCAAATTAAAATTGAGATTCAGAAATATTTAAAAAGAGTCTATATCTCAGAGTAGAAGATAATACAATAAAAACCAAAGAAGCTAAAATTTATTTCCTATTACTTTTCCATTAATTTTCCGATCGTTCCTATGGCAGCTATATGTTATAGTCGAACGTTTTGATCAAATTAAATCTTGAAATTCAAAAATATTTAAAAAGAGTCATATCCTAGAGTGAGCAAGATAATCACAATAAAAACCAAAGAAGCTAGAATTTATTTCCTATTAATTTTCCATTAATTTTCCGACCCTACGTGATGGCAGCTATATGATATAGTCGTCCGATTTTGATTAAATTAAAATTGAAAATTCGGAAATATTTAAAAAAGTGTCATGGGTAATTCCTGAGAGTAGAAGATTGACATACAAAGTCAAAATCGAAAGAGGTCTAAGAACCTAAAATTCCCTATTACTTTTCCATTAATTTCCCGATCGTTCCTATGGCTAGCTTTTTGATATAGTAGTCCGATTTTTTAAATAATTAATTCCAAATTCAGATATATTTGAAAAAATAGACATCCCCAAAAGTAGAAGGTAATATTTCAAAAACCCGAAGCTAGGAGTTTTTTAAAGTTTTTTTTTTCCGATTACAGTTCCTATGGGAGCTATAAGATATAGTTGTCCGATCCGGTCGGGCTCCACACATATACTACCTGCAATAGAAAGAAGACTTTTGGGAAAGTTTCATCCTGATAGCTCAAAAGTTTGAGAGACTAGTTTCCGGAGAAAACAGAACGCAGACCAGACGGAATAACAAATTGCCAGACGGACGGTACGTCGGAAATGATTCATGGCTAGATCGACTCGTCTTGTGATGTTGTCAAGGAATATATATACTTTATGGGGTCGTAAAGGTTTACTTCATTGCCTTATAGCACAACTTCTGACTTAGAAATCATAATACCCTCTCAAGGGTAAAAAAGAAATGAGACGTCGTGAATAGGACGTTTTAATAAAATATTATTTCAATATTATTTATTATACATACTTCTAATAATAAATAAAGCATTTATCATTAATAAAAACTAAAATACAACATTTAATTAAACTCTAAAATTTAGAGTCAAAATTTTCGGGATTTCATGAATTGTTAACAATTTGAATGGATTTTTTTCTGGGTGTACTTTTCAACTTTTCAATTTATTCAGAATTAAATTAGGAATACTTGCTTAAAGTACTAAGCATCTTTAGTTAAAAGTATATATTTCAACTTACTTACAAATATCTTTATATGTCTCATTTACAGACTTCAGCAACTGCTGCTGGTGCCATCGACCGATTGCGGAGAATGCGCCGGACTACCTGACCAGCTGCGACGGACCGCGGTACTGCTCCGAATCCTGCTTCGCCCAGAGCCGGAGGGCGTCCTTCAAGAAGGCCAAGACCTGCGACTGGTGCAAGCACGTCCGCCATGCGGTGAGCTACGTGGACTTCCAGGACGGCGCCTCCCAGCTGCAGTTCTGCTCGGAGAAGTGCCTCAACCAGTACAAGATGCAGATCTTCTGCCACGAGACGCAGGCGCACCTCGACATGCATCCGCACCTGAGGGATCAGGCGATGGACGCGGGCAGCGAGGCTGGTCTGATTACGCCGGATCTGTGGCTGCGCAACTGCCGGAGTCGCTCGGCCTCACCCGCCTCCACGCTGTCGGTGTCTCCTGGTCCACCGGCTGTCCCGACTCCGCCGCCGCCTAGTCATCACCCCAGCAAACCCCTGATCTCAGTGGCCCCCGTCTCCAAGTTGCTGGCCCAGAAGAGTCCTGGTGGAGCTCCACCTCCGCCGCCGCCGCCTGTCCAGCGGCATTTGGGCGCCAAGTTGGGTCGCCGGAAGCGCCGGGGTCTGTCTTCCTCCTCGGGTTCGGAAACAGTTGCCAGTCTGCTGCAGAAACAGCAGCAACACCAGCAGCAGCAGCAGCAACATCAGGCTCCTCCAACTCTGACGGCTGACTTTGGGGGCTCCAGTGTCCCACTGCCGCCTCTCTCGCCCATGCCAAATGTACAGGAGTCACCGCAGCAGCAGGCGCCTCCTCAGGTAGCTCCACCTCAAGCTCTGCCACGCGGACCCACGGCTATCCCATCCAGCTACTTTGCCACGCCCTCCAATGGAGTGCCGCATCCCTTTGCCGGGCGTCCACCACCGCCACCGCATCACTTTATGCATCCTCCTCCGCACGGCATGATGCCCCGTGGTTTCGGCCCTCCGCCCTTTGGGCCGCCACTTCCTCCACAAATGCCCGAGCTGGGATCCCTGCTGGGCGCCGTGCCGCCGGTGACAGTGATGGTGCCCTATCCCATCATCATACCCCTGCCCATACCCATACCCGTTCCGCTGCCAGTGATGGATTTCTACAAGGCGCACCTGACGCCCGAGCAGAGGAAGCGTTTCGACGAGGAACGGGCTGCTCCTAACAGAGAGGAAAACCCCAGGGAGCAGGAGCAGCCACAGCCGCTGGACTGCAGCAAGACCAGAAGCGAGGAGGAGGAGAAGCCAGAGGTGGAGCAGCCAACGGAAGAGGATGACAAGGAATCCATACCAAAGACAAATCCAGACAGGGAAACCACGCCGGCCTCGCCAGCCATCTCGCAGGAGTCGTCGTCGTCGCCGCAGGAGACGCACTGCATTGTCCGGGACTCCGGGCAATCCGATCCCGAGGCGGACAGCCAGAAGCTGCCCAAGCTGAAGATCACGCGGCTGCAGACCAAGCGGACGCTCATCCAAACCAAAGAGGCGGCGGCCGAGTGCAGTCGACCGCTGCGCAAGCGCAAGAGGATCATCGACTGCGACTTCCAGAAGATGGCCGTCAAGGAGCAGGAGGTGGCCACCGATGGCCACCAGAGCAACGGCGGCGGCATCGGGGAGGCTGAGGATCCGGAGGCAGAGTGCAATAGTGGTCATGCCAAGGCTAAAAAGTAGACGTAGACCTTAAGATTTACCCCTAAAAAGTAGTAGAATGTATTTATCTATGTGTGTGAGAGTGTGTCAGTGTGTATGTGTAAGCGGAAGCGGAAATGGAGTCCAGAGAAAGTAAGAGAGAGCTAGCGGAAGGCACAAAGTGCATGCGGTAATCAGAATTGAATCTTAATAAACTAAAATATAACTTATTAGATCGAAACGTTTGTTGTTATTGGTTGGGAATACGCCAAGTCCGGCTATATTTTCATATAAACTTTAATAAGAAACTTCAATAAAATGTATGGCTTTTCTTCAAGGAGCTCCAAAAGTAAGTTATTTATACCTAATATTATCAAATCTAGCTGCAGGCACCTAAGATATGTAAAACCTTCAATTGGCTTAGAACATAAACAAATTCAGTAAATATTTCAGAAACGATGCAAAGGTCGTTAAAAAAATACTTGTACAAGTAAAGCTATTTCAAGAGGATTTCTGAACAGTCAGGGGATGCAGACATCGTAACACTTAAGACTAGATCATGGCTCAGTTGTAGAGGTCCCACAGGGATATCTGGCTGTCCATGCCTGCGGCCGCCATGATGGGAGCCCGCCACATGGCCACCGGTTGGCTGGAGTAGGCCAGGTCCATTACTCCGCCATTCTTATGCTGCGTCAGCACGGCCAGCGGCCGGAGGCTCTTCCACGAGAAGATCCGGATGCGTCCGTCCCAGCCGGCACTGGCGAACACCTTCTGATCGGACCGAATTCGCACGCAATTCACCCCCGCATTTTTAATGCTCAGCTCCGAGCCGCGCTGCAATTGCATCGAAGGTCTTTGGTAGCTGAAGCTAATCAGTTTTTCAGCTGTAAATAAGATTTATTAATAGGTTAAATATATTTAGACTCAAACTCCCACTTACTTGGACCCCCCACAATGCCGCGATTCGTGACCGGATCATAGTCCACGGTCGTGGCATCCTGGGCCAGCTCCAGCACATCCACAATGACGCCCGAGCTGATGTCCCAGGTGAGGAAGTGCCCCGACTCGTAGCCGGCCAGCAGGAACAGCTGCGAGGCGCACTCGAAGGGCTTGAAGCAGGTGACACTGCCCAGCTTGGGCAGCTGCGGATCCTCTGGCACCAGCATCTGGGTGGGCGCCGCCGCATCCGTCACATGGAGCACCCCGATCGAGGACTCCTCGCAGGGATAGAAGAGCAGCTGCTCGTTGGTGTTGCTGGTGCCCGTGTGCAGGGCGGAGCGACAGAAGCCCAGGTGGTTGCCCGGAATGCTGCGCTCCTTCACGTAGCTGCTGCCGCCGATGGAGAACATGGTGATGGTGCCGCCCTTCTCCTGGGTCACCAGGCGATCGGGGGTGTGGTGCAGGCTGGTTATGGGGTCGGATCCCACCTCAAAGTGCAGGGCGGAGCGATTGGTCTGCAAGGGGATCAAGTAAGAGTTATTATTTATTGAATTCATAAAGAGAGTAAAAGGAATAATACAGTAGGTTATCAGGTATTTTGATTTTTTAGTATATAACATGAAACTAAATAATTATTTATGGGATACAAGATTATTTCCCTAGGAACTATTTCTTTAATGTATTTTGATCAAATTATTTGTTTGTTTAAATAAAATTTCTATCCTTTAGCTATCTCAAGAATGACATGTCGTAAACAAAATTTGTTCTTTGCCCCTAAGTATATTTAAATAAAACTTGGCACCTGAGTGTGATAATGCTATAAATATTACAAGAAAGTTGGATCAAGATCGGACTATAGACACGAGAATATATTCGATGGGATGGATAAGGAAGTACATACACCTAAATAATACAGGTATTTCATTTATTTAAACGAAACCAAATCTACGGTAGATTACTATTTAATGTCAAGGTGTCTTATCAATAGATAATGTAAAAAGGGCTCACCTGTAAATCCCAAAGGAAAACACTGCCTTTAATAGTGCCCGCCAACAAGCGCTCGTTCTCCTGAAAGCAAAGTGAATTTACTGCTCCCATGTCGGGCGATCGAAGGCTGAATACAGGATCTGGTGGTAGCACAGCCATATTTAGTTTTGTTTAAATTAATTAACTAAAATGAGTTTGTTTTTGTTTTGTCTCGTGGTGATTAGGGATGTGAAAAATATGTTGTGGCCACTTTTAGGTAATCGATAGGGCTATCAACAAGCGGAGAAGTCCTGCCAACTTTTTTTAACAGAGCCGGTAAGCCTGCCAACTTATGGTCACCCTGGTTAACGACCCGGAATTTTCAAATCTGGGGACAATTTTCTGTCGGGGACAACGGAGTTTTGCCTCAATGGCTTTAGGAGGGCGTTTTGGCTGCTGCGTTGCACTGTTTTTTTTTTGAAGTTGCTTAAGTTGAATATGAATAACATTAATATTTTTGCAATTGACGGTTGCCCAGCAAGGATCATAACAAATCAAGATATATCTATCAATTTAAACCTGACGTTTCAAATAAATATATTTAAAAATCGATACTTATCGACTTTTAATCGAAAGCGTTGCCAACCTGCGCTGTAGTTTCCTGCAAAAAATTCCAGAGGGCGCTGCATTTGGCGCGCTCCGCTCGTAATTCAAACGACTTGCCGCCAGCAGCTGCGTGACCCAACACAAGACCCACAGCGAATGTTTTTCTCTTTCATTGGGCGCAGTAGCCTCTTGCGGAGAAAACGAGCTTAAAATTTTACAGCGAAAAATCATTAAGTCGCTAAATGCGCGGACTATTAAAAAACATAACGTGCACCGAAGGCTTACGCAGCTTTAATGGACTTTGTCAGCGGCCTCTCGTCTCTCATGTGGCCTAGACGCTAAGGCCCGAATCGTAAAAGACTTGTCAGCCGCGCGCTTTTGGCCAGATTGCGAGCGAAGAAAACGGCCCCAAAAAAGATATCTGTATATATATAGAGTCCGTTTTGCCGGCCGTCCGCAACAAAGATCGCAAAATAAACATGCCATAAGCTCGTTAATCAATGCTAAGTTGACAGTTTTAAGTGGTTTTAGCGAGCCAACACCAGCGCAAACGGCAAATAAGTCGGAGACTCCTGTTGTGCCGCAGGCTCAGCATGATTTACGGTCCCAAAAAAATGCGCTATATTTTAATTGAGTGCAAGAATTTATTTGAAATTTGAAGTTTTTCGTTTTCGGCTTTTGCCAAAAAAAAACCTGACTTTGAAAGTGAGTTACCAAGTTCCCAAAGCTTGTTTATAAATAATTTTCAAATGTATCCCTTTTTATGTTAGGACTAATGGCACCTTAATTCCAAAAAGTTGTTTAATCCAAAAGGTTTAATTAAACAAATTTGCCTCTGAAATGAATATATGTTCAAATAAGTAATTGTTATAAAAGTCAAATAAAAATACACTTTAATAATTATTTGGTGTATGATATTTTTATCTTGCACCTTATTTTTGCTAGATAAAATGCCTCTTATACAAATTTCACAATTTGGCGCTATGTTTTCCATTTCACAGGTGCTCACTTTCGGCACTCGAAGGCACTCTTCCGCAGTTGACTAGACAAGCAGTCGCAGTCCGTAATTCGATTTGGGTGCAACAAGTTAACACGTTTTCCCCTACCCTTACCCATAAACCCTACCCCTTTGGCCCCCATTCAGACGTCTGGTAAACAGTTGAAAATGCGGCTATAAGTTCATTTAACTGCGGAGCCAATCATAAAAAGGGTTCAAGCCCGTATGACCATTCCAGCTCATTTGCTTTCGACTCGGTTAATTCTTTTTGTCTCCCACAGGATAAAGGAGGAGTTGGGGGAGGCGGAGGTAGCTGAACGACAAGTCCATAAATCTTTTCGCCACGGAACCAAAGGCACGGATACGAACACGAATACGAATCGGGGAAGTGAGGCGTTTAAACTATTTATGCATGTTGGGTAATCCATTTGAAATGGGTCAACGACTACAGCAACAACAACGGCAACGGGAACAACGAGCTCATAAAACTCCTTAAACGTTTCCAATAACCCAACCCAGTTCGAAGTTGAAAACATATTGGCTTGTTACCTTAATGAAGTCATAAATTTTCGCTATCGCATTCGGGGCATCTCGGCCAGAAAAGAGAGTCCCCAGTTCCACATTGGGGCTGCGAGTCGAGTCCCCGAGCTACAGGTTTCTAAGGAATTCCATTTGGGGATAGAACCTACTGCCCATATACCCAGTGTTTTGGCACACATACTCGTATGCGTCCATTGGTCGATAGTTAATCAGGCTTAGGCTGATATATGCTGACAGAGTCGGTCTCTGGTGTAGGCCGCCACTCTCAGAAAGGATGCGTCCTCTCATCCCGGAGGATGGGCATTGTATCCACATGGCTATCCCCTGCTGGGCGAGTATTCCGCGTATTTGCGAGGCGGGCCATGAAAATGAAGTTATCACGCGACAAACAATGTCTGCTCGGGCCCCTGCCACCAATAACTTTATATGGTTGTCATTATTAGTCGGAAATTAAATGGCCGCGGCCACAGAGGACGACACTTGGATGACTACCCGACTTATTTATGTGCTACCTTAATGGAGCTTCATCTACTCGAAATTGAGACGGCGATTTGTTCTGGGATCTGCGATCCTACTCCAGCTCGTGTTGAGTTTTTATTTCGCATTACTTTGCCATCCCCATGAATCACTCGATGGGGAAAAAGGTAGCAATGGGGTCTAGGTGCTGGTATTTTGATTCGAAGATCGCCAAGGTGAGATCGCCGGGCAGGAGGCATTCCACAATCAGACTTAAGCGAAGGGAAGTGATTTATACAATGAAAGTATTTCATAATTATTTGGATATTTATATTTAGACAAAGCCAAGTTCTGAAGTAGAAATTAATATTCTTAAAAAATATATAAAAATCACCCCACCCATTTAAAAACATTTGCTAACATTTATCAACACAATTTTCTTTCCCCTTTTGCTTTCTTTTGCCACAATGCCATAGAAAGTGATTGCCGCAACTGATGCAATCCACAACAGATTCCCAAAAATAAGTTGGAAACTCCGGCCGAGCGCAATCAATTAAAATATCGACGTCTATCAGCGTTATTATAAATCAAACGATAACATAAAATTGACACTAAAGGCGTTTCGACCATTTTTCATGCCGGCCAACGTCGCTGACGAGATTAAGGCCTCGGATATAGATATATGGCATCGCGAGCGCGGTGGCCAAACTTAGATGGAGTCACATTTTGGGGCACTCGAGCTCGCGCCTGAACTTTGCTACGTATTTATGCAAATTATCCGTTGCCGGACGGGAAAAACTGGTCCACAAAACGGCAACGCAAGGCGAAGTGCTCTCTGTAATTGATCAATTTCCGCCGAGCAGCCAGACCGGATCGAATCGCATCGCATTGGATCGATCGGCCAGCGAAGTGAGAAGTTGGCAGACCCGCAGGTTGCCCGAATTCGATTGGATCGGATAATGTGATGGCCACTTGATCTTCGGCTGATTTATGGAGCTCGGCGAGGGCTTGGCTAATGAAATGCCACTTTAGATAGCATATTTTGTGCCCGTTTTGTCTTAAGCCCACCACGTCCATTCCATATAGGGTCGAGATCGAATGGAGAGTTATGACACCTGGCGGAGGTGCACGGTGCACCCGCACCCACATAGCACATTCCACTTGATTGCCCCCGACCCTCGGAGCGGCAATCAGACGCACTCAGCAAAAGTGCCAATCAAGCGCAGGACATGCGGACAAAGGATGCGCTCGCCTGCCCATAATCCTGGGTGTGAATGTCGAGTAGATAGGGACAGTAGGATGGGGGCACTGGCATCGGACGTCGAACGACGGACGTCGGAGGGCCTGAAATCGAAACCTTGTCGCTGGGGTGTCAATAACATTGTCCGTGCGACTGCCTCCGGGCACGATTGTTCTCGTCGTTCTGCTCGTTGTTGCGGCCATCGATGATGTGAATGCGTTTTCAGCTCCATTGAACCGGCAGATGCGGCACAGTGGAGCCCAGATTCGGGTATCAAGTGTGCCTAGTCAACAAAAGTTTAAATTGAAAAGTCGTATTGGGTCTTCGTCATATGATAACTTTTTAGAGCCATCATCTGGAATATTAAGAAAAATAATTATTTTATTAAAGAGAATAATATTTGAAAGCTTTGAAATTCCACAATATAATAAATTGAAACCATAATTTATTTTTCATAGTAGAAACTAAACTTGCTCCACCGTTGACCAGAAATTCCAATTTAATTGCGTGAATCAAAGTTGTAAATCATTATGCTAAGTGCCCTTTAATGTCTCAAAATGCAGCTCATTTGCAAGTGCAGTTCCCGGGTTTCAGTGCCCAGTTCTCGGTTCCCAGTGCCCCAACGCATCCCAGGCATCCCATCCACAATATGGAGCTGGCCCCCGAGGGCAAATAATCATGTTTGGACGGACGAAGCAGGATGGAAAACGGGAGCGGCTTAAATTGCTACTGGCCAGGCCAACAGGCTGACATAACCAGGGGGTTGAGATGGGTTGGGCTTTCGCCTCCAAGAACTACTTTCAATTATCAATTATGAAGTTAATATCTTCTTCAGGCCGAGTCTGCAATTTGAATGCCAAGAGGTGTCACTAGCCAGTTAGTGGATAGCCACTAGAGTTAATGGTTCAATCAGCACTCTATTCGATCTGGGTATGAATGAAATTGCGGTTTTTAATGCCATTACCATTTCGGGACATAATGAACGGCGCTCGTTTAATTAAAACGCCGACTGAGCGACAGAAATCAATTTATCTGTGGCCCCAAACCAAATTGCGGTGCCAAAAGCCCGTCATCATGGGGCGAGGCCATCGCCATCAGCATCAGCATCTCATTGTGCATACGAGCATCGGTAATTGGGGGCCTGGGCGCTGCGGCTGGTGCTGGGTGCCTCCTGCCATCCGATAAACACCTTAAATATGAGCCTGTTAATTACTGTAATTTTCAGCCAGCCCCCCGAATCGAAATGAGCCACTAAATGCGACGACAATCGCAACATTTGCCCCGTAGGAGCCCGGAGGATTAGGTGACCCAGTTCCGGAACCAATGCGACAGCTGTCTGTCTTTGCGGGGCATGCAACATCAATTATTCAGGGCCATCAAACTTTGGGCCAACCTGCCGAAAGTGCAAA